CCTAACCCTAACCCTAACCCTAACCCTTAAGGCTTTACTATATATAATAAATACTTAAAATGCCATAAGACTCTATAGAGAATCTATAGTAGTATAGATCTAGTATAGATAAAAGGTTTACTTAACCTCTAGTAAATGCGAGATCTAAAGTAGCTCTTCTAGCTAGATATTACTCTATTTACTAAGAAGGAGAAGCTACTAGAGAAAAAGAAAGAGAATATTATATAAATAGATTATAGATCTACTACTACCACTTAATAAGCTACTCTATTTACTTTTAAGATAGATTAAGTAGTATACTAGGAACTAGATAATAGAGGCTTCTAATTAATAGAAGTATATAAATAAGTACTATTTAAACTATATTAAGGCCTACTAGATTAATAGCTTCGATTAGATATTAAATTACTATCTAGTTAATAGCGATATACTTTATAGATAGAGTAGAGAGCTTAATATAAGTAAATCTACTATAAATTAGTCTTCTAAAGGAGTTTAAGTACGCCTAATATAGTGTTAAGTGAAGAAGAAAGAGAAGAGATAAAAGGAAACTACATAAGTAGTAATTACTCTATCTACTAGTCTATTATCCGCTACTTTTACTATAGTATTAGTAGTAGCTACCTTAGATATCTTTCTCCTCTCTCTTCTTCTTATATCTATAGTAGTAACAGTTGCGTTTAAGTTCTTTTAACTCTAATACTAATTAAGTGAGATTCTAAAGTAATTCTTTAAATATCTAAACTAGAAGATAGCTTTTAGCTTAAAGTGTAAGCTTCTAGATACTATATATAATAGATTTATATTAGAGGAGTATAATTTAATAGTATAATAAAGATATATAATAAGAAGTAAACTATCTTAGACTTTAGATCTAGTATATTACTTAGAATATAAAAAGAAGTAAGAACTTAGAAGAAGAAGTATAAATTATAGCTATATATATTATTTCTACTAATCTACTACTCTTTTACTTAATATTATACCTTTCTAAAATAAGCTTAAGTGTTGCAATAACCTATCTACTAAATAGTATAGTATAAAGAATCTACTAAAGTCTTTAAAGCTCTCTACTAGCTTATAGTTTCTCTTTATCTAAGCCTTTAAATTACTAAATATCATTTTAATAGAACTGAAATCTAGTAATTATAGTAGTAGAAAAATAAGATCTATATTAGTTATACTATAAAGCTCTTTTCTACATTTTAATTAATAAGTTAAAGTATTTTTTATTACTAGCACTAAGTATCTACCTAGCTATAGCTTATAGAGAGGTAGAATAAAGTATTCTAGCTAAGTAGCAAATATCTCTATAGTTATAGAGCCTTAAATAATTAAAGAATCGCTTAAATAACTATTAATAGTAAGTGCTAGTAGTATACTCTATTGCTTAGAGTGCTAGTATAGTATTAATATAGTAGTAGAGTAGCTATAAAGTAATTAACTATATTTTCTATCACTTATATACTTATTTGCATCCGATTTATTAATAAATATAAGCTTATATAGACCCTAATTAGTCTATCTACCCTTCTATATAAGCTAGAAATTACAATATCTCTCTATAACCTAACGTTATATAGTCTTTCTTAACTATTTATAGGAGGTAAACATTCTCTATATTATGTTTATTAATATATAAACGCTAAATCCTTTGTATATAAAGCTCTAAAGCTTATTAAAGTAGGTAGTAGAGTAATTTTAAGGTAGTTAAATAGCTTCTATAATATAGTTAGCTAGTAGAAACTTAACACTAGATAATATTATCTATTACTAGTTCTTTAGTAAGGACTAGTGCCTTCGAATAACGTAATTTAATAGACTTAGATAGATATAGAGTACTAAGTATATTATAGCTAAGTTGGATTCTAAAGATAGTAACTCTAGATACCTTAAAACGCTTAATTATCTTATTAACCTGCTTCTTCGCGTCGAGATATTATAGTATATAATTAATAACTCTATTAGATAGGCGAGACATCGAATAGCCTTAAAAATAAGCTTAAAGATAACTATAGCGTGGTGTTATAAGTGGGTATCGCCTTCTAGTAAAGTAGAGTAAGGTTCCATGTCTACTAATGACAGGCCGCTAGGCGAGTTTTAGATATTTCCGAAACGATAGTATCGGAGGGCTCAGCTAGCCGACGATGCCCCTCATCTTAGTCATGGAAGCAATGTCACAGAACCATCTTTGTTCCCCTCGAAGGAACAATCCCTCGAAGCATGGCTATCTTTCACAGCGACGAGAGTCTACCCTCTTCACTTCTAAGTCCGGGGTTTAGCCTCATCGGCGATTATGTCGACTCTACGCTTACACAGATCACCCAAGATATAGGTGGTCCGGTCGTCGATGATCTTGTTACTTTCGCTCGACAATTACAAGAGACTGATCTTGCAGTCTGCAACTCGGAAGACTTCGAAGATCTCAATGGAGGAGAGGCCGTTGGTCATGGAACAACTATGACTGTCTTCAAATGCCGATGGAAGTCCAAAGACAGGGTGGTTGCCGTGAAGAAAATCAATCTTGGCATTCCGTTGGGCAAATCGATGCTCGAAGTCCATGAAGAGGAATTTCGAGGATTGCTCAAGTCCCTGTTTCTGGAGCTTCGAGTGATGAATCACCCATGGTTCAAAGCGCATCCGAACTTCGTTGACCTGTATGGCGTGTGCTGGGAACATGTAAACGGCGACGATGGGATCAGCAGCCACCGTCCTTCAATGATCGTAGAGCTCGCCGATCAGACGACTCCGACATTAAAGGAATTCGTATCTCATTCTGGACAGGACTTGACTGAAGAACGGCTAATCTTTGACTTACTTACGGATGCTGCGGAGGCAATCACGATGCTTCACACTACTAAGATCGTCCATGGAGATCTGAAACCGGATAACATACTACTATTTCCAGCTCCGAAGCGGCTGGTGGCAAAGCTTTCGGATTTTGGTTTCTGCAGTCCTTTTGTGGAGAACAGGGATCAAATCGGAGGAACTTACTATTGGAATGCTCCGGTGAGTGGCACATAGCTTCGACATAACGCCGTTGAAGAGCTAATGCTCGGGAGCAGGAATGTATGTCCGAAGCTCCTTCGAATATTAGGCATTTCGCGAAGACATTGACTCGCGACATCTACTCTTTCGGATTAGTCATGTGGTTCTGTCTGTTCAAAGACATGCCATATGGTCGTGAAGATGCCGCCACTGAGGGCGAAGTATCAGAGTGGAAGCTTCACCGAGACCCGTTGGCACAGCTGGAAGAAAATATTCTTGCGAAAGCTCCTGGCCTTGTCGAGGTCCGCAGATCTAGCCTTATTGACTTATGTCATGCTGACATCTTCGCAGCTGCAGAGCCCTGCGCAGGCAAAAACCATGATTGAAGCCACGTCATGGGAGATGCTCTGGTTCCAAATTTGGAAAGCTATGGTAGAGATGTTGAAGATGCAGCCCGATTCTCGCAACATCTCACTTGGGGAGATGCACCGAGTTCTCAAAATACCCGATAGGCAAGAACGACTAAATGATACAGGTATGAAAGTTGTCGATAATAACTTTCTGTAGCCGCACAGATATGTGTGAACTACGGCCAGTAGGTGGCTCTAAAGTAATGCAAACATGCTTGCCCTTCTGCAACCTGACGACGTTAACGCCAACCTAGGCTGTCGATAAGAGTCGTGTCGACGACAGTACTGGGATCGCATTCACTCGTCCTAGCCAGGTCCCTGGAATGAGTGAAGCCTTGAAGAGTAGATCAGTGTCCAAGGTGAGTCAGTACCGACAGTATTAATGATCTTTATGGAAGCCAAGAACTTATTTCAAGCAATAGTACGATGCATATAGTCTCATGCATCTTCCCCTACAATTGCAGCAATACCTCCGACAGCAATGGCAAAGGGACTGCGACCTCATTGATCCATCAAACGCGGAAAATCTGGACTTGCTTCTGGTATTAGCTTCCTGCTTCCGTACTGGCTTCGGCGGTGAAAAGAACTTGGCAAAGGCGAAAGCACTAGAGCTTGAAGCGGCGAACTACGGATCTGATGTTGGTCAAATCAAGAGCTTGACATACGGCCTGCTCAATGGCTTCGACTCATCAATTACTGCTGAGCAAAAGGTCACATGGCTCAAAGCCGCACTCGGTACGATCGGTTTCCTGAAAAGGCCAATTGCGGACGAAGAACAGAAGCTCAAGGAACACGAGCGGATGATTCAATTCCGTGCTGCGCTAGACGCTGTATCTGACGACTTCATTGAGATTTGCCTTCTCCATTCATTCATCAAGTCACACATGACAGAATGGGAAATCCTGCGTGGCGAATTCGACGGCGCTGCCCAGGATCCCGTCTTCTGCTGGGCTGTTGACGGGAATATGTTAGGCTTAACTACAGCGCTAGACTTAGAGCCTACGTTATTGCTTCGCAGGAAAGACGGTTTCACCTTGCTCCATGTTGCTGTGGATTATTGCCAGGAGCACATTGTGAGAAGTGAGTATCATATGCCAGCCCTTAACCTTGCTCTGATTGCTGTACTAGAGAGCAAATCATCTATCGATAACTGAGACTGATCGACTTCTTCAGAGCTGGTACAAGAATATCACCTTTCGCCGGATATCAAGTCGGATATCGGTCTAACACCAATAGAGCTGGCTGCGATGACAGGGAGCATTGAGTGTTTGCGGCTTCTCTTGTCCCTCGGTGCCGACCCAATGCCGCTTGCAGACCAAGATATCTTCACAGAGGTTGCGATATCAGGCTCACGAGAGTCTCCAGAACAATCAATTGCGAAAGGAAACAGGGTTCTCCTGGCTTCCATCGTTAGCATTGTTGAAAATATCCACGACGGATGTCGCAGACCGGGCGAGTCCGGCGCAGCTGTCCAAGACCTGCTGAATGGACGATACCAGATAAGCGTGGATCAGATCGATCAATGTGGATCTCCTTTAGAAGTCTGCATATCTGTCTCAAACTATGATTCAGTATTTGCACTCCTCGACATGGGGGCGGATCCTAACTCCTACAACCACACGCCACCGTTACACGTGGCAGTGGCTCACCGCGAGCCGGTGCTGGCTGCGCTGTTGCTTACGCATGGGGCAGATCCAAACCTGAAAGCTGGCCAAAATGGCGATCAAGATACCGCATTACATCTCGCAGATACAACGTCGTTAACTATATCTTACGATCCCCCTAGAAACAAGATCATCGGTTACGAGGTATATCTACCCGACGATGTCGCAGCTGTCGATACGGAAAACGAATCTGCCATAGCAGCACGAACTAAAGCCTGCATTGATGTGCTGCTCTTCTTCGGCGCGGATAGTGAGGCTCAAGACCTTAATGGAAACACACCACTTATGCGGAGGATACTGGAAAACGACTGGGGCATTGCGGAATATCTTCTAAGCAAAGGCGCAAGTCTGCACGCGAAAGACTTTGCTGGTGTTGAAGTTATTGGAAAAGTCGAGTCTCCGGAGGCGGTTGAATGGTGTGCTGGACACGGCGCAATATTAGAGACGTAGATTTGCTGCTCGTCGTGGGAAAGCTATCTACTAAGGTATCTCAAATCATTGCTTAATAGGGCAGACAATTGGTAGCCTTTCTCCTAGAACAAGATATCGCGCCCGTTTCTACTGCATAGTACGCGCATTCCGCTTCTTAGTTTAGCCTCTACTGTTCGCGGCTCGTTTCTACTACGCTCTTTCCCGTAGCTATACCCAAAAAAGCCTTAGCACTACTATATTCGTACTAGCCTATAACCTTACTAAATCTCCACTAAATTACAATTTAAACGTATAGTATAACTAAGTCTAGCAAGGAGTTACCTAAGTCTATTTCTATTACATGCCCTCTATATTTAGTCGCTAATTAATAGAGGCGAATTATATTAATAGCTTCCAAGTACTCTAGCTGTATTAGAAAGCCTTCAAGCGTCTTTGTATCTTTATATTAGTGCGTCTTTATATTATTATACCTTTACATCTTCGTGTCTTTATATATTATAGTATACTTCTATTTATAATATATCTCGATAAACTCTATAGCCCTATCTATTATCTCTTTATATATTTCTTTCTCTATAATAGAACACGATTAGATTAACTATATTAGGGAGTTAATCGCCTTATCTTTAAATATAAAAGATACTACTTAGATTAGTATTATATCTACTTCTAGAAAATAATTAAGGGTTTGTTTTAAACTAGATTATAGAAGCCTAGCATATATTTATAAGAAGCTAACTTAAACTAAATATTAAGTAAGGCGATATATATACTATTAATCTAATTACTTATCACTCTATCTATAATATTACCTTATATATTTCTTATAAGTCTACTATACTATTCTAATAGCTAAAAAACTACTTATTCTATTTCTATAAATACTATAGTAGAGCAGCTAGTAGTTAGCTTACATAGTATATAATCTAGCTTAGCTTTAAAAGCTCTTCCTTTCCTTTACTAAAAGCGCTTTAGAATAATATACTAGTATAATAGCAGCCCTTATACAATTTAGTAGATAGAATAATAGATTGTTCTTACTTAAACTAATTGTTTCTTACCTATAGTCCTCCTTTAACAAATAGTATCTATTATTCTCGCTATTACCCGCCTGTAGTCTTTTTTTGTAATTATATAATCTAAACTAGTGCTTACTATCTATACCCTCTTATAATATCTTAAAGCGTATATATAGCTTGCTATTATAAGCGAGTTCTAAGATCTATCTATTATATAAACTATAATAAACTTATAGCTCTATTCTAATAGCTTACTATCTCTTATATATCTCTATTTCCTTATTACTAGATACTATTACCTCTAATATTCCTTCTATAAGACTAGCTACTAGGATTCTTTATATAAATATCTAAACTAGAACTATAAAAGCTGCTTCGCAGTAATTTAGAGCGAGAATATATCTTATTACCTTTAGAGATAAACTAATTAAAGTAGGCCTATATTCGAATAATACTAGAAGATTAATATAAATATTCTGCTAAGCGCACTTCCTCTAAATAACTATAGAGACCCGTAGCTAGTGCACTAGAAAGATATAGTAGAGAGGGCGAATAAGTGCTTAGCTCTAGATATATACACAGCATGGGCGCAATGGCACGAAAGACGGAATAAAGTATATACTCTGACTGCATAACCTATTAGCGAACTAACTCGGGAAAGAACCCGGGTTAAACGCTATCACGCCGGCGAAAGAATCACATAGTACAACTAAGCAGTTTTTTCAATGAATTTTGTTTTTTCCAATCTCAGCCACGGATCCCGACAACGATACGATTCCACAGAGTTTCGCGACTAGTTCCTAAGTTTCTCTCAGACATTGGTCTCGACGGCGAGCAAATCGACTGCGCGGCAACGATCCCAGCCAGTTGGCTTGTTGTCCCGCTTGGCTAGACAAGCGTCAGCTCCTGATTTGTTTCTTACCCTGAAGGATAGGCAGGTAGTACTACTTACGATCTTTGATCCACACTAGATTCGCATGATCCTCCGGCCACCAGCTGCCTATGCGGCACAAGTGCCATCCGCCCATGTCGTCGAGGGTCCCGAAGACCACTTTGGTGATACGTCTCTTTCGTAGTAGTTTCCACTCTTCCCACTTCTGTGTTGATGTCGTGAGGAAACTGTCCGGAGGGTCACATGTATCGTACACCATAAAGTGGGTCCCATTGCCGATTAAATTTGCATAGAAGTCACATCCGGTGTTTGGGTAGAATTTGAGGAGGCGATTCCGCGCATGCCCTGGGGCTGCCCTGACGGGGCTGGGCGGGGCAGTGAAGTTGTAGGTATCAACGAATGAGCCTTGATCGGGAAAGTAACCCAGCACAAATGTAGTATGAACTCCGGAGGGCTGCACCATGCGCTGGATGGATTTGCCGTGCACAAGACAGCCCGGAGCGTGAACGACGAGCTGGTAGACCCGAGGCGCTCGATCCTCTGGCTTAGCTGGTGATGCGATGACAGCGGTGAGAAGTGCAAACAAATAGATGAGAAGCTTCATCTTGGCGCACGATTCGAATTTTAGATTCACTTATGAGAAGGTTTAAAGGACACCCAGAGCGTTTAAATATCACTTCTAAATTGGTAACATAGAGACAAAAACAGGTATTTAAGACCTTAAGGAAACGCTGTGCCTGTTTGAGACACACACGGCGAAGTTCGTATTAAGATACGCATACTGGTCATGGGACAAGTCGTGGGGTCAAAAAGCCTTTCGGCGATCTCCAAGACTTCGATGATCTTCAACGCCTGGAAGGCGCCTACTTTCTTGGCATAAGTTTAGCTTCGCCGCCCGAGTATGATTTTAGCGGCAGATCTTTGACTGCCTTATCCGCCCAACAGGCGAAAAGTGACGTCCGCTAATGGTACTGAATATAGGATCCTCGGTATCAGCCTAGAATGCTAAGAACTGCTCGTGGCGGGGTCGCTGCCTTCATCTGAATGTATGCTACCTCGTTGCATCGTCGCTGGGAGGATAGTACGGCTTCGCAATATAAACCCATACGAGAAAGACGAATTCTTTGTTGCTTTCGAGAATGGCACCGTCGAGTTCAGGATTCTTTCCTTACGCATCGATAGGAATAACGAGTCGAACGATCCTGCTAATCTAACAGCGGCCGGACTCGCATTTCGTAGTATTGCGATGAGGTGGTCGTTCCTAAAGCGCCATGAACCTTCGGCGCCAGCTCAGGCTGAGCCCGGTGCAGGAGTACTGGTAGTAAGCTTACCTTAATTCTCTTCAAATCACGTATGCATCGAGACGGATTCAATTGCTCACAGACGATCAGCCCCCATACCTGCGCCACAATCTGAGACCCAATCCACCAACGCATGTACCTGAAACCTTTGCATGGTGAACACATTGGCTTACGTACGGGATAGTTCATGTATTATCTGTAGTATACTCTAAGAAATTGAAGCTCATTCGTACTCTAAGCGGTAGTTATTGCCGGAGGGTGGGCTGCCGGGCAGGCCTTGCGCCGGTGTTAGGCACTTCTGTAGATAGCTCACCTGTCTAAGCGCGCTCTGCCGCGGTTTCCTCGGTTCTACTGCTCTTAGTTCTCTCTGTACGAAGGAGGGGGTTTTTACTGAATAAGGGGTGCCGCTTGGCACCACCGTCACCACCAGAGCTCCCTCCTATCAACCACTATCTCTACCAGTTTGTTTAAATCGTTTACTAAAGCCTATATTTGTTATAGGTGCCTTAAAAGCCTCAATTCTCTGTCTGTAAAGCCCAAAAGTCTAAACAGTATGCTTCTTATATTATATAAATGCCTCGTTGCGAGTACTCTTCTATTCTTTATATATTTCTCCTTGAAGCAGTTTATTATAGTATTATACAACAGTAGCTAGCTAAAGACACAGATCTATCTAATAGAATTATCTACTAGATAGTTGCAAGAGCCGAAAAACATATAGAAGTAGCTAGTCTACTAATCTAGAACAATTATAACTACTAAACTAATACTATTAGTTAAGATCATTCTAAGCTCTTAGATAAAAACTAAGAATAATAGCTAGTTAAGGCTATAGTAAAGGATAGAAAGCACTAATATATGCCTATATACATCTTAATCTAAGTCTAGATCTAGGAGTATACTGGTATACTCTAAAACTCTTAAACTATCTTATAGAATACTCTTTAAAATAGCAATTATACTAAAAGAGCTAGTAAATAGAAATTCTATCTCTCTTCTAAGATAAAAGAGATTTAATATTTAATAGACGCTTCTCTATAACTCTAATTCTATCTCTACTCGGCTAGCATTTAATTAAATAACTATAATATTTATAGATAAAACACTAGATAAGATTAGCTTTATCTCTAGCTACTATTATATATAGTATCTTATTAAAGAGACTTATTATCTAGATATTAAGCGTATAAAGATAAGTAATTACTTTAAAGTTTAGTTCTAAGCTTACTTTATATATAAAGCTAAGAGTCTTTACTATATTTATTTTAAAAAGATAGAGAAGAAGGTAAAAAAGACTATAAAGCACCTGTCTATCCGAAATATAGCATAGTAGAATAGATATAATACTAGATTAATAATATTAAGTAACGCTTATTAGGCTCTCTATATAATAAATAAGCCTATAGTTAATTATATTAGTGTTTTATTTTATTACTTCTAAAATCTTAGAGATACTAAGCCTATATCTATCTTATAAACTACTTATAAGAAAGCTTATATATTTAGTTTATTTAAGCTTCTTAAGCTTATTAGGCTTATTAGAATACTTAGAAAACTTAGAGCTACTAAGCTACTAAACTATCTAAGCTATCTAAGCTACTAAGCTATTAAGCTACTAAGTTATATAAAGCTCTAAGTCTAGGCTCTATCTATTTAGCTCTATCTAGCTCTAAGTCTATCTAGCTATTAGCTACTACTATATATAGAGCTAAATCTAATATATATCTATAGAACTTTTAATAAAAAATATATTTGAATTACTTGATTTTTGAAAATATAGATATTCTATTTCTACTAGCTAGAGGATAAAAATTAAGTAAGAAACTAAATATCCTAAACTTTTAGAACTAAGCTATTTACTAAGTAACTTAGAAGCTATAAGTATTCTAAGTATTTTAAGTATTCTAGGTACTTTAATAAGTATAAGAAACTTAAGTAAGTTAAGTATTTAGAGCTAGATCTAATAGATTAGATTTAGCTATATATAGCTTAGAACTAGTCGTGCTATAAAATAAAACACTAATATATAGAGTCTCTAACTTATTTAAATCCCTTAAATTAGCTTATTTAATATTAAAACTAAAGCTAAATAACTAAATATATATTAATTACTATACTATGTCTAGTTCATTTCTAGAGTAATCTATTTATAAGATAATAGATATTATAGCCTTTATTAGCGGTTATTTTATCTATAGTTTCTATAAATTATTCTATGCGATTTTTATAGTTTATAGATACTTAGATATAGAAAATAGAGTGTTAAAAGCAATATTTTATATACTATTTTATTCTTTTCTTCTAATACTCTATACTTCTTAGTTATCTTAACTAACTTAGTTAATATAGAAAATAATTTCTCTAAGGTATATTTAATCTAATCTCGAAGTTCTCTATTATAAACAAGTAGATATAACTCTATAGTATAGGTAATAAAGTCTATATATAGTTTACAGAAGAGATTATTAGTTACTATATAGTATAGAATATAATAGAGTTAGCGTTTATCTATACTAGCTATAGTAGTAACTTCTATAAAGACCACCTTGTGGTCTAGAGGAACGGCCTCAGCGATATTAAAATAATATATCCACCGTAGGCTAGAGAGATCGTGATACTAGCACCGACCTAGATTAGCAACAGACTCCATACCTCGAGTATATCTTCCGGTGCTAATTGGAATTCAAGGGCCGCATCTTTCGCAGAGGAGGGTTGCGGGAAACCGTTTAGTGTAAGAAAACTGCTAACGGTCTTTGCAGTAGCAGCGACCTACTCAGCAAGATCCTCCAGAATTGCTGCCGATTCCATCGCTGCTGCAAAAATTATCATTCTGTGAATAAGAGGCGGGGGAACACGGCATGAGATACTCGAGTAAAGCAAAAGCATTCCTACGACCGCGGAGCTGGGGTTACGGCTAGTGCTGCGGCTGGTGGTACGGCTTGGCTGCGGAAAGACCGACCGCCGACCGCGCCGTGAGAGTAAATACATATCTCTACTCGCAAAATACAGAATGCGATGGTTCCTTTCCTTCTATACCTGATATCCGTAGTATTCTGCCTTGCTCGCTCCGCATCCACGAGCGTTGCAAAGCGATTGATCGTAGACACCGATATCTTCAGCGATGTAGAGTAAGCCCTTCCGCATGCTCCTGCCAAGACATATCCAAGACGTATCTCACCGCTTCAGTGACGCCGGCGCGCTTCTTCTCGCATGCACTTCGCCTCACACTTCTCTTCTTGCCGTTCAAGTCAATGTACCGTCCAGCTACTCCGCCCTCGCAGTCTCCGCTATTCTAGGTCACTACGGTCACGGGGAAGTACCTATCGGCCTTCGGCGCCCTATCAACAACGATCATTTCTTTGACTCGCAGGGCTTCGCGCTCGGTGAATATGCGAGCAAAGTCGCCTACCATTGGCAAGGGGGTTCTCTACGGTGGGATGCGGTGGAGGAGGTAAGTGAACCAGTCGAGCTGTACCGGGAGCTGCTGGCGGCCGAGGAGGACGGAGCTGTCAAGATAGCTTCGATAGGCTTTCTCGAAAATGTGTGTGGACACTTTAACTTCTGTTACTTTCTCGCTGCATCCTTTGGCGCGATGCAATTTAAGCACTACCTTCAGAGTCTGCACTAAGGTTCAACTGATATGCGGTCCCCATCCAACAGCTCTCTACTCTCCTCAATTCAACTGCAGACAACATCTCCCCGCTTCCGGGTCCTGAGCTCATCAAGGCCAAAGTGGCGGAGCTCGTGATCATGGGCGGCGAGTATCCTTCCGGATACGAGTTCAACTTCTGGGGAGACAACCCAGTGCACACCGCACATGTGGTCAATAACTGGCCTGGCAAGGTCACATTCTCCGGGCTCGAAATGGGCAAAGGTGTAATGTCTGGTGCGGAATTGACTGTGAAGGGGCCTGCAAATGACCCCGTGCGGAAGGCGTATGAGTGGTATGGTGGACATAATGCTTCCCGCATGTCCTGGGATCCGCTTACTATGCTGTATGCCATACAAGGTAAATGCCATATCGCCCAGCAGTTGTCCTCACTAGTGTCATGTCCAACGCACGCATCTAATGAAGTGCAGGACTCGGCAATTTGTTTCGGTACGCCAACTCCTACGGTTACAATCACGCTTTTCCCAACGGATCCAACACATGGATATTTGACGAACGACACACAGACCAGCACTGGCTGGAGCTGAAGGTGGACGACAACACTGCGGGAAAGATGCTGGACGAGCTGTACCTGAAGGGAGCGTGGTCGGCTGTAAGCGGTGGCATGACTGGTGTGGAGAACCAAGAGTCAGGGGAACTACAGGTGGAATTGGGGCGATGAGATCTGCCCCCTAGCGCTGGATGCAGAAGCAACCAACAATAATCTGAGCATCACGATATTTCAAACTTCAAACCAAACATAATGCGGAACGTATAAGGTTCTGCGTATGTATGAGGTGTGCGGATATTGCTCCGCTTCTACCATCGTTGTCTCCTCTCCGACAACTAGTTCTACGTCAACGATGTTCGCCGGATCCAGCGTAGATAGCTCTTGCGCATGACTGTGCGATATCTAGGCCAGCAAAGGGTAGATTCGGATCAACGGGACGTCGAGATGTCAGGCTTTTGCGATTAGTATGACCGCCGGGGCGTTGCAAGGAATGTCTCATCCACACATACGTGGGACTTAATTCATCTCTTGACCATACCTCCCAGGTCAGCCTGCCCATGTAATGCTGTTCCAATGGATGCCTAAAGAGCCAGTGCTGCTGTCGCTGTGATATGTGCTATACGTTCATTTGCGCCCTTCGACCATGATTATATGATAACCCTCGCCTGTTTTGACCTCGCCGTATTTTGGATTCGCTGTGGTACTGGGCTCAAGGTCATATGCCACTTTCTCGAACTCCGCCAGGAGGCTTCCGCGCGTCTTCCAGCCTAAAGAACCACCTGTGCAAGACACAGTCTGTTAGCGGGACTATGCAATCTCACCGTGGAGCCAGCAAGAGAGCCCGATGGTGGCGCGTAAGGATGTTTCATAAACTAACCCTGCCTCGCCTTATCCTCAGAGAACTCTCGCGCTACCTCATCGAACTTCGCGCCTCCTTTCAGCTTCGTGAGCGCCTCCTCTTTCTTTGAAAGCTTCTCGCATAGGATGTGCCTGACGTTGATGCTGGTCGCTGGTTTGAGCTTGCCGGCGGGCTTGTCGGACTTCTCTCCAGTAGTATCTTTCGCCTTGCCCTTGCCGCCTTTGGCGGCCTCCTTGCCCTTAGGCGCCATGAGATAGCAGAGGAAAGGTGTTACGCTGGGCGAACTCGAGTGCTGTGGGAACGAGGTGCGGATGCATGCTGGCCAAGAACGACGACAGCGGGAGATCCCGTCGCTCCCGGCAGATCTCTTGAGGGAAATCTGGGGAAGGCCCTAAACACCGGCTTGTACGCGAACCTAACCACCGCGCAGCTCAGCACATCCACGCAAACCACTCTACTCTCACGTTTCTGCCCAGGCATAGCATCATGTTGGCCCCTCATCGGGTCGCTTCGCTGCCCCCATCGTTCTACTACATCCCCAACTTCATCACCGCGGAAGAGGAGACTGCTATCCTTGAAAAGGTAACCTGGTAATCCACCCCAATGTTATATAGACTCCCAGTATTGCGTAGTATCGTTTCCTACCTCTTATCAAGGCTGACGCCGAATGCAGATTCCTCCAAGCCGGTGGCACACCCTCCACCACCGCCGCCTCCAAGCCCACCCCTCCACGCTCTCGGCCACAAGCACTCTACTAGCCGCCCCGCTCCCGCCATGGCTGCTCAACCCGGTAGTGAAGAGACTCGAAGAATACGGCGTGTTCAGTGAGACGCCTCACCAGGCGCCCAACCATGTACTAGTGAACGAGTACCGCGCCGGCGAGGGAATCATGCCGCATGAAGACGGCGGGGCGTACGCGGAAGTTGTTGCGACTGTGTCGCTTGGTGCTGCTACGGTGTTAGACTTGTACAAGAAGCGGGAAGCGCGGACGCGGAAAGACGCGCAACTAGGGGCTGGCGACTCAAATGGGACATCAGGTAGGGAGGAAGACGGCGGCCAGGATGCGCCCTCCGACAACCACAGCGACCAGGACAGGGATAACATATCCGCTCCTTTTTCGCGCATCCTACAGGAACCCCGCTCCTTGCTCATCACGATTGGATCCGCATACACAGAGCTGCTGCACGGAATCGCTTCGGTGGAGACGGACACAGATCTGAACGAAGAGACTGTTGCCAACTGGACTCTTCTTGGTGAGCCTGACAGGTTTGCAGACGGGAAGAGTGAGAGGGAGACGAGGATCAGTCTCACGTATCGAGATGTGCTGAAAGTTAGCAAAGTTGGTACGAAGCTCTTGGGTCTGGGGAGACGATGATAATGCAAAACTGCAATACCGAGTAACCATCAAGGGGAAGTGGTGTTGCTGCAGATTATCCCCTTGGCTAGACTTCGATATTGCTGTGGTGGGGTACAAGCACATAGCACATGAACGAGCGACAACGATATTGCATATTTCGCTTGCAGAGATATGGAGCTTTTATCCATACTTGTCTCAACGGTGATGTAGAGAGCTCAACACCACCAGGGAGATGATAGAGCTATTCCGCGGCAGGGACTGAAAAGCAGACAAGACTATAAATCACTGTAAATTACGTGAGTCATATATCTACAATCTTGGCTCGATACACCAACGGCGATCGCTTTTAGTATCGAACCATTTATCTCAGCCCCTCATTCCTCGTAACAGCCAAGAACGTCAAGCTCCAGAGCTGCCTGATGTTACTCTCCGTCGGATTCTGCCCTGGTGGTGGCGGCAGCTCTCCCAACGGTGTGTAGACATAGTCTCCATTTTCGAACACCCAGCTCCAGACCTCGCCGCTCAGGATTTCCTCGTTCTGCTCGAGCAGATCCCAGAGGTGGTTGTACGCCGCTCTCACCCTATCGTAGAGTGGGGTGTCTCCGCAGTAGTCCGGCACATCGCCAGTATCAGGATTGCAGCGGTCTAGTTGAAGCTCCAACCCTCGGGCCATCATAGCTAGTTGCCAGCCCCAAACCACGGTGCCGTGGTAGGCGTTGTTCGTGAAGTTGGCTGCGTACACAGGATCCCCTCCGTAGGCAGGATTGGCGACAACGAGTCCGATAGATGTTGAGAGTCCGATGGGGAAGGGGTCCATGACGTGTCTTGCTGCCTGATCTAAGAACGCACTTAGCTGCGTCTGGTTTGTGCTATTCAGCATGAAGAGCCGGAAGCAATCGTCTGTGTTCATGACGCGCACGAGGGGCTGGTCGTTGTTGCCCTCAAGTGCGAGGCCGTAGAAGGTCACGGTGTCTGTAATATTCTGGGTGACTGGACCGGCGAAGCCTGATTCCTCGACGTAAGATTCCACAAGATCGCGGGCTTCAGCCGGTTCAACGGTGACCTTCAACTTTGTCAGCGGTTGTGGTACGCGGTGTGAAATTCCGAAAGGCAGCTCCAACGTAGGAGGCTTACCTGGAAGAATTGCAACGTCTCATCTTCCCAAACCTGCGCGTACTGAGCCGCCGTCTCGTTCCAGTCCGGATGCTCAGGGAAGAAACCGGCTGCAGACAGTGCGGCAATGGCTCTGAGTCCCGCAGGTACCAATGCAGTGTTGACATCGTATGGAATGCGTCCGCCTCCTATGCCGTAAGTGCTGTCTCGCCAATTGCCTACGATTTCCCTCTCCTTTAGACGGATCAGATTTTCAGTCGTCTGCCCACCGGCTGAGGCGAAAGGTGCGGAGGAGTTCACGATCTTCTCTGCACTAATAAGGGCTAGATCCGCGTATGAAAGTCCTTCGTTCGCTGGATCTACCGTTGCCGTCGTTTCGAAGAAGGCGGATGTTCTCTCTTGTCCGGTGGCCGTGTCTACGAAGTAGGTCTTCATCAGGACAGGGAGGAAAAAGTCCGTGTCGATCATCTTGTAGTCGTAGATCGGAGCCGTACTGGTAATGTTGTTCTGCAGATTCAGATACGTGGCGTAGTCCCCGAGAGTCTCTTCATGTGCAACGCTACCATCCGTACTATTGATACGTTCGAGCACGGCGGAAATAACTGCTTCCATGGCTCCGTTTTCACCCTCACTCAGGACAGGCTGGAGCAGGAGGGCTGAGATCATACTGTCGCGGCCAAAGTAGGTCAGAAACCGCCAAGCTCCCGCTAGCAGCTTCGTCGTGTAAGACAAGAATGCCAGTGACGCAGCTTGGTCCGGGTTTTGGGCTATCAGATCCCGTGAGGCCGGGTTCAAAACCTCTTCAGGACTGAGCTGGTCAAGTTGTGGGTAGTCGAACGAGGCGCTGAATAAATAGAGGCCTGCTTCAAATTCGAGTGTTCGGTTGTTGAGCGTTATACTGGCATTCTCATCATCAGCCGAGGGAGCGAAGTTTAGGTATGTCGTTGTCTCATTGTCGAGCCATCTTCTGCTCAGCGAGAACTCTCCTCCGTCTAGCTCGTTAAATTCTATTGCGTCTTGAATCCGTGGGATGAGGATACTGGGCCCTTCAGTGAAGTCACGAATTGTCCGTATACTGCCGAGGATGGCTACATCAAGAACGGCCGGAGAACTGAGCCGGATATAACCCTGAACTCCGACCAGCGGGTTGCCGGATGCAGTTGAGGATGCACTGTAGACAGGGGCTAGGGCTCCGCCAGTTGCGGTAGAGTTTTCCAAGCTGAGCGTCAAGGATCCGTTCACTCCGTTTTGCGGTTCGAAGAAGGCGACGACACCGCTGTTTCCTGCTGGCCATGCAACCTGAATTTACGTTAGTCCATGCAGATGGTACACGGTAAAAGGTGACGTACCAATAGCCGCGGTCCGATTATGGTCAGATTGCTATCCTCTAAAGGACTGGTAATGACCACTTGGTTGCTGGCATGACAGTCCGAGTAGAAGTAGTTCTCGTACGGAGGATCGCTCAGTTGCAGCTGGGTAGCGGGACTTGGGCAAGCCGTGGAACCTGTAGGCGACGCGGAGGCGGTCCGCGTTGATGACGGACTCGGAGAAGTTCCAGACACAGGAGGATAGACGAGGCGGTCGTTCGAGCACCTTGGTCAAGTTAAGCAGCGGTCAAGTCCAAGGTCCGAGTTGTCCTCACGAATACATATCCGGCAGATAGCAGTCCATGCCACATTTGAGTGTAGGAACTCCATTAATCACGGGGCACAGAAAGTTCCCCTCGTAGCACGTGTACTGTACGGATGATGAGCCGACTTTGTCCTTGAGCGTTTAGGCCTCTCCACTCACCCTTGACGGAAGATAGCGAGCCTCTCCACAGTACACCAAGTCGGCCTCACTTTGAGGTAGAGCGAAGGCGTGCCACCACAGGGCGGCGAAGGCCAGGAGCGCATACGGCTTCATCGTGTGTGAAGTCGGCAACATAGCGAATTCCTTTGAATCAATACCTAGCGAGGTGCCGCGAAAGAGCGTCGTCCAACATCCACGGCGAGGGAATGCCTTGAACTTTAAGTCCTCCGCACTCACCCACAGGATTAAACGTCATGTTCAAGGTTGCGGACGTAACCTCCGCAAAGTAAGCCGGAAAGGATTGGTGCATTGGTGCCTCACGATCTGAACGAACAAGCTTGGAAGGTTGGGGGGAAGCTACACGTGTAGCGGGAGCATCGAATGCGGGGTTGCAGATCACGATGCTGGGCTGGCGGAGAAGGAACAGGTTTAGCAGTCCGAATGGAGGAAACTTTGTCTGCCCAGGTGTCTGCCCAGGTGCCTGCCCAGTGTGCTAGCGGTTCTGCCATGGAGCTGTAGAGCCGAAGTCCGAAGTAGTTTCCTCTAGTGTACCGGCTGTTGTTGTCGATATGGCCGGAGCTCTTATATTCAGCTTGCTGAAGTTACATCGTCGAGCTCCCGCGCAGCTAGAATTGCAACTTACCTCAAGAGAATCGTCGACTGCGTAATGGAGAGCACCGGAGAGAGGCTCAGGAGAACAATGTGCAAGTGTGAGCTTGTGGCCCGAGGGTCCAAGCTCCCACGCTCCCATGTCGCGTGAGATGGGGTGACGCAAAGGGACAGGGACTGAGCTGCGCGACCCCTCACAACGGACCTTGAACCAACTTACACCTCTTGCCGTCGACGACCTCAATCGCAATCATCACACTACTCTAACACTCAGCATGAGGCCATTCGTACACGAAGAGGTCCCAGTGGCCATTCGCCTTACGCGCGCTGTAGGCATCACGGCTTCCGCCTTCCTCGCTGGTGAGTCTCGCCCAAGATGACTCTGCTCAGCGCCAAACTCCAGCGCTGATGTCGAGGCATTGAAACACAGGTCAAACAGCGGCCTCGTCCTACATACTTGTTCCGGCCGTCCTAGAAGCACCCGCTCCCCTCGCCGTCAAGCAATGGAGGAAGGCCTTCAACATCGGAAAGGTTGTGGGTCCTGTACTCTCTGTTCTCTCGGGCGGCATCTTTGCCTATCTGGCCAGCCGCGGTACGTCCTGCCCGTAACGTTCATATTACAGCCACGTCTTCGCTGACGCACGATGCAACCGTCAGAACCCCGCACGTCCTCGGCCTTCAAATTCTACACCGCTGCAGCCGTTCTCCTGCCCTCTATCTTCCCATACACCGCCCTCGTCATGACGCCAGTTAACAGAAAGCTCCTATCGAAAGCGAATTCCCTTTCTAATGTCTCTATCACCGACGATAGTGAATCTGGCGTCGCGAAGGAAGAGACTGCGCACGCTCTCATCGACAAGTGGGCCACACTGAATCTGGGTCGTGCGCTGATGACGACTGTTGGCGCATTCTGCGGGGTGTGGGCTACATTGAACTGGATTGACGTTGTGGAGTGGGAGGGAATTGGGCTTGGTACCGGAGCGAGCAGGATGGGTGATTAAGTGCGCGCAGTAATTGAAGTATTGACAGGGCGATTTGAATACCCCGCTCTTGGAGTCGACGATGAGTGTCAAAGGGAAGGACTTGGGTGCGAGTGAGCTCTATACAGGCCTCGAATTTGCGACCGAGTTATAGATGCTGGAGAGTCATGCAGTTGTACTGTACTTCTCGAGATCTTGATTCATTTCAAGTGGAGTTCTGGATATCCACAGGTTAAGCGGTCTGAGATTATTAAATGCCGGAAACTATCGAACTGTGGTGAAAACCTTCACAACAACATCCAATAGCCCTGAACTGCAGCCTTTTTTCAGAGTGAAGTGCGCCGACTAACGAACAGACCTTACATAGCTCGTTGTGTGGCATCGTGCGTTCCAACCCTCAGCAGCTCCACGTTGACCTTGTTCGCTCCCAGCGCCTCATTCCGCTACCTGCGTTGCTGACCATCTAAGACATTCTCGAAGGGGGTTCTAGGTGTCACTCGAACCCAAGATGGCGGAAGCGTAATTGCAGCCATGCTTTCATCAGGCGTCACGCTCTCACTACCCACATACGGTGCGATGGGTTCAAACTTCTACCTGAACTTGAAGCCATCAGAGCTCAGAAGTCTCTGCCACGAACGCCAGCTCCCGACTATCGGTACCAGAAACCAGCTCATTCAGCGCCTGAACGCCCACGATGTAGAGCGCGGCTGCGATGATGATACTACTCGTGAAACTCAGGTAATTCCGTCCGATGGGAGAGGCTACGATCCTGCGCGGCTTATAGGAATACGTATATGCCCCACATCTCAGTCTCCCTGACATCTAGATCTCTGCTGACACCTGTATGCGCCAGCACTCCGCGGCTACTTCCAATGGGACAACCAGATGCGCCTAGATTTTACCAACGGGGAGACTGTGAGTTTCCGCATCACTCAGACCAGCATGAGACCGGGCGGCGAGGCCCAAGGAACACACGTCTCAGAGCCCATCTTCGGCACCGATCTCAATCTCCGCAAGGCCCTCGAGAACATGCTGGGACAAATCTACCGGGGAGGTCCTCCCACTAGAATCATCAACGCCTGCATCGCCGTGAGAACCAGCCTTCGTAGGAATCCAACCCTGCCGGTGGGCGAGTGGAGAGAAAACGACGAGTGGTATCTAAGGAACCCGCCGGTCAAGCATAGGGTCATCGGGCTGCAGCTGGAGGGCATGCACAGGATGGGGTATGTGTACTGCTGGGACAAGAGGCTGGTTACGAAGGGAGCAGAGGGCGATGCGTTCTGCGATGTCGAGCTGGATTCTCTGAAAGCTATGGACTCTGCGTTTGACGAGGACGTTGATGCCGCGAGCGACGAGATGTCTCTCGATGATGAGTCTGGACGGGAAGAGCACGGAGGAGACATGGATTTAGATACCCCAAGCGCTGGCATGGTGCAACCTGATACTGCTTCGGCGCCTGAGATCCGACCGAGCGGTGCTGAGAGCAATGCGGGCATGAGGAATCAGCAAGTCCAAGCATCGACAGGAGTGAAGCGGAAGCTCTCAGACGAAGATGTTTCGGAAGAGAGGGCGCACAAGTTCCGGAGTCAGGCAAGCTAATATGAATCTCCAATGAGTTTGCCATAACTCATCTAATCGAGGGTTGCAAACTGTATGATTTAGCGATCCAACAATGGGACTGACGCTCGCTACTGAGCCGGGATCTCAATCACAGAATTGCAAGAATACCAGCTTCATTCCAACTGCGTATTTTACTCTCGAAGTTGGAGTTGAACTACTCGAAGCATGACTTGCATGCACAGTACGTTTCAGCGGGTTGCTGCCCGGGAGCGCTGAATTGCTGCAGCAGAAATCCAGCTTAGTCGTAACTCCATACCAACTATGAGCCGGAAATGCTACCAGATGTGATCGTATGAGCTTATTGACGCATCGGGGTAATACGATCAATTACAAGCAAGATCTGCAATTTGCCGGATTACCATCGATCTGAAAAGCGCTGTCACGGTTGTCCTCGCGAACCTGATAGCATTGTAGCAGTCCACCTATCCAATACTACCTACCAACGCGTAGAGTACTGACAACCTTGGGTTGTCAACTACCTATACCTTGTACGGGTGTTAGCACACGCGATCACACTACGCGTTCGTGGTCTCTAGCAGTGCTTGGCCGGGGTTAACGGCGATAAGGTACCTAGCGGATTGTGAGACCCCGCCAGACATCCCGGTGTGCGAATCGGTCGAGTACCAGCCATATAGCCATATAGCACGATACTACCTAGGTAGAGTACGCTCTCCAAAGTCCGAGTCTTCTAGCACGAAGCCGCTTTCCTTTCGCTCATTTGCTTGCTGAAGCAAGATGTCACAACTACTCGGTCTATGCCATGAGCTCCTGCACAATATCTTCACCCAGCTGGACCCCTCGGATCTAGCATCAGTATCACGCAGCTGCCGGCCATTGAATCGCTATGTCAAGAACAACAAGCTGCTTTTCAAAGAATTGTACCTACAGAGATGGGTCGGTCTGCCCTGCAATTGATGGACGTACATTTCTGATGCATGTAGCAGGACGACCCAAGCCCAACAGCAGACGGCGCAGAGCCGGACTGGGAGTTCGAACTTCCGAAGCTCGTTGCATTTCAGAAGCTCCTCGAAAGCAGCAACACTGTCATGAAGGCAATTGCCCCTACAAAGCCCCAGAGTACCTCTCGCTGATACCCTCGGGCACAGACACTTTCCATCGCCGACATAACCCAACATGTCACCACCCTCCTCTCTACCGCCGCTACAGGCTCCACACACTCCCTCAACGTGGCCTTCCTGGCCCGAATCTTCAAGCAACCGCACACGAAGTACCTCTTGCTTTGCAACTCTTCCCTCTACGAAGCTGGCGAAGTGCACTTGAACGCCCACTACCAAAACTCGAGCCGGCCCATCCTTTCATCCGCCCCAATGGCAGGACGCGAACGCCAGCTCAGTGCAAAACTGCACTGCCTTTACGGGGTCCCCATTGACGTGAATTGGAAGGTGTCCGATCGATCCGAAACGCTCGACGCTACAGAATCGATGGAAGCAGTAACCAAGATCTACAGATGCATAAACCCGTACGCCCGATCCCGCGTGTACGACCTTCGCAGGTACACCGAGCAGACATTTTGGGGCCCATTCGTGGACGATGCATCCGAGCACGTGGACTGGGAGATGCTGGAGTCTATCATGGTTGTGCTGGGATACAATCTCGGCATGTTCAGCGAGCGGACGAGGGGCCTGTTTGGACCTGTGTGGGACAAGCCCTTCGAGGGGGCGGTGCCGGGGAGTTTTGTTCCGCCGCCTAAGGAGGAACCGTTCTGTTCCAAGCACACGAGGCACGATTCTGGACTCGCTGAGGTGCCCGCTTTGATTAAAGAGCCGAGCTTATCACTTGATGCGAGGGATCCGTACGGCGTCACTGGAACTTGGCGGCGGGTAAGCAGTCCTCTCTATTTTCCTTCTATCCAGCTTGGGCACGGCGCACTAACTGACGGTGAAACCCTAAGGTTGTCTGTTTCCTTGATTACAACGACTTCTACCGCTTCAACTTTTCAGACTCCCGACCGCTCCCCCTGTCTACCTCCCGGCCTCCCATAACAACTCAAGAAGCAATCCGCCTCATCACCCTCAAACTCCACGTCACCAAGATCGAACCGCCTCAGCCTCATACGCCTCATTCGCTCCCAACTGTGCACTTCAAAGGCACCTCGAGGAGCATGCACAGCCATTGGGATCCGAACGCCAACAGCACGATCGTTGGAACGGTCTCCCCGACGGTGGAGGGGGAGATTAGGTGGACGACTTTGTCGGTCTTCTTTGGAGAAGCGCGGTGGCGGAGCGAAGGGATACAAGTCGGCGGTCCGAGATCAGCCAGGGGCGTTATTGGGACGTGGTTTGACAAGTAAGTCTCGCTCGGCCCTTTTGTTTGCCCTGCCCTCACCATCTCCGACATCTGGAACAGAATGGGAGAAAGCGAGCAGCGGCATTGACGGCTTTACAGAGACTACGACGAGCACGGGCCGTGTGGTCCGACGGCATTCTGGAAGATTAGCGATGATGAGGGATACTGCAAGTGTCCGGGCGGCGGGCAGGAGGACGGGCTTGATGAGAGCGATTGAGCGGGGTAGGCAAAGCTTCGCCGGTTATGGGATCGAACTCAGGGCGGCCTTCCATTCGTACAGGAGTCAAGCAGATGCATGTTTTGTGAGACTGGGCCCGGTTGGACAGGGTGGTTTCGCTACAGACGGTAAGAATGAAGAGCGTTCGATTTCAAGGGACGCTTCGAGCCATATGCTATCGCGTGAAGCTACGTCTCCAGAATTACGCAGGCGTCGAGGCTGAGGCTGCCCTGCTGGAAGCATCCCTACGAGTGGGCTTTGCGTGGCTTGCTTGGGGAGTAGAGCGCCGTACCTAGGTCGTTCATGCACAACAGAGGTGATAGCTTGGATGAGGGATGCTGACTCGGACAGGGATGTTTGCGAACCCGAAAGCTTGGCCGGGGTTCTTGTTCTTGTTGTTGGGTGACGTGCGCTGGTGTGACCAGGGTCCTCGGTCCCGTCCCGCAGCAAGCTGGCAGCTGCCACAACCTTGGAAGCCATGACATCGAATTCTAGAACTCCCGTACAGTACTCTACAACAGTCCCCTCTACGCTCCTCTACGCTCCTGTCCGCTCTTCTCCGCTGACGGCCTGCTTTGCTTTGCTTTCCTTTCCTGTTCTCCGTCCTAGGGATCACTCTTCCCGCTGACAATTCTCTCAAGGTGCAACTGCATCGGTATCCAGCGTCTGCAGAGCCTGCCCCGCGTCACATCTGTTTGAGAAGCAGCAAAAGCAACGCCGGATCCAGGCGAACCTCTGCGTCTACAAGCCCACGCATGCACCACGGCCTGCCATAAGCATGTCCGCCCTCCATGATGCTCTCAATGTCCTCCGCCCAAAAGACTTCTCAGAAGTCCCCCAGGATGACCTGGCCGTCTTCTTGCGTGACATCTTCGCCCAAGCAGAGCTGATAGTCAACTCCGTACCGCCTCCACCTGGCGGCAAGGACTTCGCCTCCAGCAAACGCTCCCGCTCCGACTCCAATGGTGCTACGCGCGCCTCAGAGATCACCAGCTCCCCTGCTCGACCACCTCCGCTAGATCCATCGCACGAGGACTTGCAGAAGTCGTGGGGGAAGCCGTTGAAGCTGGGCCCGAGAGAGAACCCATTAGGCATTTCCGTGTACAAAATGGCGGGGCACGACAGGCACGGGGCATGGTTCGCGCGGAGGAGTATACACGAAGGGCTGGGGTTTGCGAAGTGGAAGAAGGCGATGCGGAGAGAGTTTGCGGAGAGCCTCGCTGTGCAAGGAGGCCCAGGAGCTGGCAGCATAAGGGGAATTGGCAGTGATCAACGGCTGGAGAGGAAAGACGTAGAGGGGATTGGGCGGATGGAAGGTGAGCATACAAATGCCCCGACGGAGCCGCTCAAGGTGCATCAAGGCCGAAAGATAGAACGCGTTTTCTGACATTACTATGCACACAGTCTACCAACTATCCGCACAATTCCCTGGACCTACGGCACCACGAGAATTTATCACCCTCCTTCTGACCTCGGAAAGCGCCCTCAGCGATAAGTCTGCTATAAAACAGTCTATCCCTCGACATTACATGGTGGTCTCTATACCCGTAACACACCCCGATGCTCCACCCAGGAATGGGTACGTTCGCGGCGAGTACGAATCCGTGGAAATGATCCGCGAGGTTCCCCTAACGCCACATAAACCCGATGCCAAGACACGAGAAGCAGACATGGAGCGAAAAGAAAAGGCCGCCGATGATGATCCAGAGACAAACCCGGTAGAGTGGATTATGGTCACACGTAGCGATCCGGGAGGCGGTATACCGCGTTTCATGGTCGATAGAGGCACACCAGGCAGCATAGCTGGTGATGCTGTCAAGTTTCTTGACTGGGCTTGCGGAAAGGAAGAGATACCAGACGAGGATGCTGACGCTGGAGCGCAGGAAGCCGCGCAAGAGCTGAAGAAGCAGGACACCAACGATGCCGCACAAATCAACGGTCATCCGGTTGGTATTGAGGGCAAGTCTCCTACGCAAGCCTATGAATCCGCACCTCAGAATGAAGGAGGACTCCTAGCAAACGCTCTGCCATCTCTTAGCTCTGTTGCTGCCTACGCCCCGGCGGCCGTACAGAACTACCTCCCCGAATCCCTTCAGCCTAAGAATGACGGTGCAGATGACGACGATTCGTCGGACACGTCGAGCATCGACTCATTCACTTCAGTCGAGGAGTTCCGGACTGCTGAAGACAACATCGCCACGCCTCGCGCCAGCCGCATTGAAGACTCCACCGATTCTCTCACCTCTATTAACTCCATAACCCCGTCCGCGATGGACTCCCCCACAAGCGCCCGAACACAGCACGACAAGGAGCTCGAAAAGATCGAAAAGAAAAAGGCCCAGCTCGACGAAAAGCTGCAGAAGTCGCGGCAGAAAGAGATTGGCGATAGCGAAAAAGCACACCAAAAGTACGAAGCCCAAGTGCGCAAAGCGCAAGAAAAGCACGACCGCGAGATCGCGAAGCTCGAGGCGCGACGCCAAAAGGAAGCTGCACGGCTCGCTGCCAGGAAGCAGAAGGAGGACGAGAAGAACGCGCTCACCAAGACGCAGCGGGAGCGGGACGAGTGGAAGCTCAAGGCCGAGGTGTTGGGCCAGGAGAACAAGGTGCTGCATGAGCAGGTCAAGGAGCTGCAGCGGGAGAATACGGCGCTGGTGGCGAAGATGGGGAAGATGGGCCAGGGACCTGAGGTCATAAGGCAGATTAGGGAGGAGCTGGCGGGTGGAAGGAGTAGGGCGAGTAGTGGCGCTAGTAATAGACCTAGTCCTAGTGTGAAGAGCAAGAGGAGTGCGGAGTTGTTGGGGGGCCAGACTTGACCGGGGGCGTGAACAGATGTCAATGGACATCCCGTAGGTCGGGCTGCGTATTGTTTAGTACACACTATTTCCAAGCATAACGGCGAGCAGAGCATCTTTAGCGTAGAGGGTGGAGGGATTTATTTCGTGTGATGATGATATCAAGAGATCCGGGGTACCTTTGTAGTCTGCTACGGAACTGGATCTCACCCAAATCAGATACTACCCCGCGATCAGCGTCCGAAGAAGTCAGAATCCATGCCATGGTTCGTAGAGTTCGCCCAGGTCGACAAAATCTTTCTGCTTCAGCTCGTCGGGAGCACACACATTGAGCTCAACAAAACTCATGTTTGCGACCACGCCGTCATAAGCCCAGCTAAACTCAGTCTCGGCAAAAAAGTTGGACACGTCCTTGTTTAGCCAAGTCGTCGTCGGCTCGAACATTTGTTTCCGAGTGTTTCTCTTCCACTCTGGAGAGTTGTCGCTCACTACACCTCCTCGCTCTGCTGCCTTACGTTCGAGGTCACGCAGATAGTGTGGATTCGGACTGTCTCGTGCCTCTGCCATGAGAGAGGAGTCTGGCTCAGCATTGAGCCCGTCGTAGACAGTCTTATAATCTGCGACAATGCAAGCCCTCGCAACCGATTGCTTCATCGACGGTTTCCGTCGAGCGAGCTCCATGTAGGTTCGCCAATCTGCAACGGCAGGATACCAGATACAGTAGGGGAGTACCGAGTCCCGGGTGTCTGGCGAGATGCGTGATAGGTCGTTGTTCATGATGAAACGGGCATTGATGGCGCATTGTATGCGGTAGTCGTCGATAGTGGGTTGTAGGGACCACCACTTCGCAAACATAGTGTTATGGTAGACACCTCTGACAATACAGTGGAATTCGGTCGGGACCCTCATCGGACGCCGGAGCCGGGCGTAGCGGTCAATATTCCCGTAATAGGCAGCCATCAAGATGAGAAGGTCCTTGTTCACGTTTGGTAGGTCAGCTGGTAGGGGCGTGTAGAGGAGAGGCGTCACATCTTCTCTGAGAATGGGTTCGTCTGATTCGTACTCGTCGATCCTCCAATCCTCAGTTATGTCGAAGTAATGCGTTTTGTAGCCTAGACTGAAGCTGTTCAAGGATAGGCTGGGTTTTGTGTACCTCTGTCTGATATCAAGGTACGACCGTACAGCGGTGTCGCCGTTCAGATGTGCCATAGTGGGTTGGTCCATCTCTACAGTTCGTGTGTAGTCGTTCATGGCCGCATACTTGGTGCCAGCGGCCATAATAGCATCCAAGATAGCCGATTGGCCGTTGTCTCGCGCTTCTTCTGCAATGTGCACTTCCGGGAGCAATCCCAGTTCCCCGTACAGGTTGAGATAGCCCGCAACAGCGCAGGCACGCCCAATTTGGTATTTCATCTGCGGATAGCGATGGGCAAGTTCACGATATGTCGCCTCTGTCGCTGTCTGGGGATGCCAAATGCAGTAAGGGATTTCGTCTGGCTCCTTCATGTCCGGGATCTCATTGCTCATGATGCTGCGAGCGTTGAGAGCGCGAATGAACTCCGGCAGTGAGCCATGCAGTTCTTTGGCAAAGCCCGGATGGTAGCATATCCCGCGTACGACGCACAACCGAGTGACGTCTAAGCCCAAGGCTTGTGGAATCTGCTCGCCACGGATAGCCAAAAGACAATCGCGAGCATTGTATTTCTTAATATAGAGTATATGCTTAGGCATGGCTGCCATGGCCAATACAAGAATGATGAGTTTAAAAGTCAATTGGTATGAGACAGTGGGAAGGTGACAACGTTGAGTGATTGGGTGAAAGTGAGTGGCGAGGGATGTAGCTATCTGAGGTGCAATCGTATATCTGTATACGATGCGGGCAGGCAACGTGATCTGGAGACGGATAGAAGTAAAGACGAGTGCCGATCAAGGTCTGGCTGTGCATCAGTTAGTACACATTATTTCTAGGGCTGACAGCGAGCGAGAGCTAGCCTAGGTGATTTGGTAGGCATTTGTGGCGGGAAGGACGTAAAGACTTTGGTATGAACATCATGAACATCAGTGAGAGGTGTGTCTTGTCATGCAACTGACAGACCAACTGATAGGGACCGCTAGAATTGATCAACTTCAACACGGTTGCAGATACTTTTACACTTTACAATGACCATTCCAGCTCCAGTTATGGCTGAAATATGCTTACGAGGTTCTATACGCGTCCCCTCGCCCAAGCGACTAATGTATCTACATCATCGCATTGACTATGAAGAGTTCAACCGACAGTCAACGCAGTGCCGTGTCCGCTGGAGGTTTTGAAGCTGACATCATGCCATTCGATCAGAGCTCGCTAACCCCACATGGAGGCTCTCCGCGCCTGCAGATGATCTGCAGCGCCTCAACCGCGCCGCTCTGTCGGGCCCGGGGTTTGCTGCACTTGATCATGACCGAACGCTAGGGGGCTCAATGGAAACCTGCCTCGGTAATGAACATCGATGAAACCTCTCTCTCATATCCGCAACCATCATGCGTGGGATGCAGGTCGTGGTGAGGTTTGGTGCAAGGTCCTCAAGGAGGCACGGGCAAGTCCGCCGCAACGCTGTCTCTTCGCATCTATGTGCAGATCTGTATCAGTCTCAATATCAGAACTCTCTGTGAGCTTCTCCGCCGACACCGGCTTTAGGCGCACATCAATCGGACGGGGCACCGCTGTCTACCCTCAAGCTTCTGGGCTATTTCAATAGTCGTATGCGCGATCTTCGTCTTCCATTGGTTACTACCTCACCTAGCCATCATCTCGGTCATGTCTCGACCTTCCCTGCCGCCGGAACAACCCAATTTCGCACTCCAAGCCCGGGAATCCTGAGGATCTGCCTCGGCATCTATGCGATCTTCTTGAGGTAGGCAAGATCTCTCCGCGATGTTGATTAGATACAAAGAGCCGCGTTGGCCGTCGACCGTTGTGCAACGATTCAACGACACATTTTCTCCCGTCCTGAACAGCTCTTGTACTTCCTCAACTGTCTGAACACAACAAGCTTATTGGCAGCTCACAATGTTGCGTCGTACTTCTTCCTTTCTGGCCTGCATTTACCTGCTTAGCACTACTTTTCAAGTAGTAGCTGCGAAGCCCAAGGTCACAATTGCATCTGGGCCAATTGCTGGTACGAGTACTAAACTCGCTTCCTCTACGGCAACAGTCGATCAGTACCTTGGTATTCCGTTTGCCAAATCCCCTCCAGAGCGGTTCGCTCCTCCCGAGGATCCTACGGCGTGGAAGAAAGAGCTGAATGCTTCAGCCATAAAGCCAGCATGTATCCAGCAGTTCAACTGTAGGTTCAACCTCTCAACTACAAGTGATTCTTACTAAATCCATTCCTATAGACCCCGAGTCGACCCGGGAGTTCACCACGAGGCTTTACAACAACCCTCCCGTGCCGGAAAGCGAGGATTGTCTCTATCTCAATGTCTATGCCCCATCATCAAAGCCGCCCCCGGGTGGCAGAGCTGTCCTTTTTTGGATCTACGGAGGCAATCTCGTGTTCGGATCTGGCGGTCTACCAGCCTATGATGGGACTAGCTTTGCCGCAAACCAGGATGTCATCGTGGTGACGCACAATTATCGTACCAACGTCTTTGGGTTCCCTAACTCAGCGGAGCTTCCAGCGGGATCTCAGAACCCGGGATTCTTAGATCAGCGTAAGGCTCTTGCATGGGTACAGCAGAACATCGCGGCCTTCGGCGGCGACCCGTCGAAAGTAACGATATTTGGAGAGAGTGCTGGCGGCTACTCAGTAAAGCAGCTGGTCTCCGTTCCCCCTAAGCCGCTCCCCTTCCGAGCAGCTATCATGCAGAGTCAGGCCGCTGCTCTTGAAGGCGGCTCAACCGGCTGGGAAGCCCTCTCGACCGCTCTAGGCTGCCAAACGGCGCCATCCGAGATTGAGTGCGTCCGCACGGCATCCGCTATTGACATCAAATCGATCATTGAGAGGAATGCGCTCGACTTCCCGCCTGTTATCGACGGCGTTACTCAGACCAGCAACGTTGCCGCTGCCATTACCTTCGACACTGCTGCACAGGTCCCGCTCCTCATCGGTACCAACTCAGAGGAAGGTCGTGTCTTTGCCGTTGGCATCCAGAATGTGGACGACCAACTCTCGGCCCTCTTACCGGGGCAGCCGCTCCTGCAGGCAGCCATCAAGGCAGCATATCCGCCCGCTGTCTATCAGACCCCTTACCGCATTGCCGCAGCCATCATCACAGATCTGGTTTTTCAGTGCCCGGCGGCTGCCCTGGCCAACCTAGCAGCCAGCACCGGGTACGACGTCTGGCGGTACTGGTTCGACGCCTCCTTCCCGAACACACAGTACTTCCCAGACGCAGGCGTCTATCACGGTTCCGAGATCACTCAGGTCTTCGGCACCTACCCGCGTGAGGGCGCAACAGAGCAGCAGGTGGAGCTGAGCAAGTACATGCAAACAGCGTGGGCGAACTTCGCGAAGGATCCGGCGAAGGGGCCCGGATGGCCGAAGCTGCGCAGTCAGGTACTCGACCTGCAGGATTTGGGTGGGAAGGGGTCGAACGGGGGTTTCAATATCGCGGAGGAGGCCGTGGATTACAGGTGTCCGATTTATGCGCCCATAATTGCTGTCAGGGGCCTTTGATAGATCCATCTTGTAACGGATATACGAATATTGTTTGATGTCATCCTTAGTGTTGTGCTCCAAGAATGATCCAATGATGCGGTGAGGCTGCCACAAATGTTTGCAGTCCTCCAGCTGCAGGTGAGTGAGTCTGGGGAAGCACGGAACGATACCGTGCCTTAGCGGAATGTGGGGAAAGCTGAAGCCCTTTCGGCGCAACCACGGCCGACGTTGCTTTTGTACCTCTGAAATCCCCGCCACGTAAGACGCCGGATGACATTACAGCTTCCACGGAGTAGACGTTCCGATCTTTGATTCGCGCGTAACGGCGAGTCTGTCTGATTGTATTATTATCATTCTTCTGCCTGCTAAGAACCCCCTAAGTAGCGCCCAAAGCTGCGCGACTCGACCCCAGTTCCGGACCCTCTACCACTCTATACCTACGCCCAACTCATTGAATCTGTCCCAGGTGTAACTTCCGCCCTGCTACGCACCGGCGCAGTCTCAATCCCTAGCTCCAGTCGATCCCACCCCGCCTGGGTACACACCGTACACTTTCGTAATCGATTGGCGTTCTACACTTGTGACGCGGTAGAGGAAAAACCCAATAGCTGAGATGATGATCAAGCGTCAGCAAGAGCGGCATCAAAGGCTCTCATAGATGTGGGGAAAGGGACGTCGCAATGGATGCAAACTTCCATCAATCAACACCAAGTATGCTGGACGATGGCCCGAGTGATCCACTGAGCCTGGGCGACTACACAATGTCAGAATCTCGAGCTTCACGGACGCAGACGCTCCTCCAACCGTCTGGTTCCTCACGTGTAGCCTTGGGTACGAGTCCGGTGCCTACATCACCGGGGTTCTCATCGAACTTCCCAGGCACGTCCCACGAATATCAGGCATTCAGCACAGCATTCGACAGAACACAGATCCCATCGCCATCCCTGCAGCAACAATCGTTCGGACATTTTCAACCTGGATCTACGTCGAATTTGGCAGAGGGCTACAATCTGTTTTCTGATGCATCCCAACACCGCCTAAGCAGCGGCAGCGCAACTGACTTTCAAACTGGACACAACTTGGGATATATGGACGGCCTTGGAAACAACACTAGTCCAGACGGCTCACTTGGTTACAATGCGCTTGGCGTCGGAGCTGCCAGTATCGAGGATGGATCAGTGGCAAGCATGGCCGAAGGCGACGGTGACCCCGGAGAGCAGAGCGAAAATACCCCAAAACGGGAGAAGAACGGCAAGGAGAAGCCGCCGCCCGCATGGAGCGAAATGAAGACGAAAGCAGGGAAAGAACGCAAGCGGTTGCCTTTGGCTTGCATTGCGTGCAGACGGAAGAAGATACGATGTTCCGGAGAGAAACCTGCCTGCAAGCATTGTCTCCGTTCGCGCATACCGTGCGTTTACAAGATTACAACTCGAAAAGCTGCGCCAAGAACAGATTACATGGCTATGTTGGACAAGAGACTTAAGAGAATGGAGGACCGTGTCATCAAGCTCATACCGAAGGAGACCCCCGGCGGTGTTCCAACAGTCACCAGGGCCGTTGTAAAACCAGCGCTCCCGGGAGCCACACTCAAGACCCCATCGAGCAAGAAGAGACCGGCAGACGAGGCCTTCGGTGTTGATCTGGACGAATGGTCAAAATCGAAAGCGAGGGATCCGCGCGAGGGAATGTCGCTCCCGCCCAAGGGCAAAGACGCAGAAGAGAACAAGCTGCTGACCGAAGGTGCTGAAAGCCTACCCTCGAAGCAGCTTCAAGAGCATCTGGCCGAGGTCTACTTCGACTATGTCTATGGCCAAAGCTATCCATTACTGCATAAACCCAGCTTCATGCGCAAGCTGAGCGCCGGATTGGTTCCCCCTGTGCTAGTGCTGGCAGTATGCGCCATATCTGCACGGTTTTCAACCCACCCCCAGGTCCGCACAGAGCCGGCCTTCTTACGTGGGGAGAAGTGGGCAAGTACGGCACGGGAGATTGCTCTCAAGCGCTACGACTCGCCAAACATCACCATACTGATTGTCTACCTTCTTCTCGGTTTACATGAGTTCGGCACGTGTCAAGGTGGTCGCAGCTGGATGTTTGGCGGCATGGCCCAGAGGATGGCATACGCCATGCAGTTACACAGGGATCTCGATCACGACCCGCTCGGCAAGGGCAAGGAGGGTCAGGTGGTACTGAGCCCCACAGATCGAGAAATCCGACGACGGACTATGTGGTCTTGCTTTTTGATGGATCGCTTCAACTCTTCCGGAACCGAGCGGCCGCTCTTTGTGCAAGAGCAGTTCATTACTGTGCAGCTGCCTGTTAAGGAACAGTACTTTCAGATGGAGGTGTCCGGTCCGACCGAAGACTTGGATGGAGGAGTACCCAACCCTGTCCCGGGGGACAACGGCCAGATGAGCAATGCCAAAGACAACATGGGCGTGATGGCATACCTAATCCGCCTAGTAGCCATTTGGGGCCGTGTCATCAAATTCATGAACCTCGGCGGCAAAGAGAGGGAGACGCATCCCATGTGGTCGCCGCAGTCCACCTTCCATGAGCTGAAAAATGCAGCACTGGAATGGAATTCCTCGTTGCCGAGTTTCCTGCACTACAACGCCAAGAATCTCGAAGACCATACTATTGAGAAAACCGCAAACCAATTCCTGTACATACACATCTTGTACCACCAGATCATTCTCTTTATGAATCGCTTCGCTCTGCCATCGATCGCCGGCAGCCGACCCCCGAAAGATATGCCGCGAGATTTTCTTACCGAAGCTGCTCGCGCTGCGCTCAACGCAGCGAACAAGATCTCTATTCTCATCAACGAAGCCATGGACTATCACGTCGTTGCGCCATTTGCCGGCTACTGCGCCTTCTTCTCCAGCACTGTGCACGTCCACGGCGTGTTCTCGAAGAACCCGAAGCTCGAAGCTTCCTCCAAAAAGTACCTCGCTTACAACGTCAAGTATGTTAGCAAGATGAGGAAGTATTGGGGCATGTATCACTTCGTTGCCGAAAACCTCAAGGACCTGTACCGGCAACATGCAGATGCCGCCCTCCGTGGCTCATCAGCGACCAATACAAAAGGCGGCCCTGCGAATATCTTTCAATACGGCGATTGGTTTGACCGCTATCCCCACGGCGTCTCATCGACCGACTACGAGGATCCGGCTGCAGATGAGAAGAAGGAACCTGGCACAGACGCCGTACTCGGCGGCCAGAAGTCGGACTTGCAAAGTGTGGAAGAGTTCTTCGCAAGCTTGTCCCCACCATCAAAAGCCGAACATCAGCGCAAGCTAGCGAAGAAGGCAAAGAACAAGAAGTCCATCTCACAGCTGGCCTCTCAGTCAACCAGCCATCCCTCGGCTGCTCAACAAGCCACACAAGACATGCAGACGCAACAGCGAACTCAGTCAATGGACCATCTGGCAATCTCGCACGACCTCACCAACACACAGCCACACTTCGACAGCGCCTTCTTCGACCCTTCCGCCTCTCAATCCTGGCAGGACCACTATTTCCTAAAACCCCACGGAGGTCTGTTCGGCGACCTAGACAGACAAATGGTGCTCTCCTCCTACGATCTCGACGTCCCCCTTTCTACCTCACCCACAGCCGTCGACCCAGCAACCTCCATGCCCTCGCTTCTGCCGCCAGACCCCCTAGACAACCCGCCTGCGGGTATGTGGGACATGGATATCGCGAATCTAAATTTTGCGGACCCGAGCACGGCGTGGTTCATGCCGTTTAATATGGAGCCCCCGGATATAGGGGCTGATGCGGGGATGCTTGGTGGTGGGGTGTGGGGCTACGATTTTGACGGTGGGGCGCAGGGGTCGCTTGAGGGCATGGAGGTGGGGAGGTTGGAGGCGCAGGAGGTGGAGGCGCAGGAGGAGGATGGGGGTGAGATGATGGAGCAGATGGTGTAGGATGGAACACGTATTGGATGTTTATGACAGTATGTAACTCTACGTGTCTTATGCGGCATGCGGAGTGGGAGCGTGTGTATTGGGCTCGTTTGTATATTTTTGGAGCACGTCTTGTACAGATTGGCGGGATCAGAGCTTGTAGGACGACCTTGATAGCTCCGCGCGGAGTGACGGCTATAAATGAAAGGAACGACTAGGGGTGAACGAAACAAGCTTCAACGGTAAGAGATACAGATTTCTAAGGCTGCTGGAGTGCAGTTTCTCTCCCGTAGGGCTTACTCGTCTCGCCCTACTTACACTGTACCCAAGTACAAATGTTCGTATAAGCTCTGCTGTTAGGCTGGCTAGATATTGTGCTCATTATTGCTGTGAAGATAAGCCTGTTCTCGATTGACATACCTCGTCCCTAGTTCACCAAGGGGTATTGTAAGCCGAGTAATGCATGCTTTCCCGCAAACATCTATGCGGGTTGAGGGCGGCATTCAGGGGCCTGAGTGAACGACCTGAGGGTTCCCAGCGGTTAAGCAAGGTGATCCGGGTAAGTTATCACACTCCACAGAGATAATCCCTACAAAAATCTTCAAGAACCGGGGGATTACACAGCTTTCGGGGGTCTTTGTCGAGATCGTCAGAATCCGACGACAGCCCGTTCCTTCATGACTCGGTAAATCTGCGAAACTTACTCTACAGATCAACAGTTCGGAACATGCAAACAGCCGTCCAGCCTTCTGCATGCCGTGTCCTTCCGACGATTCACCAATCCGGGGGCGGAAGGACGGCAGCTGGCGCACTCCAGAACCTTTTGGCTGCAGCTCTAGCCCGGACATCGTCCGACTGGACAGGCGACCCAGAATGGGCTCTCGTGAGAGGACGGACGGCCTCCCGTCCGGGCTGGCAGGCTGGGGGAGAATCGCCGGGGCGTCTCGGTCAGATCTGCGGACCTTGGGGGCGGAGAGCGGTCGAGGGCCAGAGCGGACGCGGGAACGATGCGCTCTTCACCAAGGGAACGAGGTGAACCAATGTTCTGACAGGTGGGCTTTCTGCGGCACCCCATTAATCGCTCACAGCTTTCCCGGCGCCCTGCCCCTTGGCCCTTTACCCTGCAGCTTAACACGGCTTCCCCGTCGTTGCTGCTGCTGTGTACCTAGCACTCCTTCTCTTTTCCCTACCTTTAGAGCCGTATCCTGGCTGCCACTGCATCACGTTGCTTCTGGCTTTTGTGTCCTCACGACGTGGTCGTTTGATCAGATTCACAGTCAGCTGCACACACCGTTGGCGGGGCTGAGCCGAATTCGAGCACGGGCATCCGCGGCAGCGATAGAGGCCCAGATAAGCAAAGTCAACCCCCGCCGAGTCCACGAGCCACGAGCCACGAGCACCTGGATCACGCCCCGGCACTACCTGCAGCTATCGCCAGCTCTCCGAGATCTACCCTCCTACTCTCCACATCTTCTCTCTCTGCTGCTGTTGTGTGTTTCCTGATTGCCCGTGTTGTTGATGTGTGTTACTCCCTCCTTGCCGTGAAGGGTAAAACTTCGCTCGGGCAATGCTGACCGTAGCTTCCTGTACCCAGAACGTCTAGGGAAAGCAAACATCTACCCGTCGTCCGATCGCACTCTTACCTTGTCACTGCCGCCTGTAACGCGACCGTCGTTTGTCAACACCATTAGAGAAACCAGGCGTATATACAGTCCCTCTAGGTCACGAGCGTAGCGGGGCCTGCTGCAGTGCCCCCTCGCTCTACCTCTGCGCTGGACTATACCACCAACCATTCACCGACAGAACCATGGCACAGATTGCGGCCGGTGATGCTGTTGAGCCCTCCGAGGATGTGCGGTCGCCCGCTTCCGTGGGCTCCAGCAGTGGAGCAGTCACATTCGAGAGGCCAAAGCTGAAAGGGCGAAAGAAGCTGTTGGACGGGCTCCAACGGATTCACTCGTCTTCATCGTTGTCAAAGGCTGGGAGGGCACCATCCGGGTATCGAAGCGGGGGTCTCCAATCTATGTCTTGCGTCTCTCTGTCCTCCGCCGGGTCGCCCTACGGTAACTCGTACGGTGGCTCTTGCTCTTCGGAGATATCTGCAGTATACTCGACCGCTCCAACTTCTGCCGCGACTACGCCAGCTGTCGATGCTCCGCTCTTTGAGCGAAAGACCCGCCTGCGGGCGATCTCGCTGGGCAAAGATGCTCCCAGTAGTGTGCGACTGCCCGCAGATCTGAGACCGTTCTCTCGGCTGGGCGTCAGTCCTGCTATCACCCCTGGTCTGGGCGGGGTCTCAGAAGACTATTTTTCTATACCAGTAAGCCGGGTCAAGAAGATACCGAAAAGGGAGAACTTCAATTTCTGGGACGAGATGCCTTCTGAAATAAGAATGCATATTCTCCAATACTTGAAGCCGAAGGAGATTATCCGCTGCTCTTCCGTCTCCAAAGCCTGGCACAAAATGTGCTTCGACGGGCAGCTGTGGAGCAATCTGAACACGTCCGACTTTTACCGCGATATACCCGCCGATGCTCTGGTGAACATTATCACGTCCGCTGGTCCATTCGTGAGGGACCTAAACCTACGCGGGTGCGTGCAGCTTCGGGAAAGGTGGAACGCGAAAGGACTCGCAGATGCCTGCCGCAATCTGGAGAACTTCTCGCTCGAAGGCTGCCGTATCGACCGCACATCCATTCATTGCTTCTTACTTCAGAACACTCGACTTGTGCATATCAACCTGTCCGGCTTAGCAGGTGCTACCAATTCGGCCATGAAGATCGTCGCCCAGTACTGCCCAAAGATCGAGCATCTCAATATTTCCTGGTGCAATAATATTGACACACGAGGCATCCGGAAGGTCGTTGAGGGCTGTCCGAATCTTAAAGACCTCCGCGCCGGCGAGATTCGCGGCTGGGATGACGTCGAGTTCATGCATGAGCTCTTCAAGCGGAACACGCTGGAACGGCTGGTCCTGATGAACTGCGACAGCCTGACCGACGAGTCCCTCTGTGCACTCATCGAGGGGACCGACAGCGAGATCGACTTCCTAACCGGCCGCTTCATCGTTCCACCCCGCAAGCTCAAGCATCTAGATCTCACGCGCTGTCGAGGCATCACGGACAAGGCCATCCGCGCCCTCTCTCACAACGTTCCTGATCTCGAAGGCCTCCAGCTGTCGAAATGCCATGCCCTGACCGACGCCGCGCTCACGGATCTCTTGCCCACCACACCCCGCCTCACGCACCTTGACCTAGAGGAACTCAACGAGCTCACCAACGCCACGCTGCAGGCCCTCTCCTCCGCGCCGTGCAAAGAGTACCTCGGCCACCTCAGCATCTCCTACTGCGAGTCCCTCGGCGACGCAGGCATGATCCCCGTCCTGAAATCGTGCCCGCGGCTACAGAGTCTCGACATGGACAACACGCGGATCAGCGACCTCGTCCTCGTCGAAGCAGCCGCCTGTGTGCGGTCTCGGAACCGCCTCGCGCGCGGGCTTACCGCCTCCGAGCGTCCAACCGTCGGCCTGAGGCTGGTGGCCTACGACTGCGCGAACGTGACGTGGACGGGCGTGCGGGAGGTCCTGTCGCGCAATGCGGAGATCATGCGACCTACCGCCAAAAATGTGGCGGCGACGTATCCGCGCGAGATCATCCAGATGAAGTGCTTTTACAACTGGCAGCCTACGGTCGAGGAACACACCAAGAGGGTCCTGAGGGGCGATTTCGCGGCCGCGGCGCGCTTGGAGAGGAAGTGGGCCGAGTGGATGATGTTGAATGAGGAGGCTGGGGCGGGCGCCGGTCATGGGGCTCGCAGGAGGAGGCGGCGGGCGAGGGAGGCGCAGCTGTTGCATGCGGATGAGGAGGAGGGCGGGGTGATGGGTGCTGGAGGGGTGGGACGAAGGAGGAGGGCGAGGAGTGGGCCGGGCGGGTGTTCTGTGATGTGAGAGGGAGATTGTGGATATTGGTGTTTGTGATGGGAATATGTTATATCTGGATTGGTGTCTGTCGGGATTGGGTTCGCTATACATATCTGCGCATCTTGGGTCGCATATGCATGGTCGGGAGGAATGGAGGTGCTTTGGCGATCCGAGTCCGTTTCTCGTTGCCTGTCATACTGTCACGCCTTCATGTATGTTGTTGTTCTTGGCGGGGTGTCAAAGTTGTGTACATGATTGGCATACAAGACGCGATTATCTGAATCACACCGCGGATGTAAAGTTGCGTTTGACGGTCATAGTCACATCATGAGTCTGGAGAGTCTTTTGAGTGCTGGTCAGCGATACGAGAGGCTATAGGTCTCGGAAATCTAATTGCACAGACCCGTCACCCTTCCGCTGTGTGCACATGGGACACAGCCGCGCCGTGCTGGAAGATATGCCAAAGACCAATGAAGGCTTTAGCAGCTCTCAGCGAACCGTCTCTGCCATGTTCTCTTGCCAACTTGCCAAGCTCAGTGCTCTCTTAGACATCTTTTGCGAGAAGCCCCACTAACAGAAGGTCCAACTGGATCGGCGTTCATACTAGAAGATGGAATGCAAGGACATGTTGCTTTTGTGCAGAAGTGAGACTCCGTCGATGCCAAATCTAGCCCTAAGCGAGAAGCAAAATCTGCTTCCGTGTTCTCAGGGAAGCCATTCTCGAAAATGAACTCCATGTAAAGAACACCCGGCATGCGGCTCGGAACGTAAATGAGAATCGGCTCATGATCTACAGCTGTTTCGTGGCTGCTAACTCTCCGTGGAAGCTAACATCAGGGACTAGCTGCAACATCCTTGGTAGGGGACAGGAAGGCTGCGGCCTTGCAGCAGAAGTTCTCGCGAAGAATCTGGTGACGAAGGAATCGAGATTGACGACGTTGGGAGGCAGCCATGATGGCAGCAGACGCGTGATTACTAAGGCGTTCCGAAAGGGCTTGGCATCAACTTGCTCGGTGAACCTCAAACTTTCATACGGGCTTGCAACCAGATCTCATTGCATGCTGCAACCTACTGCAACCCCAGGCTACTGATTTCGAGGCCGACAACCATCCTGAAGCTCGCCCAGTCATGGCCCTCGCATCACTCGCCAAAGCCCTCCCCAAGCCGAAGTATACCGGCGAAGATGAAGACCTGCCCGTCCACACCCAGTCGCGAGGACCCCGAATAGTCGGTGCAGACACCCTCGACCAAACTCAGATCGTGCTCAAGGCAGGCCGCTCCATTCCTTCTTCCAATGCCCCTCCTCACACAGCATTCGCTCCCTCTTCAGGCTCACAGCTAATAGGACTGTAGCGCACCGGCCCACCCCCCTACGGCCAACGCGCGGGCTGGCGCCCCCGTAACCCCGCCGACTATGGCGACGGCGGCGCCTTCCCCGAGATCCCCGTGGCCCAATATCCCCTCGATATGGGCCGTAAAAGCACCAGCTCCTCCAACGCGCTCGCTATCCAAGTCGACGCAGAAGGGAAGGTGAAATACGACGCCATCGCGCGACGGGGCCACAGCGAGAACCGCATCATACACTCGAGCTTCAGGGACCTGATACCGCTGAGGCAGAGGGCTGATGTGGGGGAGATCAGTCTGGAGAGGCCGAGCGAGGAGGAGGTGGAGGCGGCGAAGGAGCGCACGAAAATGGCGCTGGAAAAGCTGGTTAATGGGGCGGTGGCGGCGCAGAAGCCGAAGAATGTGAAGACGGGAAGGGGGGAGGCTACGTTTGTGAGGTATACGCGTAAGTTGGCACCATTCGATTTGTTAGTGAGGCAGGCGCATCAAGCCGCGTAAATAGTGCGAAGGCGGAGATGCTAATGCTCAATACAGCCGCCGACCAAATGGGCGACACGTCCAAGAAGCAGGATCGCCTCTTCAAGATCGTCGAGCGACAAATCGACCCGCTTGAACCTCCAAAATTCAAGCACAAGAAGATACCCAGAGGGCCGCCCAGTCCGCCCCCACCAGTCATGCACAGTCCGCCTCGCAAACTCACCGCCGAAGACCAAGAGATGTGGAAGATACCGCCGCCAGTGTCCAACTGGAAGAATCCCAAAGGATATACGGTTCCACTCGACAAGCGACTTGCAGCCGACGGACGTGGTTTGCAGGATGTCACCATTAACGACAAGTTCGCGCAGTTTTCTGAAGCGTTGTTCACAGCGGATCGGCACGCAAGAGAAGAAGTCAAGCAGAGGCAGTTAATGCAACAGAAGCTGGCCGAGAAGGAGAAGGCGCAAAAGGAGGAGCATCTACGCATGCTTGCTCAGAGGGCCAGGGAAGAGCGGGCAGCCGCCGGCGGTGCAAGGCGGAGGACAAGCGATGCTTCACGGGCAAGCAGAAGTGGCTCGGAGGACTACTCGTCGCACTCGGACAGTGAAGAGGAAGCCGCGAGGGAACGGGAAGAGAAGAGAAAAGAGCGGAGGAGGGAGAACGAGAGGCAGTTGCGGCAGTCCCGCATGGGTACGGAGCGGCGCATACAGATGATGGCACGCGAGCAGAACCGCGACATCTCGGAGAAAGTAGCGCTCGGTCTGGCGAAGCCAACGCAGTCGGCGGAGTCGATGTACGACTCGAGGTTGTTCAATCAGACTAGTGGGTTTGATACCGGGTTCAATGAGGACCAGCACTACGACAAGCCGCTGTTTGCCGCGCAGGACGCCATCAGCAGCATCTACCGGCCGAAGGTCAACCAAGATGATGACGAGGAGGATGCAGGGGACACTTATGACAAGATCGCGAAGAGTAATCGGTTTGAGGTGCTTGGACGGGCGAAAGAGGGGTTCAGGGGCGCTGCAGATGCTGAGGTTAGTCTTACAAACCCGGGATCTTCCCCTGGATCCTACTTACTAATGACGTGTTTGCAGGAGCGGAGCGGCCCGGTGCAATTCGAGAAAGACACTGCGGATCCCTTTAATATCAGTGAGATGATTGCTGAGGCCACAGGTGGCGCGGCAGGCAGCAGTAAGAAGTACGGAGTGCAAGACGCGGAGTCCTCGCGGGCGTCGAAGAGGGCTAGGGTGGACGCTGATGATGAGGATGATGTGCCCAAGAGGGCGCGGTTGAGCGACGACGATGACGATCGATAGCGGAGGCCCAAGGACTCCCTGGGCGATGGTCGACGCACTTGCAATCTGCGGCATCACCGGTCGAGTTGATTGACAGCCAGGCCAGGCGACAGCGGAGAAGGGCGAGGATATAAGTCATACCCAGCGGTAGCTTTGCATGCCGCCTTGTTTCCTCAACATGGTGTCCTCACAGTGTTGTGTACAGCTCAAGTCGTTTATCTGTCATCTCTACAACCCCACCATCCTCGCTACCTCATCTCTCGTCAACACAGATCCACCAGCCGGTCGTCCATTCCCAGCATCCTGCCCCACAGGACACTCCGCGCCCCCATTCTGTACACCTCCATTCTGTGCACCTCCATTCTGCGCCCCTCCGTTCTGTCCACCCCCCTCAACTGGCCTCCCCATCCCATCCAACATCCCCGGCAACGCCGGCCTCTGCACCCCCTCCCCCGGATTCCCCTCATCGTCCACCTGCACACCCATCGCCCTCAAACACGTCCACCTTCTAAACATCCACCCCGCCTCCACCGCCGTGGGCTGCCCCGCTTCTGCATCCGCCCCCGCTTCCACCAGCGCGCGAACAACCTCCTCATACCCCTTGAACACCGCACCCGCAAGCGGACTCTGGCCCCGTCCGTTCAGCGCATTGACGTCCGCGCCGCGCGAGACGAGGAGGCGCACTGTGGAGGCGTGGTCATGGTAGGCGGCCAGCATGAGCAGAGTGTCGCCGGCGTGGTTTGTGAGGTTTGGGGGGATGCCGGCGGCCAGGTAGGAGGAGAGGGAGTCGGTGGCGCCGGTGCGGGCGAGGTCGAATATCTTGGCTGCTAGGTCTAGCGCTGCAGGGGGGAGTTCGCTGGGGGTGCTGGGGGGTTGTGCGGTGGTTGTTGACTGGCTGGGCTGGGCGATGGGGTCGGTGTTTGCGGGAGGTGGTGGGGGTGGGTTTCGGTTTGCGGGGAGGCCCATTGCGTGGGTTGCGATGAAGGATTCTTTCTGGTGGGCAGGAGCGACAGAAGGTAATGGATTAATAGAATACTCATACAGTGAGTGAGGAATAGGTGCAAATAGGCAATTAGGAATTGAAGACTTGAAGCCGAGATGAAGCTCTGTGAATGTATGACGCCAGCGTCTGAGAAGGCCGGCCAAATTGATCCGCAGATCTGCCGAGATATCACAAGCTTCACTTGCGCTTCAGCTTCCCCGTCGCAACCTCGCGCACGACACTACTATGCTCCGCCCAACATAACGCCGCAGGCAAGAGGCATCCTCAAGCGCAACGGGCCAACAGCGCAGTCACACGCCCAAACCCGCTCCACAACCACCCCGACAACAGACCAAACAGGCACCGCCGCGCATACCATGGCCTCCTCACCCCCCTACCTCGCCAACTCTCCGACCCTCCCAACCCTCTCCCTCCCCAAAAAGCGGCCCTCCTTCTCCGGTCCCGGCGGCCCTCCTCCGCACGCCAAACGGCGCAAGCCCTCGACCGGGCCCTCGCACCTGCGGCAGACCTCCTTCCCGCCCGCCGAGACCACCCTCCCAGACTCCGGGGAGCGCTCCCCGAGCGTCGACAGCAGCATTATCGCGCCGAGTCTTGGTCTGCCTGGTTCTTCCGCGGCTGGAGGGCTGAGCCTGCCTGGTCAGGGGAGGAAACGGAAGGCGAGGGGGGCGAGGGATGGGGAGAGTCTTGTTGGTGGGAGGCTGGGCGATGAGCGCAGCACGCCTGGGACGGTGGTGTCGAGGGGGAAGGGGAGGGCTGTGGTCGAAGAAGAAGAGGAGGAGGAGGAGACGGAGGAGGTCGGGGCTGTGATGGAGGGGGGGAGGGTGGACGAGGCGAGCGTGAAGCAGGAGAGAGAGCATCTGTCGTGAGTGCCCCCAATTGCAACTCTCCTCGTTCTCCGCTCTTCTCTTCAAGCCCCTCGACTGCAGAGGCTGATCGAAGCGACTAGCATGCTCGTCGAAGCCCTAACCCCAGACCAAGCAACCCGCTACGACATCTGGCGCCGCGTGAAGCTGAAAAAAGAAACCGTGCGCAAAATCACAAACCAGACGCTCTCGCAGTCCGTACCACCCTCCGTCATCACGACCATAAACGGGTACACCAAGCTCTTCATCGGCGAGCTCATCGACCGCGCGCGTCGCGTGCAGGAGGAGTGGACGGTGGCGGCGGCCTTGGGCGCTGCAGCCGAGAAGGAGCGACAGAATAACAACGCCAGCGCCAACGGAACACAGCCGACGGCGTTTGGATCCGGCGCCAGCGACGCGGGTTCTTCGCAGTACAGCCCACGTACGTTACCACGATCCTTCGAGCCACCCATGCATGAGGATACGCCACCGCCCACGCAGTCCGATCGGCCTTTGGCCGACATGGCAAAAGAGCGCGACAAGGGACCGCTGACGCCGGACATGCTGCGCGAGGCGCTGCGACGATACAAGAAGGATCAAGAGGGCGGTGGGACGGGGTTCATTGGGTTGTCGTTGGAGGGGAGGGAGAGGGCAGCTGTGCGGACGGGGGGCAAGCGGATCTTCAGGTGAAACTGCGAGGAAAGCAGGTGGAGTTGATGCACCTACAGCGTGTGCGCAGGCATGCCACCTGGCGTTGGGCAGAGTTGATCAGGGCCTGTGACTTTGCGCTGCTTCATCGGGTGACTCCTTTCGGTGACCTGCTGGGACGCATTGTAGCTAGCGCAGCGAGGGTCAAGATACCAAGTTAGTACTTTGCTACTATTTCTCCGAGCATAGACTCGAAATCGTGTTATACTGTTGCTTCATCACGCATTGAATTACACGCCGCGTTCAAGATGTGCCGAGTAGACATTTCGTGACAGTAGGATTGAGATACCCCCTTGGGTGGAATGCGGTTTAACGAATGGCAGAAACAGCGAAGGCTTGGGGAGATTGGGGTGTTGTCACGGGAGCCACATCATAAGGAAGCTTCAAATAGTGCCCGATCGGTATGTTGTGTTGAATACCGAGGACGATGGAAGAGGAAGTAAGCAAGTCAGCTAGTCTGTCTGACCATTGTATTCCGTAAGAGAACAGCAAAGCTCAAAGCTCAAACCACAACACCGCCTAGTTCTCATGCAACATGGTGCCGAAAGCCTCCGGCATCGGAGCCGGCTTGTCCTGCTCCACCTTCTGCTGACCCAGCTTCTCCTTCTTGTACTGCGCAGCGTATGGGTTGAGCCTCAGCAACACCTGCATGTTCCTGAGCGGGTTCTTCTTCTGCACAACGGCGCGCTTGGTGATGGAGCCGCCCTTGACGGGTCGGAGGACGGCCTGGACCTCGGAGGAGTTGATGAGCTTGGGGAGGTCGGGTTGGGAGATGAGGGCGGATGGGAGGAGGAAGTCTTTCTTCAGCGCGGAGGCCTCGGTGGTTGTGCCGTAGATCTTGTCGAGGGCTGCGAACGCAGAGGAGGTCCAGACGATAAAGCGGCCAAGGTGACCACCTGGAGCGAGCTGGAGAAGGTTCAAGGCGTACACAGACGAGGTCTCGACGCCGGGGATGTTGCGGAAAGCGCGCACGAGATCCTTGCCATCCTCCTCGGGGCTGTAAACGACGAGTGGGCCGCGGCGCTGGCGGTGCCTCCGGCCACGTAGCTTGCCCTTTCCAGCGCGGAGCTTGCGGCTGTTCTTCACCTTCTCGACATCCGGTCCCGCACCGACAGCCCTCAGGAGAGCAAGAGCAGCGGAGGTCTTAACAATGGCGCTGTCGGTGAAGGCGGAGGAGGACACGACCAGCGGTACTTCCGGAACGGTGGAAACTTGGTGACCGCGGGCCATGAGAAGAGCAGGGCTTGAAGACGCAGCGAGAGCGGAGACGGTTGCAAAGCGCCTGCATGTCGGGTCAGCGGTGCGCCCAATTCGATCAGCATCTCAGAAACTCACTTCTGGTTGAGGTTGATCTTCTGGTGCCACTTCCTCCACACCTTTGTCGGTGCAAACATGCGACCAGAGCGGCACATGTTTCCGAATGCGGCTTGACCGGCACGGTGGGTACCACCACCAGAGACACGAGGGATACGGGCGACGGCACGTCCTGTAGTAAGCTGTGTCAGCCAATGCCTTCTTTGCAATGCCAATCTGCTCTTTCTTGAAGTTTTCTGCTCTCTTCCCGTTACGGCCTCCAAGAATCCCATCTCCGCGATTCCACATCTGAATGCAATGTAGGTATGTACTGACCGGTACCCCAAGACTCAGCGGAGGTCTGATGGCCAGCCTTCTCGCTCACGGCATACGGCTGCCTCTTGTTCTTCGCCATTCCGGTGTGGACGGTCCTGCGCAACGTATCAGCCACTGCGGCATGCCTTTCCTGCTGCTGCGAAGCCGTACTGAACAATGTCCGGGCGGATCGGGGCCTTGAAGACCTCTGGGAGAGGGTGTGTCTGCTCGCTGGCGGAGCCATCGGCGGAGATGACGGTGACGGTCGGCCTGCTTGCCATTTTGTCGAGTTGGCTGGCGTGCTGTCTGGTTAGTGGTCGACGATATTGCTGTCGTTGGGTTGTCTGCGACTCCGGAGTTTCAATTCTCGGTGCGGTGGGCGGGCTTGGCGGTGCCAAGGTCTAAGCGAAGACTAGCGTCATCACCTAACCTTGCTTGACCCTCGAGCGCATGCCCTGGCTGATCGGGATGGTTGCTCTAGCAAATGGCGGTCTTGTCCCACGTGGGTAGTAGGGCAACCTACCGACGCCGTTCTCTCTCCAGCCCTCGAGGTCATCCAAACAGTTCTTTACCGCATCTTGGCTGCCACCTTATTCAGTGCTGGATGCATCATTGAGCTGGAGGCATGATCTGATCAAGGGCAAACACACAGATCGATTTCATGCCACAAAAAGTATCATAGTATCTAGTCTAAACCTTCAGTGAATAGATCGAGTCGCCTAAGGTATCGTTGATCTGCAAATCATGCTCGGATACCGGTTCAGCAACAGCAAGCTTTCATCGTCCCGAACAGATTAGTGGTGGGGCTGGGGTGCGGAGGTGGAAATATCCCTGCAACTTGTCGTTGGACTGGAGCCTGTCTGATACCTGCGCCATTCACCACATATGTATCCATCGCAAGAGTAGCAAAAATAACGGAGAGTTTACGAAAATGCATGACCAAGCTTCGGATGCTGATGAATGCAGATGTGAAGGCATGGCAAGACTCGCAAGAACGACGCGTTCTGCAGCAGGAAAGCATTTCTTTGGAGAGAAGAATGAAGATCAGATGAATTTTTTGTTGTACAAGACCCAAAAATCCCAGCAACCAGCTCCCGAACCAGCTCCAACAGCCAAACCATCTTGCCCAATCCTTCAAGCCGTTAGCTGACACTGCCCATTAAACGCGAGAGATTGCATACCTTTACACCGTAGTGCCTTGTGGGGAAGGAGCGCCTTCGTCGTCCTTTCGAGGGGGTTTGGGCTTCCCGAAGGCGGTCTTGCTGGGGGCCGTGTTCTTCCCGCGCTGTTTCTGCCTCTTCTTCTGGTTGTGCTCCTGGAAGATTTCGGTCTCCACCTCCCGGAACGCGTTCTTGGGTTTGGCGATCGGGCGATCCCGCATGGTTGCGTCGGGCTGCTTGGACTTGGACTTCTTCCCCCTTGATTGCAGCGTAGGAAACCCGGAGTGCTTCAGCTTGTTGGACGGGTCGAAGTCACTAGGCATCATGATGTCGGTGACCAGTGGCTTACCATCGTTCGGCTTGTTAAGAGACTCGATGAGGGACTTCATGTACCTCATCTTCGGCCTCTTCCAGCGGATGTCTTCGTCAACAATCGACGCTGTCCAGGTATCAAACGCGCCGACGATCATCTGGAATCCCCTAGCTCGAGTCAGCGCGACGTTGAGCATATGACGCCGGTAAACGAATCCAAAGTCCATCGGGTCCTTCGCGCTGTGGGCGACCAGGGAGATGATCTCGATGTTGCACTCGTGGCCCTGCATCTGGTTAACCGTTGCCACTTGGATGTGCCTGAGTGCATCGATGCCGTCGATCCTCGCGGCTCGGTTGAGAAGCTCGGTGATAAGCCGCCGCTGGCCTGTGTACGGCGTCACGATGGCGATATCGGCTGGCTCGATCGGCTTGCACTTCTTGCCCGTGGGCTGGAAGGCAAGCAGTTTCTTGACCTGGTCGACGATGAAACTCGCCTCTGCGTCGTTCTTCTTCGACTTGCTACCAGCATGGTAATTAGCGTACGAGCCGTCTTCGCCGCTGATGTCCACAGCAATCCGCATCCTGCCGCTGTATGCGTCGCCGAGATGCGCCACGAGGTACTCCTGCATGATGTGCTGCTTATCCGTCAGTGTCGTGGTGCTGTTGTGGTCCTCGAGGCCTTTGACCGTCTTCCCGGCACCATCTTTCACCGTGTAGATCTCCTTTGACGGCCAGGCGGATATGTGAGGGTGCATTCGATACTGCTTGCTAAGCGTCTGCACGAGGCACCGCCCGGACGGGTCATCGATCAGGCGTTCAAACAGGGAGACTGACAGGGCTCTGAAGCACTCGTTGAAGCGCTCCGAGAGGACAACGGGCGGCATCTGCTTGTGATCCCCGCCGAGAACCACGAGCTCTACAGACTCCTTGAAGGCGGCCAACGGAGTTGCAGTGTCTGGCGCCGTGCTCTGGCCGGACTCGTCAATCACGATGACATTGAACTTGAAGTGGTTCATTAGCACCTCGTGACACGACATATTACACGTAGCGAACACCACGTCGACGCTCTCGCAGAACTTTTCCGTGAGCACATTCTCGAGTTCGAAGAGCTTGGCCCGCAGCTGTTTCCTCTGAAGGACCTTCTGGTCACGCAACTGCTCCTGTACAGAGAGGTACTTCGCAGCATCTTTTTGCATGGCATGGCCTGGCGTGCTGCTCCACTGCTCGATGTCGTGCTGTCGCTGCCGATTGAAGGCGAGTTCGGTGTGGTCGAGCGAGTTGGAGTTCGTCTTGATGTCCAGCATGACGTTCCAAATCCGGGCCTGCTCCTCCACCTCTTCATCCGTCAGCTTGCGCTGCGTGCTCTCGGTGCTCTCGTTGGGCGTCATCTGGTCCAGGCTGATGTCCGGTTCGTATGAAGCTGGTTCCGCAGGAGGCTGGGCGGCGACGGACGGCACAGTTGGATCGTCTGTACCGCTCATCTCCGTGTTGAGTTGCTCGGCTGACTCGTCGTCTGCACTAGTCATCTTAACGTCTTTGTCGGCGGACTCGGTCGCGGAAACAAGGGCGTTCAGGCGGGTAGACTTTGCGAATGCACCTCGGAAGCGGACAGCCTTAATGTTGGAGCCATTCTTCTTGGAGAATTTGGTCAAGCACGCATCAACAGCCTGGTTCGAGAACGCGCAAACAAGGACCTTGCGCCTGTCGGCGGAATTCTTCGCCTGCCTGCCAGCCATGACGTGCCCAGCCACAGCGGCCATCAACGTGGAGGTCTTGCCGGTTCCCGGTCCGCCGCGGATGATGCTGACGCCTGTGACTGAATTGAGCGTGTTCCGCGCCGCCGCTTTCTGCTCATCATTGAGCTTCACCCTCTCCTTGAGTTCCTTGTTGAACGCATCTCTCATTGGCTGGGTCACTGCCTCTGCGAGAGAACCGGTGCTGAGGATTCTGGCCGGAGCGCCGAGAATGACGGCAGGAAGATCGACGCCTTTGGGACGCTGGTGCCCTTTGCTGATTTCTTCAATGGCAGCGACGCAGCGGGCGGTCGATGTAGGATCGTTCTTCAGCTCGACGGTAACCGGGACGCGTGTGTCAAGCGGGACTACGTTGTCGGAACGGCCCGGCGGCGCGAAGACGGCACACACGATGTCGCTCGCGCTGTGGACGTCGACGATCTGGCCGGGAAAAATCCAGCTACCCTGGTTGAGCACCGAGTAGCAGAGTTCAAGCTTCGTGTCGATCTCCGGCAGGACGAGGTCGGCGTAGGCGTTGGCATCCTGGTGGCGCGAGGTATGCTCATCCTCTGGGTGGCCCAAGGTCAGCTTAACGAGGTAGGTGTCGGGGAATGCCTCGTTTGACATGAACGTAGCGTAGGTTTGACCGTTTTCACCGCCGCTGAACATCTTCTCGATGGCACGCCTCTGGTGCTGCTCTTCACGGTGCAGGGCAAGCCGTTGGATAAACGCAAATGTCTCCGCGTCAGGATAGTCCATACAAGGGGGGAATGTCCCCCACTCCGCTGGCGTCAGTTTCGTGAAGGTCGTGTCAGCAGACGAAACGTTGAATCGCTTCACCAGCCAGCGTGGAGGGGTGCTCAGCTCGAACGGATAGTCATGGTCGGCCAGCTCCTTGCCTAAGCCCTGCAGACGGTAGAACCAGTTGCATCCAACCGAGACGCAAAGCCACATGATGGCGTTGAAGTAGCTGGTGAAATACTTCATCGCCTTCATATTTTTGACAGTGTCCACAGGCCGCTTGGTGATGATGCTGACGTTGTTGCTCCGCCTCAGCGCGACAATAAGCATATCGGCGTCCGACAACTTGTGCCCTGCTTTGCTCTGCGTCTCGAGGTCGTCCAGCCTGCCCTGGTCGATGCCAGACCACACGAGACCGTTCAAGCCAGTCAACGGCTTCATGCGCAGACCCATACAGGTCTCGAAATATGCCTTCTGTGTGAGCAGTTCGGCGATCTCCACGCTCAGCTTATCCCGGCCTTGCGGGATCGGGGCAGTGCCACCAGCGCCTCCGAAGAACCTGAAGCCCATTTTGCCGGTCTCGCGCGAGAGGCAGGTCGGGAAGAACCGCACTGTCACCTCGCCCCCTGTGCCGCGCTTGATGTGCAGGTTGGCAGATGGGTACTGCGTGTGCAGAGAGAACGAAGACCGAAGCCAGGCTGAACCCGATTTCCCGAAGCCGGACACGAACACGGGCTCCTCGCCAGCAATGAACACCGTCGCAGGGATCTTGGCGTCCATTGACGGGAAGTCACCCTTCATGATGGGCGCGTCGCGTTGGCGGTAGTCCCTGTGCACGATTGAGACATCCAAGCCCCCGACCTCGTCGGCGTATCCCGGCTCTGTGAACCTCAGTGCCTTGGGCACATTTTCGGCGTCGACCACTTCAGTCGACTCGCCCGGGAGCTTCGGCTCAGACTGCGAAGGCACAGCCTCTAGCGGAGCTGCCCAACCCTCGAGGAGGGGGGTGAACATGTTAGCTGCGAAAGCCATGGAGGAAGAAATAAACAAATCAAGTCAAAGACTATCTTTGTGTAACTCCGAAGAGTTGGTGACTCAAAAGTCCGCGTACCTAGGTACACGTCGAAGGAGCCCGAAAGATACCGGCCGAAGCAAGCACCTAATGGGCAGGGAAGGCGAAGTTGCAGACCGGAGTCTACAGCGGGGAGGAAGGAGGCGGGTGAGCGTTTAACCCTTAACGCTCAAGGGATAGAAGAGGGAGGATGAGAGCGCGTAGATATTCCTTGCGGATCGCTATGCGCAGGACACCGAAATGTCAAGATGGTGAGGGGAATGGAAACGCGAAGGTAGAAGTCGCGATAATATCGCCAGAGTTACATAAGCCAAGCTAAGCGAAACTGTGCTGGGCAATTGTGCGTGAAAGAGATGAGATTAGATTACAGTGATTGCTTCACCGGCGGCTGCCAACGAGTAGAACCAATGGAAGTACCATATCAAGATGGAAAGGACAAGAAGTAAGCGGCCCTGATCGTCCGCGACGGTTCTGCCAACCGCCTTTGACATCTTGCAGTGACCGGTCTTAAGCTTCTCTTTCATTGCCCTCGTCTCCTCCTACAACAGTCCATCTAGACTACCCGTCCACGACGACATTCGGTGAGACGTGCACGTTGGTAGCCGAGATGCCCCGACCGCTGGGCCAGCGTATCGCTGCGAAGAGAAGCAGGAACGGTATGGGCTCAGCGATAGTCTTGATCTCCCTGATGGAACAGCTCAGCATGTAACGCCAGAAAGCGGATTCGCGGAACAGCCTCAAAACGTACCTTGAAACGGCCCATCCACACCTCCACGATGCATCATCGGAGTCGACGCGGAGGGCAGGCAGAGAGTGCAACATCATCCTGAGAACATAATCACAGTCTGGCTCCATGATCAGCCATAGCCCAACAACCAACGACGGCCGCCGGAAACAGATCGCCTATTCTCTAAGCTCCTGTTGCTGTGTTGACTCGTAATGAGATGGGCCAGAGGCTTGGGCACCATCGCATGCTCCCGTGGCCCCATCACCGTACTCTCTCCCGTTTTTGGCTTCAACAAATGCAAGCCCCGTCAACACGGATACGGCGCATGAGAGCAACCTCGTTCCAAGAAGAAGGACTAGCGAGACTGTGAGACCGGAGGCGACACGGAAAGTCGAGGCAGCGCACCAAATAGCCTCCTTGAAGAATCGGGCGACGACGACGAACGGACGGAAACATATCACAAGGACTTTGTCGATGGAAGAGTTCCAAGTATTGCTATCGAAGCCCAAGGACGACACACAAGAGGATATCACGACCAAACCAGTTGCAGCAGGTCCATCTTCACGACATGCAGCGATGCCAAGGACATCGGGATGCTGCTCAATACTATGCTGTCAGCAGCCCAGCACGATTGTTAGTCGGACCGTCCCGCCTCTAATCGGAAGAAACTGTTGGTTGAGCCATACGGCGTCTCGTGGGCTCACTTTAGAATCAACAATGGATTAATATACTCAGAATGCGGAAACCACCTGTGCTACATTAGAAGGAATTAACTTTCCTCTCGCTTTGCTGTACCTAGAACCCGCTTCACCCCTTCACTTCATCCAGCAAAACAAAATGCTCCTGTCTCTGATGTTCAGTTGGAGTTCTGCAACGGCTAAACCGCAAACGGTGGACGCTACCAACCCCTGAGCTGCCTGAGGGGAGGTGCCAGGATCGCATCACCGTTTTCGCAGGTGACGAAACACGAGCGAGCAGAAGAGCTGCCGTAACTTGTGTCATGTACGGCTTGGTAGCGTTTCTTGAGTGTTCGACGGTTCTCTGCTCAGCAGACGCTGTACCGAAAAGTTGTTGAGTCTCGTACCTTCTGCTCCGGACACTTTTCAATTTCGCCGAGGCAAAAGCCGCCGCCGACAAAAAGCCGCCGAACACTCCACAGCCCCTTCCTCTCTGTAGCAATCCCGGTGGCAGACAGAATGCATCGTTCGGCCCAAGAAACAATTACGCACCCAGTCTAGTTCAAAAGGCATATTCGTGTTCTGCTCAGTCTCCGACACAAAGTCCAAAGAAGACAGAAGCCCCTCAGATTGCCTTATACCGAAGCTTCTCATCATGAAATGGGACATGGAAAGAGTTGACTGAGATCGATTGCAGATTTTGAAAACACAAAGAACATGAAAGTTATATGAACAACTCAAAAGGTTTTACTGAGACCCGCTAACATTATTCCGGAAGCCTCTCCCATGACAACGACTCGGGAAACACCTGCGACGCTCAGATTATGCCGACTACTCGACAACAGCACTCGGTTTGACATTATCTGGGCTGTATAGGCTGTTTACTTTTGTCGTACTCAGAAGCGCTTGGTTTCCGCTGTGAGCTAAATGTCTTGAGACAGACGAGGGGTTGAAGCTAGAAAGATGAAGACAGTCCGATTTAATAACATACTGCCAGCAAATTAGATCTATCGACTTCGACGCTCTCGCGGCCGCGGCGACAACGCCCAGTTCGGATGCAGTACTTTACAAGGACTTCAAGGACCGGCAGCTTGTAGAGCAATTTACATGTCTACTAGAAGCGATGGACAGTGGTAAATGGGAGCTTGCGGAATGGCGTCGGCGGGAATGGCAAGGCAAATTACTGAGTTACAGCGCCAGACGGCCGCTGAGTTAGCGAAAGGAAAAGCCCGTAACACATTCGACCTGTAATTTAAATACATCAGTTATTACATTGGTTATTCCGCTGATGCGCATCTTTGCTTTGATTCAGGAACGAATAGTTGCAGGCGGTTGAGCTGCGGCTCAGTGAATTCATGTCACGTGCCTGAAGTTGCAGCGTTCGTGATAGCTGGTCACTAACAGAAGCAAGAATCCATGGCTACCTTGATAGAGGCAAAGGCAAGCTGGTGTGGCCATGAACTTTTATTCCCAAAATGTATGAGCCCACGGCGTTCATTTCAGCCTGCCCCGTGCCCTCAAGCCGCACGCCAGAACCTCGAACCATTGGCCACCTCGACGGTTGGAACTTGAGCGGCGCTTAACTAGTTGAAACGGGACAGTTAAAAATAGGTCTCCTGTGTTCAAGATGTCGTTTATTTAACCTCGAATTCTAGCACAATAACTGAACTAGAGCGAAGAAAACTTGGTGGAAGCAGATGTGTAGTATAGTAATAACAGTGCTGTCATAAAACAATGGGATTTTCTACGTGGTTAAGTTGTGCTGTGATGTGATTAATCAGCTCTTCTTTGTCGACGTAGATTAGCGTCCTCGAACCTCGAGTTCCATCCTCCTCTCCTCCATCCTGCTCAGCACGCGCATGAGCATTGGATGCTCCCACGCCTTTGACTTCTCCAAGCCGGCCTTCCCGGGACTATTGCTACCGCCGCGAGGTTTCTACGGCTCTCGTCCTGTCTGTCTCGTCTTCGCACCGCATTGGCTAGCCGACCACTCCTTCAGGCGCTTAATCCGAGATCTGGTATCTCGCCGTATCCGTTTCGATAGCTGCACCAGCTCGATGCCGTACTGCTGAATTTGCGGTATGTCGTTCCTGCCAGCGGTGCATTGCCTTCTGGCGTAACCCCTTTGCATTTGCTTCCGTCCTTTGCTATACGCGCTTGGAGTCCTCGCCGCAAACACTCCCTGTCTTGGAGGAGTCGAGTGTTCCAGCAGTCACTCCGCATTACTCCTCTTTTCGCCGAACGTTATTTCCTTATCCCCCTCCCTCTCGCTCTCTCTATTTCTCGCTTCTACGCTACCACCACAGGGCCTGCCAAAGCCAGCCATGGCGGCCACGCTAGTTGACCAGAGAGCTGACAGTCCTACCCTCAAAAGGTCCTTCCCTCTAGAAACGACGCTTGAAAATTTACCGGATACTAAACGGCTTGAGCCCAGTCCACTACCTACGTCCTTCGCCGCTTCTACTTCTCCACGGACGAGCTGTCAGGTCAATCGGCGACTGAGTCACCAACACAGCCGTAAACGATCGGAAAGAGCAACGAGCATATCAAGCAAGCGCTCTCTGAGCATGCCCGTACAAACAAGCCCACAAACGTCAGATGTGCCGATGCCTTCGTTCATGTCGGCCTTTAGAGGAGATACAAACAGCACGGAATTCGCCGGCTTATCTGATCGTAATGCGACGGCCGCGCGGAGCAATATGCTGAAGAGTTCAGTCGCTGCTGAGACGTATTCGTATTCCCAGAAATCCACGGGCCCATCTTTCGCCGCTTTCCACCAGCCACACAACAGCATATCCACTTCATCCTCAGATTCGTCCGATTCTTCGCCCACTACAGCAAACTCTACAGGTGACGCATCTTCAATGACGGAGCCGTCTCCAGGGCCGTCACCGGAGTCTCCTCAGGTCAAGATCCCTCCGGCGTCATTTTCGGCAGACTTCAGGTCACGCAGCACGGACTCATCACCCACCACGTTCTTCGAACTCCAGCGGCCTACCACACCGGCCAAGAAACCGCGAAACTTGAAGAACCTGGCAGTCAATACCTCAAATCCTTTGACACTCAGCCGTGCCGTGACGACTGCGTCCATTCCACAAGCCGCAAAAGCGGAATCAGCAACGTCCGCACCTGCGTCACCGTCCTTCGTCAAACCACCAACCCCACCGCGACGGCGGCCTACAAACCTTGCGTTGACTATACAAACACCGAGCAACAGCAATGCGCCGATCCGACTCGCCATACCACCAACTCCCTCTTTCGCACGCCCGAATACGCTCCGACACTTTCAGTCATCGCCGTCGCTCCCGCTGTTTTCGCCTAGCGCTGCCCCTAAGGGAGGCATGATGCTGCCACCAGTCCGGCCGAAACCTGCACCGCATGGATTTGCAGAGATACCTATCGAAGACGAGGAAGACTCGGAGCCGAACTTCGACATCCCGCAATCTCGGGAGGAAAAACCAGAATCTTACCCGAACGGTCCAATCTGCATATACGAATCTGGGGTGGATCTGTACTATGAGCCAACTGTCGAAGAAGCTTTGAAATATGATGTCATCATGAACGTAGCGAGCGAAGTGAAGAATCCGTTTACAGTTGCTGTATCCTCAGACCTAAGCGAACTTGCTGCGAGAAGACAAGTCCAACCGCAGCAAGCGGAAGCCATATTTTCCGGCGATCCCGCAGCGTTGAAGCCGTCGACGTTTGACCCTGCTACACTGCAGCAGTCGGCCTCACCCACTACGCCGAAAGCCGCTACAGGTCACGGCCTCCAAGGGACCCAGTCATCTAAGACAACGTCGCCGTCAGATCCCGAGTACATCCACATCCCGTGGGAGCACAACACGGACATTGTTCCGGATTTGTTCAGGCTCGTCAAATTGATTGATGATCGAGTACAGTGTGGTAAACGTGTACTAGTGCACTGTCAGTGTGGGGTCAGCAGATCAGCGAGCCTGATTGTCGCTTACGGGCTATATAAGAACCCGGGCATTAGCGTGCAAGAAGCTTACGATGCTGTCAAGAAGCGAAGCAAGTGGATAGGGCCGAACATGAGCTTGATAATGCAGCTTCAAGAGTTTAGAGACAAGATCGTGAGAACGGAGAGCAACGCCTATGGCGCTCGATTTCCAGGTTCACGCCCGTCAGTTCTGCTGGCTGGGGCATCTCCGGCTGATCGACGAGCTGCTCCGTTCAACAGCAATTCGTCTGATGGATCCCGGACACCGCGAACAGCCCCTTTGCCTCCACCCGATGTCGACTCAACATCACAGCGGGCGAGCACAGGGAACATGCCACTGTCTGCTCATCCGTCGTCAGCTCCACTCAAATCACCATGGTCCCCTGGCGTTCGCCATTCATGGGAGCCGAACTCAAAAAGCTTCGATATCTTGCCTGCTTCGGCTGCTCCGCAGAACACCACGATGGCGTATGTGGATACTAAGGGTCACGTGGTGCCCATGCTCACGCTTCCTTCCGAACCTTCACTTTCTGCTACACATAATGCTACTGATCACAAGGCAGCCGAACAGGTAAGTGTCTCGCTCAATCCCACTTCAGCACTTGAAGGATGCTCGTCTTTGATGAGTAGTAATACCACACAATCTTGGCGATGTTGCAAGCTTTTCGAGAATCGGTCATGCTTGAAAACTAACATGTAAGCAGACGACCCGTGAACACGTGAAACCCGTTCCTTCGAGCTCTGCGGCAGTTTCGAGCATCTCAAGGCAGCTTCCTTTCCGAGAAAAAGGAGAAAGTGCCGACAATGACCGCCACGTAACCGCCGTGTCACGGCCTCCGTTGATGTCGCCACGAACCAGCGAGTTCCATCTAACAGCATTCCAGCAAAAAGAGCAGCCGGAGCCCGACTTTGGGTTACTCTCGCCGCGCGCGACTGAGTTCTCCAATACGCCCTTCCATTTCGCGTTAGATGTGCCCCACGTTCTAGCAGTCAGTCCTGTGCACGAAACATCGCACGTACCAGCCGCAAATCCAGAGCATCATGCACGCCACGACTCAAAGCTACATCCACATCTGAGTGATTACGTCGAGGGGATTGGTCAGGCAGAGAGTAAAACAGACATGCCGCCTCCGCTCGCTTCACCCCGCGCAACTGAATTCCACATGACGCCCTTCCACCAATCCGATCCAGCGGAGGATTTTGGCCTCCTCTCTCCCGGTGCTGGCAGTTTCCCAACAGATGCCTTCAATTTCTTCGCTACGCATAACATCCAAACACCACCTCAAGCACAGCCCCAACCGAAGGACAAGGCCTTGCCTCAGCATCGCCAGACTCATTCGATACTCCATCAAGTCCGGCCGGAACACCAACGCTTTAACTCCATAGCTTCAGTCGCCGAATCGTTCCATACGGCTCCTTCGGCTACACCCTCACCCCCTCAAACGCGACCAAGCAGCTCACTGCAACTGGAAGTATCACCCACGGATCAAGCTGCGGCAAGCGCCCAGGAACTTCCGCCGAAGTCAAATCCACCTTCCAAGCCTGATCAGCTTCGCCTGCAGCCCCTGCAAATGACTACCGAGGCGAACTCATCAAATCGGCCGGAGCCGAATGACAGTCTCGCTTTCGATGCACTCCTATCGCCACGCACAACCGAATTCACACGCAACCCATTCCACGTCGAGCTTTTCACGGCTACCGCGTCTCAGGAGACGATCATTAGAGTCGAGGACTTGAGCAGCGATGTCATGGGAAAGACGGAAGCTGCAGGCGGAAGCGGAGAGGGCCTATTAAGCGATGGGAAAGATCCGAGGAGTCCACCTGTGGCGGGCGGGAGCCCGGTCGTCAGGAACATCTGGGATGTGCTATGAGAGTGTCACCAGTACACCCATTGGACGCATTTGCCCTCTACGCTGCACTGGCTCGTCGGGTACGGGGCATTGAACCCCAACACCATTATGGATGCTGGTGGCGTGTAAGGCGTTTTCACGCCTTGAACACAGTACTATAGCGCTACGACGGCCCTGGGAACAGTGATTAGTGATTGGTAATCGCCACTTTTCCTGCGAGCCGCCTTGCCTTACGATGTGCAGCTGTCCTGCGCTGGACCATCGCTGTCATCTCATTGGACCAGACGGTTCCACATTTGGGGCTAGTACGTTGCAGTACAGCATGGACGATACTGCTTCATCATTATCGCCAGCGCCTCATACAGATCGCGGCGGGGTCCGGATTCGTTCAGGTGGTTGAGGATTATATTCTAGTAGCCGCATGTTCTTGCACCCGTCCTTGTATTTGCGATACATTTAACCCTGTCGCAACTATTGGGATAGTACTGTCTGTGCGCCGTTCCGTCCCACCGTCACACGTAGTAGATGTACGATGTGTGGTGGTCTTAGAAGACATTTGTTATGATTCGCCTGGGCGAGGTCTTGTCACTTTTCCGTCTATCAACGTCGCTTTGGGCATGGCGCGTTTGGAACGGGCGCCGTAGAGCGCCTAATGGCGCCTAAAAGGAGTTCTGGGTCATTGTCAGAACGCTGGCCAGTGGACCAGCGCTGAGTCGGCGTTAGGGGACCGATAGGGGAAAAGGGGAGGTCGGCTTCAGCTAGATTGAAGTGGCCGGGTCAATCTAGTATGCATTCAATTGACTCATGATGCGCTGTGACAATATGATGTGCTGTGTAGTATCAACTGAACTCTTCCGTCTCTCTCATATCGCAATGGCCTTCCCCCTTGTGTAGCCTCTATTCGATACCGACGCTGCAAAGGGGCGGTGAATATGTTAGTCGATTAGAGTACATGGGATGAGCCTTGGAAAGCCAGGGAGCCAGCTAGGCAGTCCACGCCGGGCGTTCTGCGATTTCTGATTGATGAAAGAGTAGGATGCCCCACAGACAGTCTGTCCGGAGTCACTGCAACAGTGATAGCCAGCATCAGTAGAATCGGATTGCTTGCTAGTGTTCTGGGACAAGCAGCCAAGCCTACTACAAGTAGAAACAAGAGGTATCACAACTCATTCTTATGCAGCGGTTGTACGGTTGACACATGGTAGTCCTTGATAGAATCGAATTTCTCGTGTATTGTGGTTGGCTCAAAGGCGCTATAAGACATCCTCCCCCATCGGGATCCGAAAACACAGACCTCCCGAACTGAACACAGCCCATCCAAGATCTCAGAAACGAGTGTCTGTATGTTGCTCCTGCCCTCAACATTGCCGAGATCGGCAAAGGTATGAACATGAAAAGAGAACACCAAAATCAAACCCGAGCATAAAGCCGAGAAAAAAGTCGTAAGTATAGGCAAGAAGTAGCCATTCGACCTCCCCTGCGAAAAAAAAGGAAAAAGGAAAAAGGTCGCACCTTCGTAATAACAGCAAAGTGTACCCGGCAGATTTCCATAGCCCACTCCCGCCCATCAAGCCAAAGGGCAAACGAGACGTATCTCCTTCTCTCAGTAAGCAAACGTCTCACTCCTCCTCACAGCCCCCGGCCTCACCCCCGCCGGCTCATCCCTCCGTCTTGCCGCGTATCTGACATCCCTCTCCCCAATCGGCTGAGCCCAGTTCACCTCCTCAGGCGCATAGCTCGTCGGCTGCTCCCTCTCTCTATCACGTCTACTGCCGCTGCCGTAGGAGTGGAAGCCCGAGTACTGCTCGCCGTACAGCATATGTCCTTCCCTGTGGCCGCTGCTTCTCACCGGGGGGTCGCCGTCAGCGTACTCTTTGCCGTAGCTCGTGTTCCTCCCCATGTGGGGCCGCGGCGCCGTTTCGGGAGCGAAGGCGTAGCTGGCGCTCCTACTCGCTGCTGTGGGCGAGGGCGCCGCGGTCGCGGTCGCATATCGGCTCGTGGGTACACCAGCGGGCGCGGGTGCAGGGACGGTGCGCGCGGTCGACAGCGGTGGTCTCTCTGCTTCTCGAGTGCGCGGGGAGATTGCGTCCGGGGAGTGGTTACGCGGCTGTCCGGGCTCGCGGGTAACGGTACGGTAGCCGCTTTCCTGGGGTTGTATGTGCGGGGAGGTGGGCTTGACGCTCACGCCGCCGCTGGGGTAGGTGTAGTAGGTTGTTTTGCTGGTTGAGCGGTCGAGGGCGGGGCGGGGTGGTTCCTGGGCGTATGGGTAGGCCGTGTCCAGGGCGCCAGGGGAAGATGAGGAGTAACCCGAGTCATGCATTGTTTCCCTGGCGGAGCGCAATTTAGAGGGCTGCGCCGGCTGGGTTACACCGCGGCGACGGGAGGTGTTTGGTGAGGTGGTGCCAGTGGCGGTGACGGGCATAGGCATTGTTTCAGCGCGGCGAATGTCTGGAAAGGTGGGAGGGGAGGGTTGCGCGTGCTCGTCGGGTTGGTATGTCTGAGAGCGCTGGATGCGGGTCCTTAGGGGAGGCACGGCAGCCTTCACTCGCGCTGGGTCGGAGTTGGACTTTTCGAGAGTGGGCCGAGCATTGTACTCCTCCTCCTCTGCTATGACGTCCCGGCGGCGTTCACGCTCGGGCGAGCGACGCCGCGAGGATGGCTTGGGCTGAGCGGAGGAGCGGCGGACATATGCTGGCCGTTCTGATCCACGGCTGGAGCGGACATCATAAGCATATGCGGGTTGCGAAGAGGTCGAGCGGCTCGGCGAAGGGCGTGCATCCTCATAGGAACCTTGTTTGGATCGCTTTATGTAGTCCTCCGCAGTGGATGTTTTCCGCTCAACATCGTTGCCGTAGTAGTCATCGCGGCTACTCCTCCTTTCTGAGCCCCTTCGCGTATCTTGCTGGTATCTGGCCGCGTCTTCGCTCCTCCTGTGATAGTCGTTTTCGAAGTTTGCTCGCCCATCTGAATCATCACTGTACGCGGATGCAGATTCCGTTTTCCGCACGCGTTCTCTTCGCACCTCTCGGTCTCTCATCCTCGTGCGCTCTGCTCTGTCGGTCTTGTCGCTTTCTTTTTCCCGCGTATTGACTCTGATCGGTTCGCGATCAGTCCTCGCAGCGGGTCGTCGCCCATACGACGGCTCGTATCCGTCGTACTTCCTCGACGAAGTCCGCGACTGCTCGTATCTTTCATCATCGTACTCCCGCGGTCTCCTCTCCTCGACAACCCTTGCCGGACCTTGCGCCGTGTACGTCGCACCGCCAGGTGTGCGCATGTCATACGCCGCGGTCCTCACTTCCACCCTCGGTCCGCTCCCGGACCCCGACCTCTCCATCGCTTCCCTCCTCAACTCCGCTAACCGCACCTGCGAGTTATACCGCTCGCGTCTATCATCGTCAACAAGAATCTCGTACGCCTGCTGGATTTTATGAAACTCGTCGGCGGCCCTTGCCTTAAGCGTTTCGTCGGCTACTTTGTCTGGGTGGCACTTGAGGACTAGTCTCCGGTAGGCGCTCTTGATGGCTGGAGTGTCGGCAGACCTGGGAACGCCGAGCGCTGCGTAGGGGTCTGGTGGTAAGGGCGAGGCCATGGTCGGGCTTATGTGAGTGGAAGTGAGGTCTGCGTGATGCGAGCGATCTCGCGGTCCAGCGTGTGAGGCGTAGTGGAGGATAGAGGCGACCGTGGTTTCACGAGGACGGCCGGGGTTGATGGTTTAAGTAAATGACCGAGAGAAGTGCTAGAGCGCAAAGCGCATCGAGAGAGAGGCGATAGACGCGCAGGCAGGCGTGGCTTGCGCAAGCTTCAACCCTTCAACCAACAACGGGACTAGCGGCGAGAAGCGACTGTCTGGCGTCTGTGTTGGTTCGTGCGATGGTCGCCCCAGTGTAAAGAGTGGCTTGGTCGGAATGGCGTGGGCAGAAGATGTTGATATGGCGTCGATGGTTGTTGGCAGGCTCAGGTTTCTCAGGTTCCTAGCTTCTTCCAGGGACGCTCGGCGAATCGGTTCTTTTGCTCCGCTTCCGTCGCCGTCAAGCCGCTCAACCTATCCCGAAGCGAAAACGAGTGCTGAAAGGCAAACCGTAAAAGGCCGCGATCAGCACCTAATCACCTAATCACCGTCGACGGCTGAGGTAAGCTGGAGAGAGATGTCCGGCGAAAGCGATGGTGCGAGGTGGAATGCACAAGACAAAAGGCGTGTTGTCGTAGTATTTGCCGTGTGCTTGGGAGCGGTGTACTTTGAAGCAACGTCACCGCTGCACCGAGTCGCCTTAATAACCGTCGTGCCGTCTCAAGAATCTCACAAGCGCCCGGCCGTTAGGAAGCGTGACATGTCCGATGCCGTGCGAGGGGAATGCAAGAATATCGCACGAGGCAGACGAGGCAGCGCAGCCCTGTCTTGAGGAGAGGTACTCAGGACTTCCTTCGCGAGGGGCGGCTCGGACAGAGAGGGACAACTTTAGAGCACAGCTCAAGGCGAATGGCGCTGGCTGGGGAACAAAGTTCAAGGCCGGAAAGAGAGAGAGAGATTCTGCAGCCGTCGTCACCGTCCGGATCACTACTGGGCGTTCGATCTGGTCTAGCGAGCGATTTGTATGCAGGACTGGGTTAGTCGTGGCAGTGAGTGGTTTACCATCGCGGAGACTGGAGAACAAGCAGCTGGGGTGGAGTGCTGCACCACGAATCGCGACAACGGCTGTTTGGTGGGCCGCATCTGCACCAGACGGCGGCTATGAAACACTTAACGATTGGGGGAACTGGCCTCAGCACATGCTGACATGCTGCCAACACGATTCAGCCAGCTGACGAGCATGCTTAGATGCTGGCTTAGCGTAGGACGCTTCCGTCATCACGAGCTCTGGCATGTTGGAAGCGTCGAGAGGCCGGAAAGACAGTGGCCCAAAGCCCCGACCGTTGGATATCTGCAACAGGGTGCCGAAGCGCTGAGGCCCCTCGTCACACCACAGCGACCTGGGAAGCTTCGATGCAGCCACGCTGTGACAGGGCGCACAAGTTCAAGATGGCGCCGGTTGCCTTGTGCCTCGTGTCGAGATTTTGATGCTATCTAGATTGGTGTCTCCATCCCCGCAATTCTACACCATAGAGTAAAGTGGAAGGTAGGCAGGCTGGGGAAGAAAGAAAAAGAGGTCGCCTGCTTTTCTGCCTCTTCCTCCGTTACGGATCCGCTCAACCACTCACACGCTCCGTCCCGTCCCGAGCTCGTCAACCCGGCGGTGGTGTCAAGGGCCCGTTGTGTTGGGCGGTCCTGTCATCACCAGGGTCTGCTTCCGTCCTCTCCTCAATCATCAAGGAGGACAAAAAACCAGGCCCCGGGAGCAAGGCAGGACTTCAGCGGCAAGCAATCCAATGGGTTGAGCACTTTTGCAAGGCATTCCAGCCCCGTCAGAGTGCGGGGTAACCATCGTGGACAGTGGAGCGGGAACGCAGGGATTCAGTGGATAGCCGCCAGGTCCGCCCGCTCAGGCACCAATCTGATGGAACGCCTAACGCGCTTGTGGCGCACGTCTAAGCTGTCGTACGTGTGTGATTGTGATAAGTCGAGCTGTGGGCTGGCAGAGACTGTCGAATAGGGTATGCTCGGTGCTGTATGTACTCCAAGAGTGCGTGTTACCTACCGGAAGCACGAGTGGGGATGCAGTAGTGCCTAGGGCAGCAAGGGATGACGGTGCCAGGCAAGGCTGCGGCTCAACTGGCGAAGGAGAACAGCAGTCGACGAGAAGAAGTAGAGCAGACTGCTCTCTGACCGAAGGCAATGATTAGCTACGCATAGGAGATCGGCATGCCTATAAGACAGCTTTACTAAGGTGATATGACGAGACCAAGAGCGAATGATTGAGTTCGCCAGCGCCCTCCGCTTCGGAAGCGTCTTGCTAGGTCTCCTGCCACACTGGCAGATCAATGTCAACGATAATAGGCTTGTTAAGAAACTTGGTGCCAACAGTACCCCAGCTCCTCGCCTTGATCGCAGCATTAACCACGCAAGTTTCTCTTCGGCCCATTCGACCTTCAAGAGCTGCTGCATCGTGATCGTCCAGCCGTGAGAGTCCTTCGTCCGACTCAGTCCAACCCTTTTCAGCGGCAGATCGTTCAGCTAGACCCCGTAACGTGCTGTGCTTCCGTCGCCGATGGAGATGAGCACGCACGTGATGCGTATCAGGGTCGGCTTTCATAAGCGCAGCGATGTCGTCAGGAACTGGCGTTGACTGCTCTGGGCTGGATGGAGAGAAAGAGGCCCGATTGTTTAAGGAGAGCTGATCAACCGGGCTGTCGTAACTGTCAAGCGGCTCCCTACTCTTTATCGTAAGATCCACTAGAGATTGCTTGTTACTCCCAAGTCCGGGGTCCGTCCAAATCTCTGTTGATTCCTCCATGTACCTGACCTGCGGCATATCCAGACTCCACCGTATGCGCTCCGCACCGCGGCCCTCGTGCATATGACCGCAGACAGCCAGTTTCGGCCGGACCCGCCAAAGCGCCCTTCGGAGAGCCTCACAGCCAGCTCTTCCGCTGTTCACGTAGGTACTGTCACAGTGGTTCTTGGGCGGCGTATGCGTAATCACGATGTCGGTGTCTAGGGGTATGGCGTCCCAGAGTTTAACGGCCTGCTCGGATCGGTGCTCGGGAATGGCTTCCCAGATTTTCGTCGCTTTCTCGCCTTCGTACTGGAATGCCCATTTACCATGGCCCGTGGGCAGCTTTGGCGACCAGGGACTGCCAAAAACCTTGAATCGGGTGTATGATCCATCGGCTGAGGTAAGTTGTACGGTAGCTGACTCATGGTTTAGGTAGGTTATGGTAGGGGATTCAGCCAGCAGTCTCAGACACTCCTCGGGATTTTGTACGTTTTGAGGATGGGTATAGGCGCCATGTTCGCGGTAGAAATCTGAGTCGAGGGTGATGTCGTGATTGCCTGGCGGGATGTGTTAGGAGGAGCCCTCTGGTAAGCAGATAGGAAGCTTGCACTACCAGCAATGACAATCTTAGCCTGGAAGTCCGCGTTCTCAAGCCAACCGACAATCTTGCGGAGCTCAGGAATGCTTCCGTGGTTCGTCAGGTCTCCAGCGTGTATAAGGACGTCTCCCTTAGGTAGTTTAGGAGTTTGGTTGTGAGTGTCGGATACGCAGACAATCCGAACCTTCCGGTGCTGAGGCCGGCTCATGCTTACGAGGGAGATTACGAGACATAGCTGAGAATGCGAGATCAACTGAGCTGATGTACAATTGTGGAAGCTACTACTGAGTCACGCACGAGCTGAGGTCGAAGAGCTGTAGCATCAAACTGAGGATGCCTGCCATGGTCACGTGGATATATCAATATTACGAACTTAGCAAATCGAACAATGCGTAAGTCTCGCGAGTGGAGTTTGATGTCACTATCGAGCTCAGAAGAATCATCGGAGATTCAGGAAGTACCTTGTCGTATTTGTGGTTGGCACTGTTTCTGACGCCAACCACCGCTCCTTCACGTGTGGTTATTACGCTCAGCTCCGCGCTCAGTCGGTCTGCGACGTTCTACGGAAAGGGCCAGTATTGCCTTTTTAGGAACCCCCCCATGCTTCGCCCGTCGTCTCTGTATACTATCTTCTTCGTCTTCAACCGCGACCGCGTAACTGAATACAGGCGCTGAAGACGTCCCTCGTTGCGCAGATCTTTGATGAGTCCAACGTTCAAGTCTCGGAAGTATACAGCCCTCCACTCGGTGATCGCTTCAATGACTCCCGATGAAGATCAGAGGTCCGAAGATGCTGTTGCTGCGATGCGGGGACTTCGTAACGCTCTCCCCTTTGTGAAGCTTCATTCTTCCAGTGATTTGCGTCACTCGTCTCTCAATCTATCGTTTCGCTTTTCCAGAATCGCTTCCAAACATGAGTAAGATCAAGAGTATCGAGTACTTCCGGGTAATGCCCCGCTGGCTATTTGTGAAAATCTGTGATGAGGCCGGCAACTACGGATGGGGAGAATCCACCTTGGAAGGGCATACAGAAGCCGTCGAAGGCTGCCTTGATGCGTTGATCAAGCGGTTTATGGGCTATGAAGCCGATGACATCGAGCACATCTGGCAGTCCGCGTGGAGACTTGGTAAGCTGCTAGCTCGCCTGAACTATATAAATAGAGCATCAAAGATCACCATACTCGGCAGAGTGCTAAGCGGAATGCCTTACATACGCCCAAATGTCTCGCATAACCCCTCTTTGGCCTGAAGGGTGATTACTGTTCGGTACAAATTTGAGCGGACTCCAAGGTTCTTTCGCCATCAGTAGAGGACTTGATCCTATACAGACTGATGAATACCTGGATCGGAGATGAGCTGATAGTGGTAGGTTTCTACCGCGGCGGTCCAGTCTTCATGTCCGCCATCTCAGGCATCGACATCGCCCTCTGGGATCTCAAAGCCCGCCGTCTCGCCGTCCCCCTCTACCAACTCCTCGGCGGCAAAGTTCGCAACAAAGTCCAAGTCTACGCCTGGATTGGCGGCGACCGGCCCGCCGACGTCGAATCCGCCGCAAAAGCGCGCCTCGCGCAAGGCTTCAAAGCCGTCAAGATGAACGCCACCGAGGACATCGGCTGGCTCGACTCGCCCAGTTCTCTCGAATCCTCCGTCGAGCGCCTCAAGAAAGTCAAGGCCCTGAGTATGGACGCTGCGCTTGATTTTCATGGCAGACTGCACAAGCCGATGGCGAAGCAGCTTGCCAAGGCGCTCGAACCGCATCATCCGCTCTTCATCGAGGAACCCCTGCTCTCAGAGCACCCGGAGGGGATCAAGCAGATCTCCAAACTCACGACCTGCCCAATCGCGCTCGGCGAGCGCCTTTACAGCCGATGGGACGTGAAGCGGTACCTCGAAGACGCTTCTGTAGACGTGCTGCAGCCGGACGTCTCTCACTGCGGCGGCATCTCTGAGCTCAAGAAGATCGCGGCCATGGCTGAGGCGTATGATGTTGCGATCGCGCCGCATTGCCCGCTGGGCCCGATTGCGCTGGCGGCGTGCTTGCATGTTGGGCTCTCGACGCCGAATCATGTTATCCAGGAGATGTCGTTGGGGATTCACTATAATGTCGAAGCTGGGGATTATGATCTTCATAGCTACGTGCATAATCCAAGCGCTTTTGATGTCAGAGACGGACATGTCGACATTTTGACGGGCCCCGGTCTGGGGATCGAAGTCAATGAAGAGGAGGTGAGGAGAGTTGCGAAGACTGCGACGTCCTGGCCGCTTCAGGGGTTCGTTGGTAAGGATGGCGGGATTCGAGAGTGGTGAGAGCACAATGTGGAATTTGAAAATGTACGAAAGCCACGTGAGCATACGAAGGGTCTGCGTACAGCTGATCCGTATATTCTTGAAATATCCCCCTCGGCTCATGTTCCACTGCGCCACTAGGTACTAATCCCAAGCTGTCTTCAAGGAAGTCCACTCGCTACCGCATACCCCCGCCGTTGCTCACGACTTCTCTTCCGTTGCCCGTTTCAGCGAACGACGTCGCACTGTTCCCTTGTCCGCTTGGCGCAGGACGAAAGTGTATCATGCTGTCGTACCCCAATAGGAAGCTTATGCTATCCACTCCTCCGCTCTCCACCACCTGGCCCGCCGCTCGACTCTACAAGCCCTCAGCCACTCGATCGTCCGTTTCGTTTCCCCAATCCCACATCCGAAAGTGCGGGTTGAATGATGCATTGATGCTGCTATCGTTGTTTGCACTGCTGCTGCTGCTGCTGCTGCTGTTTCTAGGAGAAGCTGAACAACAGGAAAGCCGTACATAGCGCGCTCGCTGGACTGCGACGGCTGGCACATCTGTCCCAGCGATGAGCTGGAGGGAAGGTGGAGCTGATTTAGTGGTGCCCCAAGAACGTGGCAGTGCATGGGGTACATGAGTTCGTTTCCCCGGCAGTGTAATGAGCTTACGGCAGTGGATAGTACGGTCATATAGAGGAAGTCAAGGGGATTGATAGCGGATGAATGTTTTCTGGTGGATTCTACTTAATCTGTCATCCCGTGGTGTTCAGGGGGCGGAGCTGACAGGCGGCGGATGTGACATGTACACCAGCATGTTGGAAAACGAAATTGGTAGCAGCGATGGTGAATGAACAATTATTTCGCTGCCGAAGGACACGACTAAAGGCGCTGTGTGGGGAAGAACAATTGACGGACTTGGAGTTGAAGCTCACAGGGACTAGCAGACATATTAGGAGCTCCAGAGCATAGACGAGGCATTGTATACTCCAAACATATTTCGGTCACTCCTACGAAGGAGGGGCGTTAACTGAAGAAGCGACGGCCGCTTGACCACCCTCCAATGTCATCAAGAAATATTAACAGCCAGTTTATGTAATTTAAATCTACACCTCCTACTCACTGAAGATATATCTAGTGTGCCAGCCCACCTCTGCAAACGCCTCAATACTGTGTTAAGAAGCCTTGTGGTCGCGCGCCATTAAGCGACCGCTTCCTCGATAAATACCCCGTCCTTCGTAGTGTCCGGCCACAAGCTAGTGGAAGCATAAGCGAACGGTGTACGGGACCAGTGTAGTCACGACATTCAGCAGAGTGGCTATTGGGTAATGAGAGAGAGATAGCGTTGATGATTATGTAGGATGTAGGTGGCTGTTTATCCACCCAGCAGATAGCTACATGTAGAAATCAAGAGGAGTGTAACGCCGATCTTCATCGCACAGCAGACCTGCCGCTTACAAGTTGAAGAGGATATCTTTCGCCATGAACCCTTCGTTAGACACGCCCAAATACCCAGTCATAAGGTGTGAAAACTTCTGCAAGGCTCCCATGTTATCTCGACTGCTCCAGCGAAGGTACGTTTCAGGAGCAGCAAGATGTAGGCAGGGCACTTGTTACGATCGGTGTGGTCCAGATAAGCATGAAGCACATCGGGGATGTCCGCAGCCCCCATACCCCCTGAGCCCGCAAGGGTTGCGTGAGGTACTCCCCCATGTTTGCCCGCATTGGCAGCACGTCCAGGGTGTGGAGCTCGGAACCATAGCGGGCTTGGGTGTATGAGTTATTACATTGCCGGGGTTCGGTCGCCAAGGTGGAGTTCCGGACGGAGACGGAGTCCGAGAGGTAGTCACTGGGGGACGCCAAGTAAGGGGCTCAGTTGGAGATCCATGGCGACCGCGCATTGTACGCGTAACGCCTGTTATGTTAGGAGGCCAAGGGCCAACTACCGGGTCGGCCCATTGGAGAGGCTGAATGGGAGTCCAAGTGGGGGCTTCAGAGCGACTGGGAACGTGAGCCTCGGCGGACGGCTGAGCAGGAGGCTGGAGAGCAGTCTGTACGGGAAAAGGAGGATCCTGATAGGGTAATTGGAGAGGTTGCTGTCCGGGCTGTGTGGGGCGGGTGGCTGGAGGATTGCGGCAGTCGTCGCATTGATAGCGAGGTCTCCAATAGGTTAGAAAATAGTCGCAGCTGATGCTACTGCAGGCGGTGTGTTGGTCATCGTCATCGGTGAGGTAGCCGCATTTACAGCACTTCCAGCGTTGGTTCGGCATGATGGTATTGGGGCGCTGCTAGAACTGGTCCAGATAGAGTACCCAAGTCGGGTTGAAGTTGGACTTAGCTAGTCTTGGCGACCGTCTGAATCTGTTGGTTGTTAATTGTATCTACTTCGGTGTCTTGGTTATGGAAGAGGCACCCGGCAGGAGAGGGAGAGAGCATAAATAGGCAGCGTTTGGGAAGGACCCAGAGGCCGACGCACGGGGGCCATGTCACATAAACCAGTCAATACGGGAATGACAAGATGAAAGCGTGTTGAACGTGATCGCTAAGGCGCTGTTCACCAACGACTGCGACCTGTAGTTGGACATTTGACAAGGAACAGATAGGCAAAGACCTTGGTGCAGTCAGCTGTATACACAGTGAATGCCGTTTGACGCCGTCACAATCGCCAAACAAAACGCTCAGAATATCAATGACAGCGATGGACTACTCCTAAACATGAGGTGAAGGGCTTAGATGGAGTCATAAGAGTATCCGGAAGCTTTGAGAGAAAGAAAAGAGCATCGACTGGCGGCCTTGATAGAAGTCACAATTTGATAAAACAGGAATCGAGCACGCAGTAGCGTGACTGTGAAAGGTGGTGGACGAACAGGAATTATCATAGTCAACTCCATCACCTTCACACACCGCTGCTTATATCTTCTACCACGTGAGGTCAGTAGCTATGCTCTCTTGTTGGCCGCGTTCGACCGCCCTTCAAGGTAGCTCTTCCAAGATTGTCACGAAATGTTCGCCTTGAGCCTATTGTCCCCTTGTTGCCTGCTCCAGGATCCGAGTGAGCAGCACGTCCATAGTTGGGCCTTTGCACACGTCTTTGATAAGACATCAAGCTCTTCTTTCCAAGACTCAATAATGGACAGATGCACCTCCTTCAGCTGCTTACTGTCAATCCGTGTCTACAGTCCAGCCTTACGGCTAGGCTGGCGCAGAAACTGGTCTGAGGCGCAGGATGACGGGGCTTACTTCTCGCTGTAGGAAGGAGATGTGGTTTTAGATGCAGGATGAGTGGATGGCTTAACAACCGAAATTACTACGAGTTGTCGGCGGTGAGTAGGAAGTGAAGGGAGCTGTGCCGTTCAGCGGATGAAGTTATCGACACGAGTCAAACTACGGTCACAGTGTTCATGGTGGTCATATGTAAGTTTCCTGAGGCTGAAGCCGTGATGCCATGCAGGCTGTCTGCAGGTGTGATGTGTGCTGTGTGATGGCAACATGGGCATTGAGCGAACCAGCGTTTGAGTTCGGCTGGGCGTCAGGTACACACGCACGCACGAATCGCCAAGTCGCCGTCGCCGTCGCCCTCGCGCATCCGTTGAGCGGGACTTGAAGAGACCATAGCTAGTTTGTATGTCGTCAAACTTCTACCTGAGAGATAAACCACAAGAGGAGAAGCGAATGGTGTTAGAGAAGTTCGGTACCGGGGCCAGCGTCCACCAAAGGACGGCGAAATCGAACAAGGATGCCAGCGTCAGCACTTCCACACCACTTTCACCTCCTCCACCAGACTCCATCGTCCAGCACTTCTTGTCACGCAGAAAACGCGTCGAATTCATACAATCCCATCCCGTCCAGCCCAACGTCACGTCCGAGGATAGAGAATCCTCCCCTCCCACAGCAAGTCTCTGTCGCGACAAATAACCAGTCGGGAGCAGCACGCCACCATCTACAGAGCCTCCCAGCAATCTCTCGCACGCCCATCGAGTGCAAACGCCCCAAAAATCCCCCCACGACTGGTACCGGCCGCGTCACGCACTTGGTTTCATCCTCCACCAACACAACACCCGGCCCCGCATCGTCACAGGCGGGTTCCTACTTCACGCTTCAGCCTGCCGCCTCGGGCGTCGAAACGCGCTCTCCAGCCAACAGACTACCGCCAGCATCGAAAAGCAGCCATGGAATAGACACCTCATACGGACCGCCGATCGCGCTCATTACAAGAGGATCCTTCAATAAGGAAGTTGCGCGAATGGTGCACACTCCAGGCGATTACGAGGATGAACAGCAGGACTTGATTCATCCAGGATACACAGCCCCGGTGAACCTTCGGCTGCAGAGGAGCAACAGTTTGGTGGCGCAAGATAGCGCGGGTGTGAGCAACACTGGACGGAAGAGGCAGGATAGCGGAGCGTCGAACCGATCAGCACCTCGCGCGTCAAGTCGGCAAGGTCACGGTTCTGTATGCTCAAAAAATACCATGGCCCTACAGCACGAGCACGGCGCCGCCGAGGCCGACTTTGGCCTTGAACAGGGCGAGATGAACGGAAGCGCAGATACAGCAAGCCAGGGAGACTACCCACAAGATGCCCTTGATCATGAAGGCGATCGCTCCGGCCAAGGTAGCGAGGATCTCTTTCTTAATATTGCGGAGAGCCCCCGCCATCGGAGCGAAGAAGATGGTACGTACGGGATTGAGCGTAGAAGGTCCCGGCGGACGCGAGCATCACAACGCCAAGTATTGCCCAGCAACTCGCTCTCTTCACAAGTGGACAATCCAGTGCCGGGTGGGCTCGCATCTAAATCTACTGTATCAACGCTTCCGGCGCATTATAGGGGATTCTCCCGAAGATTATCGCCAGCTGCGGAACCGCGGTCACTGCAGGACCTGTCCCCAATGTCACCCCCAGAATCTTCGGACGCCGCCGGCGACCACTACCCCGGTCTCTCCCCTCACTCTTCCTTTTCATCCGCTCTTGCACCCGAAGCATCAGAACGGAGCAGGCACCGACCACCTCACAACGACCAGCAACCGTATCGAAGCCACACCCATCGCCCTTCGAACCTGCATTACTCTCGAGAACTCGATCCCGGTTTCTACGCCAATACTCCACCTTCTGCAGTTTCCAACGCTCACCGAACCCACTCCCGCGCAGACGGCGCATCCTCCGCTGGCTCGTCCGCTGCTCCGACGACAGTTTGGGACGAGGTTGAAGACCTCAAGTCCCGCATCGCTAGGCTCGAATTGACGCGCAACATTCCAACAAACGCAGTCATCTCCAACGGCTCGGCAGACCGTCCGCGCACCGCCACCACAACCGTGACGACCATTTCGTCTTCGCCCAAACAACTCCGCAAACCAAGCGCCAGTGGTTCAGATACCCCTATCGGCGGGCGGTTGGGCGCAGAGCTCCATCCCACCTTGCACACAGCGTTAGCCAAATGCAAGAACCAGTTGAACCCGTCACTATACCGGTCGCTCGCGGCCGCAGCATCCGATGCGCTGGAGCTGGCCGCTTTAACCGGAGGACCTCAGGGAACGGCCTTTACAGCGGCGAGCATGATCAACAGCGTAGCGGCTGCGGATAGACAGGTCAGACGGAAAGCAGACAACGTTTGCCGCAGTCTGACCGAAGTGTGTATTGCCCTGTGCGACGCCAAGTCCATCTCCACCGATTCTGCACCACCAACCACGATGCTGCCAGCAAACCTTGCAGCAAACCTCGCGATCCGACGCGCAAGCCTCCAACAAAACGGCACCGCCTCAGCCCTAAGCAGAAGCACCCGTGCCTCCACCGAACCCCCCGAGCGTAGCACCCCCAGTAGGGCACTCAACCGCATCGAAGCCCGCCGAAGCAGTCTCCTAGGCCTAAACGGCACCTCCTCCACCTCAACCTCCGACTCCACCTCCCGAGAAACCGAAACTATCCAGGACTCCATCGAAGACACCGGCTCCGTGACGCCCAAAACCGCGTCCCGCTCCACACACCCGCCCATCAGTGCCGCGAGGGCAGGAACTTCGCTCCTGCATACGCGCCGCACGCATGGAGCCTCGGGAGGCGCAGAAGACGACACGGAGCGCGCGCGGCCGCTGTCGAGAGCCATGACGGAGATCGAGCCGCTGCCCGGTGACAGGGGCGCACGGCTCAGCGTCGGCAGTGGGGGGCACGCACAGCGCCTCTCGCTGTCCCGTGACTTCGCGGCGAAACACGCGTCGGACTCGCTGCATACGCAGCCGTACTCCTCGCCTCTCGCGCACGCGTCGTCGCTGAGAAGGACCTCGAGACACGATGGCCAGGGTAGCCATGTACCGGGCTTGGCGTTAAGAGGTGCGGTACTGGATGGGAGTCGACGATATGGCGCTAGAAGGACGCCGGAGAGGGGTTTGGCGCCTGAAGCAGCAAGCAGCGGGGGCGAGGCGAGACAGCGCGTCGTGAGTCTGGGACTCGATGTTGCGGGTAAGGGGGCCGACGAGCTGGGGCGAAGGAGGAGTTTGGGACGGAGGGTTAGGCAGAGCACGCCTGGGGCTACTGCTGTGGGTGTTAGGGGGGAGTAAGTCGGATTGAGATTCGGAGGGACTGCCGTGCTGGCTGGAGCGGCTATAGCTTGAAGAGATGTGCATTACGTTCTGGAGCATATACTAGATATTGTGCTAGGGCGGTGTTCTTTCGCTGGGCCCAAGGGACGAGACCTACGCTCGTGTGCGCGGAGCGTAGGATATTGCATCTGGGCAGCATCGCCGAGGGCGGATGGCAGGGCGGTAGCATCGTATATATGGTATCTGCTCCTGGGGATTACACACATGCTGCTTCATCGTGCTCTGTCTAGATGTACAAGTTTGTGTGAGTATGCTGGCGCCGAGCCCTCATATTAGCACTCTGTGTTGCTAGCAATCTCGCTGTCAGGATCTTGGAAAGAGGCTGCGCTTCTCTGCAATGGACAAAAGTCCTTTGTAGGGGTGATCCTGCGCTAGCGCCAGTGCTGAAGCCCGGACATCTGCCAACGGCCAATGCCCACGCTGCGTTGACGTCAATCCCAGGAGAGCCGCAGCCGCCTGTGCCTTGTTGCCCTGGCAGACTCAACATCCTTGCAGGGGCATCAAACATCCGCATCCCCTTCGGAGCAGTCTTCTCGATGAGGTCCTCACGACCAGCATCCGCCTACCTCACGCCCGCCCCCGACATCACCTAACCAGCTCCCTATCCCTCTCCCTCTCCTCCTCCCCCTCCCCACAATAATGGTCCACCTCTCCACGCCCGCCAAAGACACCGGCGTCTTCAGCACCGAGGAAGTCCATCCCCCCGATGGCACCGCCCAAGTCCTCTCCCGCGTAATCGCCTTCCCACGCAACCACTACACGCGCGCCCCCAACGTCGCCGCAGGCTTCAAGCAGCTGCACCTTTCGCGCGCCGGGCCCCTGCGCGCCAACCTCGTCGGCTCCGACATCACCAAAGACAGCTTCACCGTCACCGTCGAGACGTGGGGCGACGGCATCCTCTACAGCGCGACGGGGACCTGGATCGAACACAAAGCCGGGGCGAGGGACTGTCATTTCGGGCAGTTCGATACCGCCGAGGTGCACCCCGATGCGACGGCCACGCCGCAGGAAGTCGAGGCGCGCATCCAGTTTCCCGCCGACGTGGGAAGGTGGAAGTCGCACCAGCGCCCGCCGCATGTGGTGTGTTGGCTCAACCGGCTGGACCTGGCGTGCGAGCCTGGCCGGAATTTCAGGATCGCGGCGCACGCGACACGCATTGGTGAGCAGGGCTTCACGGCGCATTTGGACACGTGGGGGAACACGCGCATGGCTGGCGCGGCCATGTGTTGGATTGCGTTCCCACGGGGCAAGAAGGGCGTCGCGACGGGGTCGTTTTCAACTTCCGACGTGCGGCTGTGGAGCAAGCCGTGGGCGGAGAATAGCGGGACGATTAAATTCGCGGATGCGGGACAGCGGTTTGGCGTCGTCCCGACGGTGCTCGTCGCGTTGAACGGGTTCGATATCAGGGGGGATGCGGATTTGAGAGTTAAGGTGTATGTGGATGAGGTTACGAAGGAGGGTTTCAGGTGGCATTTGAATACGTGGGGGGATACGACGCTTTATTCGGCGAGCGCTAGTTGGATTGCGCTCGGGTTTGAGTGAAGAGATGGGGGACGATGGAATTGGAGAGCAAAGAGTGTGCGCTTCTCGGGGCTTCTATGAGTGGGAAGACGACGGGCGACCCCGAGCTGAGCGATTGCTTCTCGACTGGAGCCGAAGCCGCCGACTGGTTGTCAGAGGCACATCTGGGACCTACTCCTGTGCTGCGGTTGTCGGTATCCCCATGCGTCGCTTTCACAGTTCTGGGCGACAAACGACTGGCGCATGCCTGCAAGATTTGGGGACGCTGATGTTGTCCGTACCAGCGGCACATCATTCGAGGGCCAGTTGAGGATGGAAGACACGAGGTGGTTATGAGGGCAATCAGGTATGAGATCGTACAGTGCGCCACAGGGAAGCAAGCTGCGAGACGAGATCCGCCAGCGGACAAGGACAGCAATGAACTCCCTAGAGTTGCTGGCAGACAATCAATAGTACAAGGTTAGAATGGGATAGAGTAACGAAAAGAAGTACGTCTATCGGCTGTGCGCCGTCGCTCTCGGGCTACGACTGTTCTGACCGGTTTTTGACTGCAGCGTGTGCCTTACAGTCTCGATATACACCAGCACATGTTCAAGAAGAAGCTCAAGGCGAGTTAGACGGGTATATTAGAAAAAGAAAAAAGAGAAAGAAATAACAAAACAAACCACACAGAGAATACTTGATCTAAGCAGCCGTTTAACGGTACTCGCAAAGGAGCCAAAACAACGCAATCTAATCCGTCTGGTATCTTAGCCACATCTGGTATATCCGCCCCAATCAACCCTATCACCAGGTAATCCTCACACCACCAAAACGCCGGGGCTCGTAACTCATTCCCCTCCTTCTACTTCTTCTCCTCCTTCTTCCCACCCCACAGCCCCCCCAAATACCCCCCCGCGCCCTTCGCCCCTTCCGTCACCTTACTCCCACCCGCCTTCGCATTGTCGACGAGCGGATCCGTCACACCTCCAAGCGGACCACCATAGCTCCCCTTATCGTCCTTGCCGCCGCGCTCGGCGCGGTTGATGCCCTCCTTGGACGCCATGTCGCCGATGGGTTGCGCGAGGCCGCCTTTGCCGACTTGGCTGCCGACGAGGTTGTTGACGCCGTCTTGGAGGGTGTCGACTTGTTTGATGCCGGTTACTTTGGACTTGTCGAGGGTGTCTGTTGGGGTTTAGGATTAGTTGGGGGGTTTTGAGATTTTCGGAGGAGACGATGAGGAAGGCAGGGAAAAGGTGGGTATACCTTTGGTGGCATAGGACGCCTTGTTGTCGTTGCCGAAGTACTGCAGATACTTGTCCTCGACCCAGGGGACCCAGTTCTCGTACTGCTTGTTGTACTGCTGCTTTGTCCACTCCATGTTTGCTGGCGTATCGTGCTTCCTGAGGATGTGCTTGCGCTAGGATATATCTGTCTGAGGACTGTCTTTGTATGAGGACCGTTTTGCGAGACGATGCGACGCTGAAAATCTGCCTTATCTGGGAAACAGAGAAGCAGGAACAAAACGGCGAGCTGCGGCAGGGTTAAAAGGCCCGCTGGCCGTCGCGCTACGCGTCATCATGCGGGCTGGGAGCAGGCTTGATCTGAACTTGTGGCCCAGTCACACTGGGCAGAATGGGAGTGACAAGACGGGAAGAACCCTGGACGTTGAGTTGAGGTGGGCTGCAGTGTGAGGTCATCGGATGTGTCCTGGGTAGCCACGTGATTTGGCGTCTACATGGCTCGCGTCGGGCTGGGGATGACGTTCCCCGCAACTCGGCATGTCTTCTTGGTCGCTTCTCGAGACAAATGCACGTTCGGTGGATTCTGTTTAAGGTGGCTTCTATCATTTTCCTCTGGCGACGCTCTGTGCTAGCACATCAATCGGCGGCTAGTTCGTAAGTGGACACGTCTTTCGAACCAACTAGATCCAATACTAGCACTGCGGAGTTCCCTGTAACGGCGCGCGCTATACTCAGATGTGCTAACGTCTTCTAGTCATAAGTGAGGCTGTTCGTCTAGTAACCAATGGCCGATGTAGCGGGAGTCATCGACTTAGGGAGCGAGCCGGAAAGCGACGGAGAGAGGGCCAGTCATGCGCCAGAAGCTTCGACTGGAGCTCCGGCATTGTTGAGTGAGAGTGATGGGAGCAGTCTTTATGGATCTTCAGGGGACCTGAAAATGGACATCCTGGACTGCCTTGATGCCGTCCAGTGTGTCGGATCGTTTGCGACTCTCGGAAAGCTGGATGGAATCGTAGAACCGGACATATACATCAATCTTTCCGCTGGCGCCACACACGTACATGTTCCGCTCTTAGAAGAGCATGCAAAAGCCATCATTGCCGTGAGCCATCAGGCGCCATTCGGCAAAGGAACCGAGACGATCATCGATGCTTCAGTACGTAAAACCTGGGAGCTCAATCACAATCAGTTTGAATTGCGAAATCCGGAATGGCAGCAATACGTAGCCCAGATTGCGAAGAAAGTGGCCGCCGAGCTTGGTATATCCAGAGGGACAGGAACGTTTCAGGCGCAGCTGTACAAAATGTTGTTGTACGAAAAAGGCGCAATGTTCAAAGCGCACACCGAGTAAGTACAGCAGACTACAATACGATAGTATGGCTGCTGTTGCTGAAATCAGGTCAGTACGGAAAAGGTGCCTGGTATGTTCGGAACACTGGTTGTCTGTCTGCCATCAAAGCATAAGGGCGGCGCTGTAGCATTACGGCACAAGAAACAGACCAAGATGTTCCGCACTGAGGACTTCAAACAGTCTTACGCAGCTTGGTTCGTCGCTTCCCCGTGACTCCGGTCTGGATTACCTCTAACTCCTTCATCACAGGTACTCCGACGTGAAGCACGAGGTCACCGAAGTGACATCCGGCTATCGCTGGGTTCTTACCTACAACCTCGTATACTCCGGTCACGTCTACGAGCCGCTTTCGGCTGCAGACAATACTCGCCATGCGAGGTTCCTGGCTGCTGTTTTCGAAAATTGGCGGGAAGACATAAACAACGATGAAAACGATCATGTGTACACCGGCGATCCTCCGCCCGAGGAATTAATATACCTGCTAGATCACCAATACACGGACGAAAGTCTCCGTTTCAGCGCACTAAAAGGCAAAGATCTTGTCAAGGCGCAGTTGCTGAAAGATTCATGCGATCAGGCTGACTGCTGCGTTTACCTGGCAAGTCTCGAACGCAAAGTCTATGGTGGCGTCAAGGATGATTACGATGAGTACTATGGCCGTGGTTTTGGCTATTATGATGACGAGGAATCCGAAAACGGAGACTCCGAAGATGAGAACTCCGAAGACGAGCCCACAGACTGCTCGAAAGACCGCCCCACCCGCCGCTATGCCAGTGATTTCCATGAAATCATAGACGAATGCGACAAGTCGTTGAAACTCAAGCGTGTTGTCGATTTTGCCGGGCGAGTGGTTGGGACAGAATTTGATGTCGACGAGGACAACATCATCCAGGATGAACCTTTCAAGGATCGGGAACCGGACGAGGAGGACTTTGAAGGGTATACAGGGAATGAGGGGGCGAGTACCACCCACTGGTACCGGAACACCGTAAGTCTGGGCTCTGTCAATCCCATGTATGTTGCTGATGTTCTGCAGGCCCTAGTCTTAGTGCCCAAGGAATACGACGTATCTTTCCGCCTGCGGCCTTTCGCCAAAGGACCTAGGTCCGAAGGAAGACTGGAAGAACACTCCTTACAAATCGACGGGGTTATACAGCGCCTCGAAGAGAAACTTGGACGCGATCCTCAGAACAAAGATCTGCAAGAAGAACTCATTGAGACCTGTCGGTTTGTGATGGGTCACAACATCGACCATCGGCAGCGTATTGACGGACGATGGGGCCTGGAGAGAAAGGAGCGGTTCCCCGACAGCACTGTTGGAGAGGTTGTCAAAGCAAGCTTGCTCCTTCGGAAGCCGGCCTGCCTTGTTTAACAGTGCAACGCGAGCCGTTGACAAACACTTACCGCTGAGTTGCTTCTCCGATGTCGGGGCGCTCCTTCGAGCGTGCGGCTTTGCGGCTCTACGCAAAGGGTAGGTAACAGTAATGCAGAGGAGCTGCTTTTCGCGGAAAGGCAAAGATTGTTGACTTGACGATTATAAAACAGGCTAGCCAACGCCCTGAAGCCCATCTCCACGGTCCATGAAAGGGTTGAAGCAATACAAAAGATCGAGGGAAGTGACAGCGCAGGGCAAACCGAGCGCACTACGGACCCTGAATTTCTCAAATGGGCTACCGAGCAGCTCAAAGAAGTGTTGGCGAATCCTGAGCAGGTCCACAAGCAGGATGGTGTTGCACTGGCGGATCTCATGAGGTGGGAGCACAGCGATGACTCTTTGTTCGAGAGGTGAGCCATGTCCAATCGACGAAGCAAAGATCACCATGGGGCTAACATGGTGTAACAGTATGGTCGTGATGGCAAAGAAGTACGCCTCAAACACGCCGTTCGTCGTCTCGTTACTGGCTACTATGCCAAGAGCAGATGACACCCACAAAGGAGCATGGAGGGACATCCTGTCGGAAATGCTCCAGATGTTCAGCCTTTGTCACGAGCCGGAGCCCGAACCGGCACCAGAATCGGCACCTAGATCTAACATTGGATTGGGCTACGGCTCTCGCGGGGTTGTACTGAGCGAAGGCACTTGGGGGGTCGCGTATCCCAGTCGTCTTGCAATGGCCACGTACCCATCGATTTATGGCGTTCACGCACCAGCTAAACCTCGTAAAGCACCGTTCGATCCGAAAGCCATGGCGGAGCTGTTACGGGATTGCCTTTCAGAGAATTTCGAACCCGAAGCGAAGACCATACTGGACAAGGTGGTCTCTGACGCGGACCGCATTAACACTAGTGACTTCCACACAATGTTACTTCCCTTTCTGAAGGAGGTAGTCCTTGTTTTACGAGCGCAGAGTGTTCCTCTGACGGACTCTCGCTTCCAGGCTCTCTATCAATCCGTGATCAATTCATACATCATGCGGTACGTTGGCATGGAGCCTGCTCCGCCTCCAAATTGGACCCGTCCTCCAGCAGGCTGTGGCTGCGCGGATTGCGCCCGGCTCGATGAGTTCCTTGTGAGTCCCACGGAATCAGTTGGCCGCTTCTCAATGGCGGAAAAAAGGCGCAAACATCTGCACTACCAGCTTGAGAGCCAGCGTGGCGATTACACCCAGGATACTGAGCGCACACGCAGTCCTTACACGCTAGTCGTGACGAAGACGAACAAAAGTTACAACGACGCATTGCATAAGTGGCAGGCGAGGAGAGAGGAGGCTCGTTCTGACATTAGGGCAATAGGGGATAAGAACCTGAGAGCGTTGCTGGGAGATCGATACGCAGAGTTGACACAGTTTACTGCAGTCACCTTGCCCGAAGCCGCAAGGGTGCTGCCTACGACTCGGACGCTACCTCCGCTACCATCTGTAAACAGGGCGCACAACACACGACCGGCCAAGCGGCAGAGATTGGATCATGGTTACCGTCCGGGGCCTCCGCGTCCCGGGCAACCTTACAGTCAACCGTGGGGACGAGCAGCACAAGGTCCTTCTAGCACATATAGACCATCAGGAGCTGCGGCAGCGCAGCCGTTGGCGCCTACTTCGGGCAACCAAATTCCCCCTATGGCGGATGTATCGAGGCCTACTGGTTTACACCCTGGGTCGACGACGCAGAGCGTCAATCCTATCAGAAAGAGAAAGGCGATCCCCGAACTCGTCGACCTTACCGGCGAGGATTGAGAAGGCATCGGTCTCGCCCCTCCGGGCTGTGCTTGTACCAGGGGGCTAAGATTGAATACTCATGGCCGTGGGGTACTCCGCGTAGCACATAGTCGTCACGCCGAGCCCTTGGATCGGTTTCAGCCTGCCTTCCAAAGCCACCCGACGGTGAGGCATCTCGTGCGAGGACCCACTCGAGATCGTCTTCGGTAAGCAAACCGAACCACTGGATGATGTCCGAAGCAGGATTCTTGGAGCCGGAGTTTCTACTCGCCCGTGCAAGGTGGCTGGCAGTTCGTCTACGCGTCCAAGGTCTCTCGACGGTCTGAGGACGGACTAAAATGACGCTACCGGTCGGTACACATCATTTAGGTGCGTAGACCAGCAATGCTCCTTTTAGCCCGCCCTTGGTCGGTTGTTTGTAAAGGGGAACAGCGGATAATCGGACGAGGAAGAAGATTCGATCGTAACCGTTGCTTTCCGTAGGGCCAACAATGGTTCCTTCTACGGACCTGTCTAGGTCTGATAATCTCATGGTGCAATGTTCTATTCTCGGGTCACAGCTCATGCGCTCTTTAGTAACTGTTCGCACAGCGGAATACTCGCACATTCTGGAATTTGCAGAAGTATTGTAGAGGCTGGAAATATCCCCCCTTTGTGAAAGTGCGGTTTGTGGCGTGACCCTTGTTTCATTCTATGCTATAACTCACAATTGCTCAACTTTGTATTACATTCAAGACCAGCGGCAGCAGACAAGGAGTGAGTTATCTCTATTCGACTGGTGCGGCGGCCATAAGGCAGGTTTGTACAAACCGTCGGGCCTTGTAAGTCGCCGGTCGCTTCATATCTAACTTTAGGGTTACATCCGCTCATCCATCCGAAATGTTCCGTCAGCTATCTCCCGCGTGGCCCCGTCATACCAGAACACGACGCCAGTCGCTTTTGCAAACATCGTCCAAATCATCAACACATTTTCACCTACCATAGGCTTCATCTACAAACGCATCCCATTCCCTCTCATACTCCCATGCCGCCCGCCCGCTCCACAGCAATCCATGCCTCCTGCCGCCCCAGAACTCCAACACCTCGCCGTACAGCCCAAAAATAGCGCCCCGGATATCACCAGCGCCCGAGAAACTAATTTCCCCACTGTTACTCCGCGCGAAAGACAGCTGTCCCGTCTCGGCTTCCCGGCCTCGCCAGCCGAAGGGGAGAGAGACGTTTGGTGTGACTTGCGTGGTCGGGATGCGGATGACGCCGCTGAAGGGCCCGAGCTCGTAGGAGCCCCAAATGGTGTCGGTCTCGTGGTCGACTTGCAACAGAAACCGGAGGTGCGAGATGTGGGATGGCCAGCCGGCGGCAATGGTGGGACAAGCCATGGTGTAGACGCCCGATACGGCGATACTGGAATCGGGATTTGGTGGAGGGATGGGGTCGTCGAGGTCTTCATTCTTGACTGTGGGCTTTGGCTTTTTGACGGTGGGCTCTTTCTTGACGGTTGGCTCTTTCTTCACCGCGGCCTCTTTTTTGACCTTCGCTAGGGTCTTTTTGGACGGTGGGTCTATCGGGTGTCCGGTAAATGGCGCCGGCTCGTCGTGCTTAGGTTTCCTCTTGCTTGCTACAGACGTATGCGCACCTCTTCTAGCGGTTTGTTTGGGCATGGATATCTGCGGCGATGCTTGGGGCTCTGGGCTTTCGGGAGCCGGCCTGCTTGTTAGGGAGGTGCGGTTGAAGGGCATGCTTCTCCGGGCGGTTTGTTTGGTCCTTGCTTTCGGCGCCGGAGCGGCTTGAAAGTATTCCGCGCTCGTAGGCCCCAACTCTGTGGCTGCGGCTTTGCTCTTCGAGGCTGATTCGGCCTTCTGCCCTACCACCTTCTTCGCCGCGGGCTTCTTGTCTGTAGATGTAGGTTTCTTACTCGCCGTTTGCTTCTTGGCCGTAAATGCCTCTTCGATGTTGACCGCTATATCCCCAACCATAACCGTGACCTTCGTCTTCTTCATGGTGACGCTGGCCGCGCCGGCAGGGGCGTCTGACTGCTTCCGCTTCTTGGTAGTGGCTGGTGCATCCCCAACAGCAGCTTCCGCCTGCTTCCTCTTCTGGCCCACGCCCACACTCTTCCCACTGCCCTCCCCACCACCTGGCACGCCAGCCCCTTTAACCGCCGCCTTCGCCCTCCGATTCTCCGCCGCATACTCTTTCCTCAACTCCTCTTCCAGCCTCTCCACATACTTCGGTACCTCCAGTTTCCCCGTGTTCAGCGCACCCAGCAAGCGCACCTTCGCCGCGTTCTTGTCTTTGGTCGGCGGGAGGCCATAGTGCCGCAATTGCGCCTCGTACCAGTGGCCCACCTGGTCCTTGGTAACGCTGTTGTTGGACTTCTTGTTGGTGAAGAGCTCGGGCCGAAGGAGGACGGTCAGTTCGGCGACGCTGGCGCGTGGGTGTCGGTTTAGGTTGCCGACGTCGGCATAGAAGGTGTCGTGGTAGAGGAAGCCGTCGCGGGAGACAGGAGGGGCGAAGGCGCTCATGATTGTGGGGAAGTTTGCTAGGGGTTCAAGGCAGGGCGCCGTGTATGGATTGGCGGTGGTAGGGACGGGGTTAACGGAGTAAACATATAGTCCAACATCGCGGGTCTTGGCGTGGTGGTGAAGGTGCACGGGCGAGTTTCATCTTATCTTACATGAGAATCACGTGAAAGTTGGAGGCCATTTGATAGCAGGAATACTACACGCGAAGACCTCGACTCCACCTAAATCGGCTCTTCTAACCGTCTGACAGCCCATTGGCAGTGGCATGAGTCATTGTGAACCTGATGGCTTGACAAAGTAACCTGCACAATGCACATATACAATACTAACAACGGAACGGAGAGTACTTTGCTTTGTCCGGTCCTGCCACTCCTCACTTATCACGACTCTTTTATGTGAAATATCACCAGATGTCAGCGCATTGAACAGAATGTACCATGTTAGCTATATTTTTTTCTTTTTTTGAGGGCTTACTAGGAACATCAGTGCCTGCCTGATTGTGCTAGCCGACTATGTCACCCCGTCCCGCCTTTCTTTCGCGCCCTTTTCGCACCCTTTTCCGCTTACCTTTCGCAAGTCGCTGATCCTGTTCAGTCGCTCTCACAAACCCAACAAGCATCCCCTTGGTGTCTGCACGAGCCGTTGCGGCACCAGTCATCGTCTTCGTCATTTCTAGAGCCACACCTGCAGCAGGTCCACGTCTGTCCAGACGGAGGTGGAAGAGGAGCCGCGACGACATAGTTGTTCTGGCCTTCGGAGGCTTGAACTGGGGCGGAAGATGCAGCCTGATGTGCAAGTGCCACCAAGGCAGCGCCGGTTGGAGCACTCCGTGGCGTTTGATCCTTAGTAGACTCCATCGGAAGCAGAAGTTGATGACTTTGATACCGGATGTGATGTTGGAGGCTTAAGGTGTGTTTCTGGTGATTCGTTGATTGTTCGACTCCTCACTTCTAGTGTGAACCGATGGGTAAAAAGTTCTTGACACGGAGTCAGAGGCCTTTATAAAGCAAACTGAATCGGCATTGTTGACATTGAGCCTGTGGTGGCGCGACATTGACACCAGTGTGAAGCTGGTGAGGGTGCGAACAATGCATTGTATGCATTGTCCTCGATATAGTATCCGTCTGTCAAGATAGGAAGACCGAGTAATACGCCTCACCCATACTTTGAAGAACAACAGGGCGTGGCACTATAAGGATTTCGAGTTTGAAAATTGCCAGTGAGAAAAGTAGAGGTTGGTTGAGGGTTGGCTAGCATAACATTACCTATACGATGCGATGCGGGAGCCAATCTTGGCGACCCAACAGAACATGAGAGCCATAATAGCAGAAAACACCGTAGAAGGCGGCATTCGCCCAGGCTCCATTCGTCGGCAACTCCGGTGCGTGTTCAATGCGTTGTTTGCTGCAGGGGGAACGCATGTGCAAAGATCGTTCCGGATTGATAAAATCAACCGGGTGTCGGAGGGAAGCACTCTTGCTGGACCGCTGAAAAGCCTAGCACGGTAGACGGGACAAAGAAAAGCAGAAGCACGTCACGTGATTACGCGGCGAGCGATATTGAGTGCATGGTGATCGGGTAACAAAGAGTTCTGATGGAAACGGAACGGACTGTGTAGACTTAGGAAATGAGAAGGACCCCGTAAGAAGATAGCGCGGCCAAAGAAGACAGCATACAGAGACTATAGCAATAACATTGTTCCATCCAACCACCTAGAGCAGCTCGAGTCTGCTTTTAGCCATCCGTAACACATGAAATGGTTATGAGAGGCATTTGGTAGTCGGCTGATTATACTCGGTTTTAGTGGAAACGGCTCTGTTTGGAGAGGATTAACATGATGATCATAAAGACAGTGGCTGAAGTCAAAAGAGAGGTTCAGATGGCGTGCGGAACATGCCGAGGAAGCGAGCGGCGCTGGCGGACAGTTTGACAGACCCGTCATAGATCAGTCATGCACGCGTTCAAGTGCTGCAGAGAGTCGCCTTCATCAACCTAAACTTCATCGCCTTCACTCCCACGGGCTGAGGCTGCAGCGACTTTGTCTGACAACTTCCAGCCATCTCTACCTCTCTCACCCTCGCTGCAGTTATGACAACCTTTCTTCGGCGGTCCGGCGGTGTTGCACGACTATCACGGCATAGCATCGAATCCGCCTCCCGCACATCCACCTTCTCGCGCTGTCCGTCTGGCCTGTCTAGATACACCTGTGCAAACCAGCGGATACGAGGGTATGCGACCGTCAAGCCCGAAGATCCCAAAAATCCCAAGGGGCAAAATAATGGCAAAGAAGGTGCGGCAGACAAGGACGTAGCAGAGGGTCAGGACAAGCAGGCGGGGAACTCGGCACAAGGCTTTGATCAGTTCTACAGTGGCAAGAGCCCTATATCGCCCTCGCCTTCGGACGCGAAGCCTGATGGGTCCCGCCTAGGCTATACCAAGCTATCGCCGGAGGAGGAGAAGGCATTAGATGACCTGCTCGGCAATTTGAAGACTGGCATGCCTGCGGCGCAAGCCAAGGAGGTTGAGAAGGCTTTCCATCAGATCAAGGAGGAAGGCATACCCACAGAGCTTCGCGAGGTCATGAAGAGCATGGAGAGTGGCACACCGATGGACCTTGCAACAGCCGCAAAGCTTGTCAGGATGGTCACTGGGATGGCTCGCAAGGCAACAGAAAAGGGCGGACCTATGGATCAAGATTCCACTATGCGGCTCCTACGGGAAGCGAAGGAGAGACTGGAAGGGAGCCAACCAAAACTGAAGGATGAGGTACCGAAGCAAAAGGCTGGGGCACACGATCCGGGCCCAGGAGAAAGTAAGAGCAAGAGCCAGGGCAGAGGCAAAGAGGGTGGCAATGGTCCGTTCAGAGAGTTCAAGGTCGACACGGGCACATTCCTCACATCGGCTTTCGTTGCCTACTTGCTCTTCCGAATGGCTGTACCGGGTGAGAACTCCAGAGAGATAACGTGGCAAGAGTTCCGGACAACGTTCTTGGACAAGGGTCTCGTGGAGAAGATTGTGGTGCTTAACCACAATCGCGCGAGAGTCTATCTACACAGAGACGCTGTCGCCGCAACGTACCCTGATTCACCCGCTGCACACGCCAACTTCCACTACTACTTTACCATCGGCTCTGTGGAGGCATTCGAGCGAAAGATGGACGAGGCGCAGTCTGAGATGCGGATACCCGGTACAGAGCGGATACCCGTAGCCTACTCGGATGAGATATCATGGTTTGGCACGTTCCTGTCCTTCGGCCCTACCCTCCTCTTCATCGGCGCCATCTTCTGGCTCTCAAAGCGCGCCGCATCCGGCGCAGGCGGTCAGAGTGGCATATTCGGCATGGGCAAGAGCAGAGCCAAGAAGTTCAACCACGAGACAGATATCAAGGTCAAGTTTTCGGATGTTGCCGGCATGGACGAGGCGAAGCAGGAGATCATGGAGTTCGTCAGTTTCTTGAAGGAGCCAGGCGTCTATCAAAAGCTTGGCGCAAAGATACCACGTGGTGCAATTTTATCCGGCCCACCTGGTACTGGTAAAACACTGCTCGCGAAGGCGACAGCTGGCGAGTCACAAGTGCCCTTCTTCAGCGTCAGCGGTTCCGAGTTTGTTGAGATGTTCGTCGGTGTTGGTCCGTCTCGAGTACGAGATCTTTTCGCGAACGCACGCAAGAATACCCCCTGCATCATCTTCATTGACGAAATCGACGCCATTGGCAAATCGCGAGCAAAGCAGAACTTTGGCGGTGGTAACGACGAGCGAGAAAGCACACTAAACCAGATTCTGACGGAGATGGACGGCTTCAACACCTCTGAGCAGGTTGTCGTTCTTGCGGGCACTAACCGACCGGATGTCCTTGACAAGGCGCTCATGCGCCCAGGACGCTTCGACAGACACATTACGATTGACAAGCCCACGATGGATGGCCGCAAGCAGATCTTCGGCGTCCACCTCAAGAAAATTGTTACAAACGAAGATATCGAGCATCTCCAAGGCCGGCTCGCGGCGCTAACCCCCGGCTTCTCTGGTGCTGATATTGCCAATTGTGTCAATGAGGCAGCCCTCATTGGTGAGTTGTCATTCATCTGGCATTCATCAGTTCGATTCATAACGCTAGAATATTTGCTGATATGTATGGTGTGACAGCGGCCCGGGGCAAAGCCGACACGGTAGCGATGACCCACTTTGAGCAAGCGATCGAGCGTGTAATCGGTGGTCTCGAGAAGAAATCACTCGTCCTCTCCCCAGAAGAAAAGAGGACTGTAGCCTACCATGAAGCTGGCCACGCCATTTGCGGCTGGTACTTCAAGTATGCGGACCCGCTGCTCAAAGTCTCCATTATACCACGTGGCCAGGGAGCTTTGGGCTACGCACAATACCTGCCGTCAGGCGACACCTACCTAATGAACGTACACCAGCTCATGGACCGCATGGCCATGACACTCGGCGGCCGAGTGAGCGAGGAGCTGCACTTCGACACTGTGACGAGTGGAGCTAGCGACGACTTCAACAAGGTCACCCGTATGGCGACGGCTATGGTCACCAAGTTCGGCATGAGTCGCAAGATTGGCTTTGTTTACTTCGAGGACGATAATCAGCAGCAGCTACACAAGCCTTTCAGCGAGGAGACGGCCAGGAACATCGATATCGAGGTCCGCCGCATCGTGGACGAGGCGTACAAGCAGTGCAAAGACCTGTTGACGGAGAAGAAGGACCAAGTTGGGATCATTGCGGAGGAGCTGCTGAAGAAGGAGGTGCTAAGTCGAGACGACATGATCAGGCTACTGGGCCCCAGACCTTTCGAGGATAAGGGCGAATTCTACAAGTACTTCGGATCCAAGGGCGATCGAGAGGGGAGTCCGCAGGGCATGCCGGGACCGAGTGCCCCGTCGCAGCAAGACATACCGGGCCCTCCAAGTGGGCCGTTGCCGACGCCTAACATATTCAAGAAGCTAGATTGAGCGTTGTCATAAGACTCGGGTAATTCATCAAGTGGCGCGCTAATTGGAAAAGAAGTAGTCATCGTCTCGCGACGACCCCGCGTCGGGTGTCGCGCAGATGGAGGGTGTGGCTGATATCCAGGTGCTGGGAGACGTTTTGCGCGTGCTTCAGCGGTGCACGCTCGGCAAGCATTGCAGGTGTTTTGTTTACTATATCGACTGCTATCAACCTTTCCACTCTATCTTCTGTAGCCATATTCACTAGACGGGCCGCCTTTAACCGGCGCCTTGTAGCATACCGGTGTCGATGTACATGTCGCGTAGTGGCGTGGTACAAACGAGTAAAACGACCTTCTCGGCATGGCAGAACGCGACCACCGCCTCGTAAGACGGTGCTAATAACGTGAAGCATCTATATATACTGGTCACTGCGGACCACTCTTCCCTTTGTGCCGAGCCTCAGCCTTCGTACATACAAAGAGCTGAACGTCTGAACACAGCCTCAGTAAGTGCGGATGAACTGCCAGTCGGGCCGGCGATGGCCGGTGACGCTATCAAGAGTTCATGGATTGAAAATCCCGAGGACTTTCTGTTTCACGCTCCAGGCGCTTGCCCGCTATCCATATCACAGCGCACAAGCACAAGGCCGATGATGTCCAGATCGAGCAGTTGGTGGCCCCCAGGTCGTCTGCGGCTGCTGGTCCTCCAAAACACCTCCTTCATCCGGTTAGATCCTACGGCCTCCCGCATCATCCTTGCACGACGTTTTGAGACGCCTGTCCGAAATCTCAGGGGCGACGGCTGGACGACGGCTAGGCGCCTGGAAACGCCCCAATCGATCGGTGCGCTGGGGCATACGGCGAACCTTCCGCGACACAGAGATGACCCGCAGGGGGGCGGTTCGGGGCGGCTCCAGCCAATTAGTGTATCATCCCCAGGAATGCCATTATATGATGCTTGGCACTATGGTGAACTTGGCGCCGCAACAGCAATCATGCGGACAATCACTCGAGATGGGCTAAAGCAGTCCCTACGCCGCTCTCGGAAGGTCAGACAACGATGTCCTGCTATCTTACGGTTGGTAACTCTCCTGCTTATTTCGTCTTACTTGACTTCAGTAGCTTCATTTGGTAATTGGTGCATCTAGACTGTGTTGCATAGGTAGTACAAGTAAGATGCCGGCGTCGCCCCCACAAATAAAGGCTTCAGGCCTCCCAGTCCCGTTCTCTATCCTCAGGCTCAGGACTGACGAACTCCCTCTTCGCGTCATCCGTTATCATGAAGTCCCTCATTCTCACTTCTCTTCTGCTGTCCTCGGCGTCTGCCGCAGCCGTCAACAAGAAGGTCAGCTATGACGGATTCAAGGTCTTCCGTGTCTCCGCTGGCGACAACCTGGCCGCGGTCGAAGACACTGTCACGGCTCTCGGCCTCGACAAGTGGATCGATGGTGCTGAGAACACCGGACATCTCGATGTCGTAGTTGCACCGAAGCAGCTCCAGGCTTTCGAGGAGGCGGGCCTCAATTCTACGGTCATGCATGATGACTTGGGCGTCTCTATTGCGGCGCAAGAACAGGTTTCAGGTATGTATTGGGCCCCTACTATGTTCGAGGTTCATTTCGCTGACCTGCCTTTCCTATCTAGCTTTTGCTGCCGCCGATATCACCTTCTTCAACTCCTACCATCCGTACGCCGAGCATGTGCAGTTCATGCGTGATCTGGTAGCGAAGTACCCCAACAATGCCGAGATCGTCACCTCCGGCACCACGGTCCAGGGCCGCCCCATTACCGGTATTCATATCTGGGGTGCCGGCGGCAAGGGGACGAAGAAAGCTGTGGTCTTCCACTCGACCGTCCATGCACGCGAGTGGATCACTACCATGGTATGTCTCCAGTGGTGGCACGTCACGCAGCTTCAAGTGCACTGCTTACCCCTCGTTTAGGTCAGCCAGTACACGGCATACTTCATGCTCTCCTCGTATGCCACCGATGCTAGTGTCAAGGCATTCGTCGACAAATACGACTACTACATCTTCCCGGTTGTGAACCCAGATGGTGAGCCTCTCCCACCAGAAGACACCTCTTGTTCCTCAATTCTCCTCCGATGACTCTCCCTAACACCCCTCAGGCTTCGTCTACTCCCAAACCACCGACCGCCTCTGGCGCAAGAACCGCGCCACCAACGCCGGCAGCTCCTGCATCGGTACAGACGTGAACCGCAACTGGCCCTACCAATGGGTCGGCAGCGGGTCCTCCACAAACCCGTGCTCCGAGTCCTTCCGAGGGCCCTCCCAAGGCTCCTCCCCCGAGGTCAAGGGCCTCTACGGCTACCTGAACCGCCTGCGCGACACCACCGGCATCAAGATGTACATCGACTGGCACGCGTACTCGCAGCTCTTCATGACGCCCTACGGCTACAGCTGCACGACCGTCTCCGCCAAGAACACGGAACTGCAGTCCCTGGCGCGCGGCTTTGCGACGGCGGCGCAGGCGCTGTATGGCACGCCGTTCAAGACGGGCCCGATTTGCAATACCATCTATCCGGTTAATGGCGACAGTGTGGACTATGCGAATGATGTTAGCAGGGCTGAGTATACGTTTACGGCTGAGCTGAGGGATACGGGCACTTATGGGTTTGTGCTGCCGCCGAATCAGATCGTGCCCAGTGTTAGGGAGGCGTGGGCTGGGACTGCGTACTTGTTGACCAACCTTCGGTAAAGCGTTGGTTGAGGAGGGCGTTGGAGGGACGGTGGGAGTGCAAAGTAGAGTCCAGGTATATAGTTAAAAGGCTACTTGTTGTCCTCGATGTACCTGCTCATGCGGGTGATAGAAGTCGCTGGCCTCCTGAATTGCCGGAGTCCTACCTCGCTCCGAAATCACCGATATCTATTAGGTTTACCACCTTTCCAAAGATCTTCACTCTAGCCACTCCACCTTTAGATATGGCTTAAACACGCTTATACAGCAGTATATTATAAGGAGCTGCTGCTATTCGTGACTTTCCTAAGCTGACTGAAGACCTATCTGTTCTCTATGCACCTGGTACGGCTCAGTATCATTAGAACTTCTGTGAAAAGCGGACGCGATGCTCGGAGATGAAGATCAACTTCACCAATCCCCGGCATACCGCATCATCACTTCCTGATATACTCACCTTTAGCCATGAAGCGGCTGCCTCGCTGCACAATCAGCTGATGGTAGATGCGGCCTCCAGGCTTCTAGACTAGTGGTACCTCTTTCCAAGAAGTTCACAAGTGCGAGGGCGCCATACGGCTGGCCGGCCTGTCGGCCCGCCTGCGGATGTGTTGGACTGAATGCAGAACAACTGTATCTGTCTGAGGTGTGTCAACGCTTGCACAGCGGCGCAGGGGCTTGCTGCGGCAGGACGCGTGAAGCTGTCACAGCCACAGAAGTGGCCTGGCGTCTAGCACGACTGATCATATTTCTGCTTTGTGGTCGGCGACTCGCTCTTGCAAATGTGCTACGAAGAATCGGATAGGTTCCAACGGGAGACTGAGGAGATGCAGGTACTATGATTTCTCAAACTAGTTGCCCAACCAGGGCTTACACTACCTGGTCCACCGAGACTAAAGCCGTTCGATCATTGGCTTCCCTGCTTAAACTACACGTGCCGGTTGCACGCATGACAAACGACAAGGATTTGAGTGTGACAATAAGAAAGCAATCGAGAAAGACACGCAATGCACGCTAAAGGCCGAATCATTATCCGCTTCTTCCATCGGTCTCCCAACATCATAACATCATTACCTTAACTGCCCTATAACAAGCACGAAAAGCACATCTACGAGGGAAAAATCCACTACGAAGTACAACACACGCGAGATTGGTGAAGGACATCTACAGCAACTCAAAGAAAACATGCGAAGGAATCGAATGAAGTCATGACCGTCGTCCCAGTTGAGGAACTCGCCAGGGACGCGTCGCTGACCGCGGGTTGCAGATCATGCACCGCCAGTTTGGAGTTGCTTTCGACCGACGACCCGCTCTGCAGCTGGATGGGCGACGCATCTGCCGATGGACCCTTAGATCTAGACGAGGCGGAGGAAGCGGAAGACAGAGCTCGAGCGCGGAGTTGTTGGCTCGTTTCCCTACGCCGCTTCGGGGCATCCTTTGCCTTTGGATGCACGTGACACTAGGAGAGCAAGTCAGCCAAAAGAACGCACAATCAAAGCCATGGACCACGGTCTTTCGTAAAGCCGCGGTACACTGACCTTGTAAGCATGCCTGAACCACGTCGTCCCATTCTTACTACTCTTCAGCGCAATCCACCCACCACAGCTCCCACAAAGGCCTTCCCAAGCATCAGGATTCCCATCAATCCGCCTCGTCTCCAGCGGACCTTGGAAGGGAGCGCCGGCGGCGCTAACGCCGTGAGTGAAGCTCTTGTCGTACCAGAATGCACTGTTTTTGAGCACAAGCCATCGACCCGGTTGGCATAGGCCGCACCAGCCCTCGCGTTTGTGGCCATGGCCGCGAACCCATCGCGGTGTGTACAGATCACCGATGAAGCGGAGGTCTTGCTCATGGGGGACGAGTTTTGGGTCAGAGGGGTTCATGTCCTCTTCTGGAGGGTTGGCCGCTTCTTGACGCAGTGAGGAGTATAGATCGGGTGCGTCGGAGAGGGCGGCGAACTGTGACGAGCAGCTGTTGTGCTGCTTCGCGGCGCTGTGGAGGTGGGAGGGTCCTTGAGAAGGGAGTGGTTGAGAAACCTGGGGTTGCGCCATTCGCTTGGACGGCAATCCCGGAACGAAGCTTGGTGGGAACACATGCGGTTGTGAGCAGAGGGCATTGTAAGCTGGCGGCTGTCCGCTCAGAAGAGGGCTCGGAGCAAACGTGGAGAAAGAATGATGCGAGTTGTGCCTCCTGGTGTAGGGTGTGAACCGGTTCTGGACGCTGAGTAGAGTGTGCGAGCTGAGGGGCACTTGAACGGGACCGTGCATGCCAGTAGACCACCGCTTGTTACGGTCGCTGACCATATTGTACGGAGAGGATCGTATTGCGGTATGTGGTGATGGTGAGCCGCGACGGTGGTTGACGTGCGGCGCACTCTTGACAGGGGAGCGCCTGGGGGACGCCATGGGTGAAAACGAATAGAAGGGCCGTTCAGGGTTGCTCCGTGCTTCGTGGTCAGGTGTGCAAGCGAATTTTTCCGAGGCAGACGAATCTTCGTAGGTCGAGAAATCGGCAATCACGCCGCCGCTCGACATTGAGAAGGATGACTCCGACATACGCCGTCCAGATGGTGCGGGTTGACTCGTAGTATTAACATCATCGCCGATGCCGGTAGTCTGCCGGAGGTCTATGATGGACGTGTTCTCGTCAACCATGAAGTCGTAACTATGGTCGAGCAAGTCTGGGTCCGCATTCGAGAAGCCGAAGTCTGCGTATGCCTTCTGGCTCCACAGATCTGTGCCATAATTAGTGCGCAGCTTGCAACATGTCACAGGTACTCACCGGCATTCATTAAGGTATTCTGAGAACAGTGGAGTAGGATGTTGGCCGCTGCTAATTGGTTACCATGGAGGAGGTCGGCAGCCGTGGCATTGGGCCCAGCGACATGTGCAGCGTCCACAGAACATAAGGAAAGACAATCATTTCGTTGAGCATGACTCTGGTAGTCTTCCAAGGTAGAGCTGTCATGTCTTGGGGACGAATACCAGCCGCTAGATCGCGATGCGGATATAGTACTATCTTGTACCCGCTGCGACTGAGGTGGTTGCGTCTGCGTATGGCTGTAAGGGTACATTGCCGGCGCACCACGGCGAGATAGGTTCGGAACGAGGGGAAGGGCCCTGATATAAGATGACCGGTACCTTTTGCATCGTCAGCCCTGCAATCATCTGGACGAATCTGACGATGTAGACAGACAGCTGCGCGCATTAAATTCCGTTGGTAGGCCTTTTCCGGATTGTTCGAAGGATGCGATAATCTAGCGTCTATACAAACTGCACTTTGTGTGTCGGTCAGTTCAGAAAAGGCAGTGCATGACAGCTGCTCAGCCGGGTGTGGCGACGTGCATCCGCACGGATATCCGAGACCTGGGGAAGGGAAGCAAGGGAAGTTGAGCGTCGGAGCACATACAACGTGCAGCCACAAAGAAGAATGCCACTACTGCGTAGGACTTGAGGGTTGCCTCGTGACAGTGACAGACGCGGCCAAACCGTGAAAATCCCAACGAAGGAATGTGTAGTGCGAGATTTGCCTCTTCCGCGGTCAACACGCAAAGGGAGCCTGCCCCAGTAGAAAAACGAATGGAAGGGGTTCGCCGACGGAAATGAGTGACACGGACAAAGGTCTGAGAGAGGGAAATCGACGGGTTCAGTTACCATATTGTAAAAGTCAACGAGCATGACGATATCAACCATGTCCAAAGGTACTTCTGCCGCTGGCAACAGTCTCATCTTCGGAACAAGGCTTGGCTTGAATAGCCCGAAGACAGACGCCTGGGCATGCCCCATCCGCGCTTTGAGTAAGGACAGTCAGAGTGAGGCATTCCGGCGCTTAACCAAAGCGCATCCCATAGCTCAAGAACAGGGCCACGATCGAGCCCTGCTGCGAAGACCGATCTTTGCGTACTGTCCAATGTCAGGCATCCATTGACACCGCATTGGATCGCGGTGATGCCGCTCACTAGCGCACAGCGCTGTTTGAGTATTGGCTCGCGTCACGAAACTGACAAAGGAAGGCTATCGTCAAACCTTAGCCTCACGACCGGCTCGCTCAGACGCTTTTCAAGGCAAGCAAATGGAGGACCGCGTCGTCTCCAGGGGTTGCGACGATGGCCGTGTCGCTGTCGCTGTTCGCGGTCGAGGTTGTCGAGGTGAGAGCATGCTGAAACCTTCCGGGTTCCAAGCGAGCGAAGCGGCATCAGAATCATCCACGCCCTCACCACCGTTTCCTGTCTACCCCAGGACATTTTCCTGTCAGACCCACCACACCATCTGCCGGCGTGGTGGGCAAGTGCTCCGCGCTACGCTATTCAAAGTGGACACGAGCACGCAGCACATGCCCAGACCCGCCTAGTTGCTGCACGTCATCCGGATAGTAGACCGTTTACTCGGAGAACGGCCCACAAAGGGAGCGCTGTACGACATCTACACGTGCAGCCAGCCCCAGTCCCTGAGCCGCCGCCGACTTTTAATGGTTCCTGTGGGCGCGGAATGCGGCATAGCTCGTCCTCCAACAGTCAGACGCAGCCATCCGGCGATGTATCCGAAGCGATGCGTCTGGACTTGGTCCTGCTTCTGAGCATTCCTGGACGTGCAAAAGCACAACAATAGATGTCTCCCGGCCGTTGTCGAAGCATCAATCAAGCATCGACTAAGCATAGTTCTTACCGCGCCCTGTGGCGCCTGCCGATTCAACGGCCACAGGCCCTAGATTAAGGACAGGTACCACAAGATTTCCGTGCTGACGGCTGTGTAAGATGCTTTGGTAGAGCATGAGAAGCGGCTTCTTGTCGGGCGCCAGGTGAAATCCTCATATTTGAGGCTCTCCAGCCTTCGCAGATCTGACTTCCTCTCATCTTACCTTCCCATGGCAGCCTAGAGGTCGGTGAATGATCCTCATTACACAGCGCAACCTCGCTCTCGCCGAAGAAATCATGATTGCTCGCCTTACACACTAATGTACGCCTCTCTCTATAAGGCAACTGATGGCCGGTTGGTGCCTCGGGCGATACCCTACTGGTGCTACTTAGACAAGAAGGAGTTCGTAATCCCATCCATGCGCAAGCTTATCGATGGAATCCTCTCTCCTTACTTCCAAACTTTTATAGTCGCATCATCGTTTCCCGCCTATTATGGCCCATGTTTCGCTTCCGCGTGTTCTACCCTTTTCTTCCTATCGCGGTAATCATACTTGGCTTCAGCAATTTTACCGCTTGAGCGTACTCTCAGGCCTTCACAGCTGCACATGATCCCTTTCCTAGCAGGCCTTAATGATCAGTTTTGTGAAGAAGCGGTCAAACTCCTCAAGGGCCTCGTTTAAAATTTCTTAATGAAGAGTAAGATATCGAGGAGATAGAAGCGCATGACGGCCCAGGTGTTCCAGAAAATTTCAGTGTAACTCCAGCATGCCGGGAAGCGTGATCTTCGTGAGGAGGAACTCAGTTCTAGGTTCTATGTGACTCTGTTCAGCTAAGATTAGAACAGTGGATGACAAGCTAAAACACCAACTGTGCTCCAGCCCACCGCTGCGGTAAGCGACGCGCCCTCAAACCTCACCTCAGCATACCGATTGCTACAGGACGCGACCATGGTACAGCACGATCACCCATACCACGTCTAGTGAAGCAAGATGGAGGAGACAGGCATAGCAATCAAGCCAAGCTGAGGCGCACCACCTGCAGTCTCCAACCCTGCGGAAGCAACGGCGTTGAATATACAACGGACTGGACACGACGCAGCCAGCGGCAAGGTTGCCTTACACCAGCCAGATTCCTTAAGAACGCTAGCCATACGCGCATAGGACTTGTAATTCGCCTGTTTCGAGGACTCTCTAAAATTTCCAGCGCATCGACAAGAGTTTACTCCGCGTGGTATCTGTGGCCGTAAATGCGGCTAATCTAACTCAACCTTTGCACCCAGACTCCAAGGACGATGCGTCGAGTGAAAAGAGCGGGCTGCGGCATGTAATAAGCTGCTGCCCGAGGAGCTTCAGCTTGTCCTGCGGCCGACAATGGGCTCACGATGCGGAATAGACCGCACACAAAAGGCGAATGGGCCTTGCGCTATCCGACTCGAGCCCTTGGAGTATCTCGAGAACGTCCGATGCTCGCTTTTGCGGAAGACAGAACTCGCTGAATGTGGTAACGAGGCACACGTTCTGAAAACACAACTGCCGGGAACCGCCCAAAGCGTATGCAATCACTTCAGAAACGTAAAGTTCCTCAACAGACGCAGAGATCCGGCAACACGGAAGGAAAAGTCTACTTCCTCCGTCGCAGCGCAATTGGGCTGCCGAAGGCAGGGCATCTGGCAACACAGTTGTATACCAACTATTGCCTGCACTTTTTTTTGTCACTGCTATCAACCGTATTAGATAATACTAAGAGACGCGAACTCCTTTATCTACCTTTGAACAGTCGCCGTTACAAACAGTACAGTATTTCGTGGACCGTATTCGCCTAGCCGCACCCACAGTCGGCTTTGCCATGATGCTCAAAGTCGTGCACTGCATGGCTGACCAAATGGTCGAGGTCCTCTGCTTTCAGATCAAGCGCGCTCTTCGCATCCTTCTCCTCGAAAGCCTTGACTGCCCCGAGCTCCTCATCATACAGCACACTCCGCTCAATGAGGAACATGCCAGCGTCCGGGAATCCCGAGCGTATCCGCTGCTCTCCTTCCCTCACGCACTGCTCTGTTTCCACATGGCCGACAGTCCACCGCTTGCCCATCGCCTTCTCCAAACACCCCAAGATCTCATCTGCAGTCGTGATGCATCCCGCAGCGTACAGATACTGGTTCTTGACCAGCTCCCAGCGCTCCACCACTCTCGCAACCACCTCGCCGACCCTGGCCAGACTCGTAACCGCGAACCGCTCCTTCCCCGTGCCGTGCACCGTGGCACTCTGCCACTTGAGATCAAACCCCAGATCTCCACTGATGAGCTTCTGATCGAGTATACAGCCCACAGCGACCCCCACCCACTCGAACTCATTCTCGAACCCACTGGTCGTCTGAACAGAGATGCCCTGTCCGTGCGCCTCGCCGCACACGCAATCGTTGCAGCGCCCATTCGCCTCCCCATCAGTACGCTTATGCCCCTGCCCTTTCGCCTCTCCCTCCTCCGCCTCCCCCGCCGTCTGCATCTCTCTCAGAAACGCCACCACCCTTGCCCTCTCCCTCCCCGGCGGCACCCTCCCCTGCACAGCTTTGTTCAAGCTGTCCTGCCCAAACTCATGCGCAACAAACCGCTTCACGCCCGCCGCGACACACGCATTTATGGTCCGGGTCTGTAGCACAAAGTCCCCCCCGCCGAGGGTGCTGATGACGAGGTCCTGCCCTGTGAAAGCGGCGCGCAGGGAGGGGAAGCTGAAGTCGGTCGTGTGGTGGGTTAGGGCGGAGGCGGGGACGGAGGGGGGGAGGTAGGGGGTTTGGCGGGGGGAGGTTAGGAGGGTTAGGGTGTAATGAGGGCTGCGGTGGAGGGCGGAGAGGATGGTGGAGGAGAGGTGTTGGTTCTGGGATGGTGTTAGTGGGGAT